CGAGTCATAGCTCCCGCTGGTGAACATGTTGTCCAGACCTGGGGGTCAGACAAGCTGGTCAAAGTAGCTCCAACAGCTGGCAAATGTGTCAATTGGTCATGGGACAGGGTAGCCCACAAGCAAAACTAGAGACCAGGATGGAGCACGGGTCATGCCGAGCTCTTGCACCTACTGGTCTGCATGAGCCAGGAACACTAAGCCACAGTGTCTAAGGCAGAGGTCAGGACAGGTGAGGGGCTGTGCCAAGCTGAGTCTAGAGCAACCACTGGCATGTGTGTGATCTATGGCTGGGAACAGGCCCGGTTGGGGAGCTAAGGAGACAACCCTAGCTGGGTTGAGGTTCCCACCAAGGGGCATGTGACCTGGAATGGGGGCTGTGTTCTGATCTGGAAATGGTTGTAGGCTCCCTTGGCACAAGTGTGGACTGGGATTGGATGCACCGAGCTGGGCCAGACCCCAACACCCTCTGGTGTCCTGGAGGACCAGGATAGATGTGGGATGGACTAGGCAAGGTCTCAAAGAGCCATGTGTGGGCCATATGTGGGTATGGACAAACCATGGCTGGGCTGAAACATCCAACAGCAAGAACCAGTTTGGGTCGGAGGCCAGGCAGGAAAAGCCACTGTTCCTGCTATGACAGGAGGTAGACCGAGTAGGGTTGGCTCATGGACCCACTGGTAAGCTTGAAACCTGGCATTGGGAGGGGTTCTGATGGAAAAGCCTGGGCAACTCCTCTGGCAGGACACAGACCCAGCAGGTAAGCGCAAGAAACATGATAGGAAACAGCCCAGAACAGGCCATGGAAAGTTACCCACTGGCATACAATTGGCAGGGGCCGGGGGAAGACCAGGCTGAATCTGTCCACGTCATCTACTGGCAAATCCAAGCACCAGAACAGTGTAGGTCGAGCCAGGTTCGGTCGCAACAAAGACTAGTGCACAATACTGAATGCCAAGGTGAGGTTGCCTGTACGGGAAGGGACCACAGCGCCCAACCAGCAAGCGTGAGGACAAGGAAGGGAGGGGGCAGAGCTGGCAGGGGAAAAAGGGAGGGTTCTTTTGCTGGACAGCTACTCCCACAGGAGAACGTGGGCTGGGATGGGGGCAGACCAGACTAGGCAGGGCTACAATACCTGTGCACCTCATGTGGATTAGATCAGGGAAAAGCCGGGCTGGGCTGATTATTCCAATTGGTGCAAACATAATTAGAGTGGGTGAGGGTTTTTTGGGTTTTGCCATAGCATCAGCTGGCACAGGCTGGCAATGGGGGCTAGTTCTGTCAAGTCCAACCACAGAACCATCTGGAGAGTGCATAATCTGGGAGTGGGAGAGGACTGGGAGAGAAGTAGTGGGCTCATCTCTCTTGGGTTACCACTTCCACGGGAGGGCACAAAAACCAGGACAGCGACTGGGGTGGAATGGGGTGTGGGACAGACTGGACTACTGCTACACATACTGGCAAACCAGGGTAGGGGACGGGCCTGGTGGAGGTTATTGCGGGTCGCTGCAACTAGGCTGCAGCTCCCACTGGTTTATGCGAGGGCCAAGTATGTGCTGGGCAGAACCAGGCTGGACTGCAACACCCATTGGTTCCAGTGGAAGTCGGGGGTGAAGACAGAACCAATCCAGCAATTGCAACCACCAGCTGATCGGAGCGATGGACTCTGCTGGGCCCTGTACTTGCTAGTACATACAAGAATCTGGTTTGACCACACCTCAGACAAAGTTTCTTTGGAGATCTCCCCAATCAAAATGCTGGACTCAGAATCCTAACCAAGAAAAGAGAGAAGACAGAACAGGTCAACCAACCATCTCAGCTATATGATGGACTATGTCAATCAGTGGATTCTTCAAGGACCTCATAGCGCTTGGAGTGGCAAGATTGGCAGCGATTCATAACTGTTGAAATATCAAAAGCACTTGCGCAAGAACCTCAGAGCATACCCTACATCCGGGACCTGGGGAGGGTGGGGAATTGGGTGGGCCTTCTCCCTTAATACCCACCTTTAAACATGAAGGAAACAATATGGAAAAAATAATAATCTTACCCACTTTCCTGTAGCCCTTGAACCTTTTTACCCATATTAACTATGTAAAGATTGTCCAAAAAAAAAAAAAAAAAAGAAGTATAAAACACTTCGAAGAATGGCACTGTGGATTAAGCCACTGCCTGAAATGCTGGCATCTCATATGGGTACCAGTTCCAAATCCCGCTGTTTTACTCAGCTGGCACATTAGCAGCTGAAGATGTCCAAGTATTTGGGCTCCTGCACCCCTGTGGGAGAGCTGCATGAAGTTCTTGGCTCCTGGTTTCAGCCTGGCCCAGCCCAGGTTGTTGGGGGTTATTTAGAGAATGACCCAGTGGGTAGAAGACAGCCCCTCATTCTTCCTTTTTTTCTTTTCTTTTTCAAAGATGTATTTATTTTTATTGGAAAGGCAGATATACAGAGAAAAGAAAGAGAGGAAGAATTCCAACCTATGGTTCACTCCCCAAGCAGCCGCAAAGGCTGTTGCTGAGCCAATCTGAAGCCAGGAGCCAGGAGCTTCTTCTGGGTTGCTCATGAGGGTGCAGGGTCCCAAAGGTTTGGGCCATCCTCAACTGCTTTCCCAGGCCACAGGCAGGGAGCTGGATGGGAAGTGCAGTTGCTGGGATTAGAATTGGCACCCATATGGAATCTCAGAGCATTCAAGGTGAGGACTTTAACCGCTATGTTATTGTGCTGCGCCTTCATTCTTCCTTTCAAGTAAATAAATAAATTTTTAAAACATAAATTATAGGGCCCGGCGTGGTGGCGCAAGTGGTTAAAGGTCCTCGCCTTGCACGCCCGGGATCCCATATGGGTGCCGGTTCTGATCCCGGCAGCCCCGCTTCCCTTCCAGCTCCCTGCCTGTGGCCCGGGAAAGCAGTCGAGGACGGCCCAAAGCTTTGGGAACCTGCACCCACGTGGGAGACCCGGAAGAGGCTCCTGGCTTCGGATCAGCATAGTATCGGCCGTTGCGCTCACTTGGGGAGTGAATCATCGGACGGAAGATCTTCCTCTCTGTCTCTCCTCTCTGTATATCCGCCTTTCCAATAAAAAAATAATAAAAATAAATCTTTAAAAGAAAAACATAAATTATACTCATACCAAGGCCAGGTGACCTCAGAGCCTCTGGGTTGGGGGCGGGCTGTTTTCACAAAGCCCATGACATGACTGCAGTGTGCAGCTGAAACGACAGTCACCAGGCGCCCTGGACTCCAGCTGTCCCTGCTGTCGCCCACCTTCACCTCCCTCCTATTCTCTGTGTCAAAAACACACTGCACTTAGGGCTCAGGGCTCTGCACCTGCTGTGCCCCACCCAGGATGTATGCTCCTCTGTCCAAGAAGACCAGCTCGCTCCCCTCCACATCCCGAGCATTCTCACCTCCAGCCAGAAAGCCATTTCATTGGTGGGGTCTTCCCAAACCAGTGTCCGGAGAGGAGGGCAACTCCCCTTCCCACGTCCCAGCCTCTGAGCCCACTGCCATCTAGCACACAGTGCGTGCCTGCTCTACCTCTCTGTTCAGAGGCTGGCTTCTCACCAGCCAGCCTCTTTCTGTCCTTCCTGGTCACTGTGGTGTGCCCTGAGCCCAAGAGGGGGCCAGGTCCTTAGTAACTGCTCAGTAAATATGCTAAACAGCTGAGTGACATTTCCTGGTGACAGTGGCTGTAGTAAGACTGCAGAGAGACCATTTGCACAGAATTCACACTTTATCAGAAATGCATGGACTCTTAGGTTGAATGTCCCATACTGGAAATTGCTTAGGACCAGAAATGTTTTGCGTGTTGGAAAGTCTGTCACTATACCATGACATATCCTGGGGATGTGACCCACATCTACATTTGGAATTCATTCGTTTCATAAACACAGCATACATACAGACTGAGGGTAGCCTGATGCAGTAATTTCAGCATACCTGTGTGTGACTTGAGGATATTAGCTCAGCCATGGAATTTTCCACTGGGCATTAGATTAGTGCTCAAAAAGTTGCAAATTTTGGAGCAGTGTGGATTTGGGATTAGGGATACTCCATCTGTCTATAACAACCATGTCTAAAGTACCATAAACCAATGCAATATGCAATTCAAGTTGACAGTTTAACACAATCATTCAATAGCCTAGCCACAACGCAAAACCTCCTCCTAGAAAACCTGACGAGTGGGCCCAGCGCGGCGGCGCAGTGGTTAAGGTCCTCGCCTTGCACACCCGGGATCCCATATGGGCGCCGGTTCTAATCTCGGCGGCCCCTCTTCCCATCCAGCTACCTGCCTGTGGCCCAGGAAGGCAGTCGAGGATGGCCCAAAGCCTTGGGACCCTGCACCTGCGTGGGAGACCCGGAGGAAGTTCCTGGATCCTGGCTTCGGATCGGCATAGCATCAGCCGTTGCGCTCACTTGGGGAGTGAATCATCGGAAGATCTTCCTCTCTGTATATCCGCCTTTCCAATAAAAATAAAATAAATCTTAAAAAAAAAAAAAACAAAAAACCTGACGGGTGTGTTTTCAACCCGTGATCCTTGCCAGAAGAGATTATAAAAGGTTCACTTGCTTCCTTCTCTGTTCTTCCCTGAAAGTCTGGATTATTCTAATTAACCTGCTTCCTCCTCCCCTGTCCCAGCTGGGCGGAAGGAGGTGGAGTGCAAGCTTAAGTTGTAGGTGCTGGCTCTGGGGAGAAAGTTAAAAAAAAATTCTTAGTGCCCATGCTATCTTTCCTGAGTTTCATTTTTCGTTTTTTTCCCTAAAAGTTGCCAGACCAGAGTATCTTGTGGCACGAGGTAAGTCTCCACGGAGCAACGGGGCTCGCTCAGTGATTTCGTCTTGCTAAACTACCAAGTGACGACTTTCCCCCAGTTTCTGCCTCAGACTTTTTAAGGATCTCCTTATGAAACCCCGCCCACTGCATAAGGAACATTCCAGACACAGGCTTGGAGGAAGGAGGAAGACATCACTGGCCCTGGGGAGGAGGGTGGTGCAGGCTGTACCTGTGTGTGTGCGCAGGTGTTTCTTCAGCTGAGATACATCCATGAATTTGCGGTGGCAGTGGTTGCATTCCGGCAACGAGTGGCCTTGTCGCAACAATAAAAAAAGTGTGAGTGCATATACGCTCGCTCTCCCTGCATTTCTTCAGTCATCTGTGTTAAAGCTCTTCCCTGAAAAACAATCATTTTCAATATGGTGCTTTCACAGGCAGAGTTCTCTTCATCATCTGGTAACAGTAACGATCTCTCTAGGCACCTGACTACAGGGCTGGACCCCTTCAATCCTGCCCAGTGTTACTCTTTCTCCCCTGGAAGTCCTGCTGTGAGCAGGGCCCACTGATTGAGAGGATCATCCCGCCTCTGACCCCTATTCGTCTTACCTGCTGGCAGGAAAGAAAAAAGGACCCAGGGTGGAGGTTGATGGGAGGCAGTATGGACTGACTGCCTAGGGTGGGTAAGGCCACCTCGGAGCCTCACTAAGGGACAATCATTCCATTGTCACCCTCGTGGGCAAGTGGTGCTTTGGGAAGAGATCCCACAGCGGAACAACTGAAATGCACGATGATTTTCAAGCCCCCCAGACACCGCTTGGTTTCCTATATGAAAGACCTAACAGTTTCAGAAATGCACCCCGCCTTCCTTCCCCTCCACCCACGCTAACCTCGCCTCCCTTGTACTGTACCTGTGTGAACTCGGTAATGGCTCTTGAGCTGTCTTTTCTGGCTGAAATATTTTCCACACTGATCACAGGTGAAAGACTTCTGTCCTGCCAGATGAAAAAACAAAATGCTCACACACACACACACACACACACACACACACACACACACACACACACACACACAGAGCTAACCAGAATGCCCACTAACAAGGCAACTACACCGTGGGCCTGGGTCCCCGTCTTCCAGATGTCTATGAGCCCCAAAGCCCTCAGTCAGCCACAGAAAACACATATGTGCAGAGGACTGTAAGGTGGCAGGAGGTGGTGGGCGCTGGGGATGGAGGTAGAGAACAGGCAGCCTCCTAAAGGCATCCAGAGTAAAATGATTCGAAACTCTGGGGCTTCAATAAGACATCTGCACATTCAACTCACAGCAGTCAGCTTGGGAGCTGCAGCTTACGATTTAGTGTTGTGTCAAATACCCCTGAAATTCTGACATGCACACGGCCCTTTTGGGGACATCCAGTCACGTGACTCCAACAGGACTCTCCACCCCTCCCCTCCCCCCAGAATGGGGCATCCGCGAGCCAGGCTACCTGAGTGCAGGCTCATGTGCTCCACCAGCGAGTGCTTGGTGGTGAGGGCCTTGCCACACACGGTGCAGGTATATGGCCGCTCGCCTGTGTGCATCCTGGTGTGCACCTGCAGTGAGTGCTTCTGGGCAAAGCCTTTCCCGCATTCATTACATTTGAAAGGTCGCTCACCTGGAACGAGAGATGAGAGGAGGCAGAGGCAATGAGTCTCTTCAGGTTGGAACAGATGGAGCCTACCTCAGCAGTGAGGGGCATGGAGAGGCAGCCTCACTGCTAGGCTTGGGCTCTCCACAAACAGGGGCGAGGGAGGATTACATGAACACCTCTTGGAAAGGGTTCTGGGCCCCAGAGCCAATCTCCTGCCTCATGGGACCAGGACATGGGCCTTCTCCCCAGCTAAGGGTGACTGCTCTCTGAAGAACTGAAACTAGGGGCACATGTAGGTTCGAGTCGCAACTGCTCCAATTCTCATCCAGCTCCCTGCTAATGTACCTGGGAAGGCAGTACAGGATAGCCCAAGGGCTCGCACCCCAGCAATGCGGGTGGGAGACAGATGAAGTCTGTGGCTTCTGGCTTCGGCCTGCTGCAGCTCTGGCTGTTGTGGCCATTTGGGGAGAAACGAAGGGTCCCTGGGTTAGGGGTTGCTCCAACTCCCTCAGGAGGAGAAGCTGGTGTTCTTGGGGAGCTTATGGGACTCCCCTCCTCCTGCTTAGATCCTGCAGCCTGGCTTCTCACAGTGAGATGTGAAAAGCTTATTCCCCTTGGAGGGTGAAAAGGCCTGGGCCGAGGCAGCCCAAGCTGTGGAAGCCAGGCCTCGGCCAGGAAGTGGCGTCCTGCCGTGACCCTGCTTTCCAGGTTCTTCTTCTACCTGCAGGGCTGTGAGTAGCTTTTGTTTTTTTTTTTTAACTAACTCACTGATATATGATTCAGCAAGATGCTTTAACAAATCACTACATTTGAGGACAGCCCCTGAGTTGTTGGCAATAGACGAGAAGTATAACGTTTTCCAGAGCAGACCGTCCAAGGGAAAAGAAAGCGTTATATACCAACAAACTCTGTATTAGCACACAAACATTTTCACAGAAAACGTTACACTGCGGTCATCTATGAAATCATGGAAGAGAACGTTCTGGAACAGAAGTGGCACCAGCGTTTCTAAACGGCAGCTCCAACTGGCATTACACAAATACAAGAACAGAGACCCAAACTAAAGCCACCGTCACATTCCACAATCCTGGCGGTTGAGAGAGAAGACGTACCAGTTGGTCTTCCCTAACTAGCCCCACAGGAGGATTTAATTTCTTACGCCAGGTGCATAGGCACCTTGCACCAACAGCAGGAACCCAGACAGTCTGCTCTAGTTCAACACATCTTTTCTCAAGCATTCGCTGTGTCCAAGTCACTGGAATACAGACTTTTTCGCCTTTCTGTCCTTAAAAATTCCTGGCCTCAGGTGATCAATGTGAAGTTTTGAGGTTGGGGTGGGAGGCAGGGGGCAGTATTGTGGCCTAGCACATTAAGCCCATATAGGTGCTTGTTTGTGTTCTGGCTGCTCCACTTCCCATCCAGCTCCCTGTTGATGTGCCCGGAAAAGCAGCGGAAGATGGCCTAAGTGCTCTGGTCTCTGACACCCATGGGGAGACTCAGATGAAGCTCCTGACATTGGTCTGGCCCAAGCCCAGCTGTAGCAGCCGTCTGGGGAGTGAACTGAGCTAGTGGATGGAAGATCTCCGAAACTCTTTCAGATAAACTAATATTCTTTTTTTTTTTTTTAAAGATTTATTTTTATCATTTTTTTCATTGGAAAGGCGGATATACAGAGAGGAGAGACAGAGAGGAAGATCTTCCGTCCGATGATTCACTCCCCAAGTGAGCGCAACGGGCCGATACTATGCCGATCCGAAGCCAGGAGCCTCTTCCGGGTCTCCCACGTGGGTGCAGGGTCCCAAAGCTTTGGGCCGTCCTCGACTGCTTTCCCAGGCCACAGGCAGGGAGCTGGAAGGGAAGCGGGGCTGCCGGGATTAGAACCGGCGCCCATATGGGATCCCGGGCGTGCTAGGCGAGGACTTAGCCACTTGCGCCACCGCGCCGGGCCCAAACTAATATTCTTATTTAAAAAAAAAAAAAAAGCAGCAACCGCTGGATGACAGATGCCTTCAGCACCAGCCTATTAACTTGGAACTTACGATTAGGATGAGGGATATGGATGTACTGATTTCAAGCTGAGTGAGTTAAGCACCTGAGACAGAGCCCAGAGGAGAGAACTGAAAGGCAGCATATCACACACACACGGATCCACATGCCAGTCATCAGCCACACGAACCAAGACCAGACCAAAGAGCTGGCTTCCCAGCTAACGCTGATTTAAATGCTCAAAATCCATCCAAGGCTAGTGGCCCTCAGCTGGGACAACCCAGATCCACACACTTCCACCACTGTGGAGGGGCCTAGCAGCCAGCGCTGGGGCAGCAGGGAGTACAAGGGGGAGTGGCCAGACCAGCACGTAAGCTGTCCACCGGAGGGAGCAGCACAGCTACGGTGCAGATGGGCAAAGCTCAGGCATCAGACCAGAATCAAAGCCTTGGACCAAGAACTCCAGGAACTGGACTCCACCTGGGGGGCGGGCAGCTCTGTCACCGAGTGGACGGCCCTGGGAGCCAGTGGGCAAGATCTCTTGGATTCACCTGGCTGGTACTGACTGTGTTTGAGAATGCAACACAGTAACATCTGGGAAAGTTTCATGACAAAGCCGGCACACAAATAGGAGTGCCATTAGTACACAGACCAAAGCGCTCATCTCTCATCACCCTCTGCCAGAGACCCACTGCCAACCAGCCACGGTGGGGTCATTACCCGTGTGGCTCCTCTGGTGGATGGCCAGGAAGTGATGGTACTTAAAGACCTTGCCACAGTCTTTGCAGCGGGCCTCGGAGTTGCGGGGCCGCCGCCTCCTCCCGCAAACCCTCTTGGCTGCACCCTGGTCCCCGTCTTCGTCCCCGACGAGCTTGTAATCTTTCAGTTTTACTGATCTCCGAATCCTGCGCTTGCTGTGGCGACTTTGGCGTTCATGCCCCTCCTGGGGCCTGGCATCGCAGTTCTCATCTTTTCTGGTGGGCACCTGCCCCACGGTGCTGCACAGCTCACTGGTGGGTTCCGAATCTTCCTTGGCTCTCTCCTCTGGCACACTCCCAAGGTGTGATCCGTTCTGAGCTGGGCTGTGTGACTGGAGCAGCGTCTCTCCCTCCTGCGAGCTGTTGTTGACCTTCCTTGGCCTTCCCCTCTTGCGCTTGGATGGCTCATTCTTCTTGTTGGAAATCGCCACCACAGAGGCACCTGCAGGGGTCCCGGATGTGGCCTCCTCGGGGCTCCTTTGGTCATTCTGGAAGTCTGTGTAGGCCTTGACCAGATCAGAGACCCTCAAGAATTGAGCAGTGGCCAGAATCTGTTCGGTGCTCTTCTCGCTGGCATGCAGGCGACCCGTGTAGATGAACTCCAGCAGGATCCGGAAGGTGTCGGCCACCAGGCCTTCCAGCACGTAGATGGACTGGCCCACGTCCCCCTCTTGTGCGAACATCATGGAGAAGTACTCGCTGCTGGCAGCCAGTAGAGCCTTGTGGGCCCGGAAGTGCACGCTCTCCACAATCAGGGTGATATCACAGAGAAAGCCCTTCTTTCTCTGGGCCTCGAAACTGGCCAGCACGGTGTCACTGTGAGTGTCCGAGTGTACCACCACGAGCTGCGCTGGGGGCGCAGGGGCCGGGTCTGCCATCTTCTTCGGAGGCCAGGAAGGCTGAGATCTGAAATGAGAAAAATCATGTCTGTGAATAGGAAGAGCCTGCATGAACCCATGCTTCTCAAAGCAAAAGATCTTTATTTGATTTGTAAAAAGATTTCTTCTCAATGGAAAGGCAGAATTACAGAGAAAAGGATCTTCCTCTGTGGGTTCACTCCCCAAATGGTCACAATGGCCAGAACTAGGAGCCAGGAGCTTCTTCTGGGTCTCCCACATGGGCGCAGAGTCCCAAGACTTTGGGCCATCCTTTACTGCTTTCCCAGGCCACAAGCTGGATCGGAAGTGGAGCAGCTGTGACGTGAATTGGTGCCCATATGGAATCCTGGCACTTTTAGAATTAGTCAATTTAGCCATTGTGTCGGTCCTTATTTATTTGTTTTTCTTGGAAAGGCAGAGATTCACAAACAGAGAAGGAGAGAGAGAGAGAACTTCCATCCACTGGTTCACTCCCTAAATAGCTCAAGTAGACAGTCACGCTGTTCTGAAGCCGGCAGCCAGGAGCTTCTTCCCAGTCTCCCACGGGGTGCAGGCTCCTAAGGTACTGGGCCATCCTCTGCTGTTTTGCCAGGCATAGTAGCAGGCAGTTAGATCAGAGGTGGAGTAGCTGGGACTCCAACCGGCACGAGTATGGGATGCTGGGCTGCAGGAGGACTAACCGGCAATCTTACAGGAGCCAGCACCTGCAATCTGAAATTTCACCGTTGTATTCAAGAGTCTACTGAAACATCTTCTCTGCCTTCAGTATCCAGGGTACCTCTCAGGGTCTGTTTTCTCCTCTGAAAACTAGAGCAAAGGGCAGAATCAAGCATCTCTCAAGTCCTTCTCGGCGCTAACTTTTCTATGGTTGTACAAACCCTGCAGAGACCCTCGCTTCTCTCAAAAGACCAGCCAAGGGAGGAAGGCGGCGGTTTACGTACGAGAGAGCGGGTGGGAAAAAGCGGCCAATGCAAGCTGACTCTGAGAAAGCCGTAAGATGAAATCATAAGCAAGCAAGCCGCGCGAGGCCTCCCTTTGGAGGGCAGCCAGGCCCCTGGTGCTCCATTCCCCCCACTGAGGCCGGGCGCCGAGCAGCGATTCCCCGCGACCTGGGCCCCTCCGGCCCGCCGCCACCGGGCACCGGGGCGGCGGGTGCGCGCGAGGGAGCACCTACCTTTCCGGGGCGCCCGGCCCGACCCGCGTCGGGGCCCTGGGGCCCACCTGGCGGGAGCCCACTCGCTGGGCTCACACCGCCCGGCCTCGGCCCCAGCCCCGCGGCCGCCGCGGCCAACCCGGAAGCGCTGCGCCGGGCCCAGCCATTGCGCGGGCGCAGCACCACGTGGTACGCGCGAAGGGGTGGAGCCGGGGCGTGTCGTGGGCGGAGCGGAGGGCGGGGCCTGCGCGGAGGGCCCGCCCCCGAGAACCCCGGCAGGTGTGAATTGTGGCTAGGGCACAGCGTGGCAGTCCGACTTGAGAAGGTCTGTGTTATGCTATACTGTGAGCTCTGCACATACTTTGGTGGACTCGAAATCCGAATGTGTGATGAACGGATGAAGTCGCCTTTACCTTCATCATCATTACCACCCGCTAAATATTATTTTCCTTCTAAATATTTTTCACATCTGTCTCCTTTTCCTTTACACTTCCAATGCTTTAAAAGTTTCAGGGTCTGAAAAGAGTGTTCTAGATTTGGACTTAGCTTTACCTTATTTGTGAAATGCGGGGGGTGGGGCTACTATTAATGTCTCCTTAGAAAATTATGGTCAGTGTCCAACAAGATTATGAAATGAGCGGGAACAGTCCATGGTTTGATTAATGTCTGCTATGATTCAGATCACGTGATTTAGTATTTTGTTTTTCTGCCATAGGCTCTTCAGGGTTTCTCCAGCCTTCGCTGCAATACTGTTCCCTCCAGTTAACAAGAACATGGGAGCTCTTTCCAGGCGCAAGGAAGACCCAGAGCCTACCTTCACACCCCTCTTAGACCACAAAGTGGCTTCAGTAATGTGCTCCCTGCATACATTCTAAACCTCTTCGTCAGCTCTATGACCCAGCCCCAAGCCCTCTTCTCCTGTAACTTTCAATTGTTTCTTCCAGTATCCCCCTCCCTCAGCTTAATGATCCAATAATACCCGCTTGGTACATGAAGCTCTTATTCCACTAAAGGGAGACAAAATACCAGGGAACATCAGGCAGCAGGTTAAGCAGCCACTGTGAAGTAGCATCCCATAGGGGCACAGGTTCAAGTCCTGGCTGCTCTATTTCTCATCCAGCTCCCTGATTAATCCAGCTCCCAGACTGGGAAAGCAGTGGATGGAGTTCTTGGCTTTGATACCTTCTGAACTGAGATCTAACTCACACCAATGTGTGACAATCTGGAATAAGGGTGTCCTAGACAAGGGAAGAGCCAGCGTGAGAGCCCTAAGGCTGAGAATGAGCTGGGTACCTGAGGACAGGAAGGCCCCTGTGGCTGGAGCACATGGCTAAGAGGAAGAATGACAGCTTTTGATGGATTGGAGGTAGAGAGGCTGGATTTTACAAATGGAAATAAAGGACTTCCCCCACCCCATACAGCAGGAATTTCAGAAGCAATGACCAGTGTAACTAACATGGGACATCTTATATTTAAAAAGTTCATGTGATGGTCTAAGTCCTGTATAACTGGGGACCCTGAGTTCTATCTAGCGACTCTCATTCGGAGCTGATTTTGGCAACATGGGAAGACAACGTCCCAACTCTCACATCCAGCAGAAGATGCTCAGCTGAGGCGTGCTTCCTGTTTCTGCTCCTGACCCTTCTCGTTGCTCTTCAGAATCAAGATATTTCTGGCCCCAAACCAAAACCTACACCAATGCCATCCCATTCCCCAATCAGCCAGTGAAAACTGGCAATGAGATCAGGCATCACTTCAAGTGTAAGATTATCTTACTGAATATAGTTTTAAGTGATGATAAGGACTAATTAGGAATCTTAATAAATTAGTGTGAAGTAGATGAGGAACAAGTATTGAGTCATAAAAAGGTGTTTGAATACTAGGCAACATTAGAGTGGTAGTAATGGAATGTTGATAATCTAACTGCTAATTTTGCTTCTGTACTGATAGCTTCTACTTTAAGTTAAGAGGCAAGACTAACACCATGATAGGCATGAAGTAAGAGAGTAGGCCTAACTCTCATTTCCCAAAGGTGACAGCAAGGGCTCTTAGAGACCACCCTGGAAAAATGTGACCAACAGAAAAGAGATAAAAAGGCCCTTACCTTGGATGAAGGCAACAGACCAGTCACTGTCAGCTCTCACAGTCCTTTGTGTGATTTGATCTGCAGTATGTGGACACGCAGTACGTAACTAAGAAGAGATAATGTATGCGGTGTATGTGACTAGGAAGATATAGAAGCTGCTTAGGAGAAACGCAGGGTCCTTGTCAAGGCTCCACTACGTTGGGTGAGACTCAGACCCTAGCTTGAGCTAGCAATAAAGTTTCTTTGCTTTTTGCATTGTTGTGTGTGGAACTTGTCTGTCCACAGTCTGGGGATCTTCTGGACCTAACACAAGAAGAGCAGTTAAGAACACAGTTGGTTCTGGAAGGAGCTGCACTTGAGTATGCATCATTACTTTGCATCCAGCTCACCCTCTTTAACTGTAGCAAGCTGAAGATGTCACCCTCATTTGGATGATTTGGAGCTGTGATGAGTGGGTTGCTATGGTGATACATATGAGAGGTCTTTTGGAATGGAGTAAGTGCAGCACTAAGCTTAAAGGAAATTCCAGGGACCTGAAAGCAGAGGGAACTGAACCTGGAGTGGTCCTTTGGTCTTGGTAACATGGAGATGCAAGGGGCATGTACTGGAATCTACAGGCCCATGTTTTCATTCTTGGTGGATGTGAATAGGAATGGAGACCTTCCTAATTCCTATGTGAGGCAACCCGCTCAGAGCTACTCCAACCTCCATCCCAGAGTGAGCCAGACAGGAACATCTATTTCCTAGCGGGAGGCAGCAAGACCATGTGTCTGTCTTGGTCTTGGCTCCTGCTGAGGGGGAAACTTCAAAAAACTGGGAACAGTCCGAATTTTCAAAATAACACCTGCTTAAAGAGTCTTCTAGACATGGAAATGTGATCTGTTAGATTTAAAGCTCAATGGGAAATAATACCTCCATAAAATTTACAGACACAGGGGGGATCCCCAGCGCCTATAAAACTGTACTACATAATATAATGTAAGCAACAATAAAAAAAAAATTTACAGACACAGACACACACACACGCATACATACCTCCATGAGCCGACTCAAACAGTTGAAGGACAATATGTTCTGGAAAGCGAGGAGAGCTGTGGGATCTGCCCAGAAGGCTAGTCTGAAATAAATAGATGACACTGCAGCGAGTGGTATGAAGCAACATGAACAGGCGCTGGCGTGACGTGGTGGGTTCAGAGTGCAGGTGTGAGTCCTGGTTGCTCTGCTTCCCATCTGTGTCCCTGCAAACATGCCTGTGAAGGCAGGAGGATGGTCTTGGTGCTTGTGCCCCTGTCGTCTTTGAGAGACACTGGAACAGAGTCCCTGGTTCCTGGCTTCTTCAGCCTGCCCATCCTGGTTGTTGTGGACATCTAGGGAGTTAACTGGTAGATGGAAGAACTCTCTCTCTTTTTATCTGTTGCTTTGCTTTATATATATATATATATATATGATTTATTTATTTGGCAGGTTTTACAGAGAAGGACAGAGCTTTTTTTTTTATATTTGAACATTTTATTCACTTAAACATAACAAGTATTTTAAGCAAGAAAAATGAATCCTGAACTGAACACCAAAATATTCTCACTAACTATGCATTTTCTTTGGTTTTGTCTTTATCTTATTTTCTTAGGATAGTATAGTCCAATCACACAAGGTGCAAATTATCACATTATAAAAGCTAAAATTTCTGGGTCAGAATTTCAGCTCTAAAGTATTATTGCTAAGGGGTTACATATTTAAGACTGGGAAAATTTTACAGAGAAGGACAGAGCTTTCTTTTTTTTTTACCTGTTTGTATTTTTATTCAAATATTTTTCTTCCACCTATTTTTCTTTACAGGGAAGTGGGTAAGATTATTATTTCCATATTGTTCCCTTCATGTATCTGAGGTAAAGGGGGATACTGAGGGAGAAGCCCTACCCGATTTCCTGTTGCTTTGCTTTTCAAGTAAACATAAATAAGTAAATCTTACAGAGAGAGATGAAAGCCAGCATGAGGATGATTTAGGATCTAAACCTATTGTAATTCCTGATAGACACACTAGGAAGAATACGAAGGCAATACCATTGAAAGACATTGATGAGAACTTTCTAGAATTGGTGCAAAAAAAAAAAAATTCACAGATTTGGGAAGCTTAATAAATTCCAAAAGGATGGCTTAGTTAGAAAAATCACACTCAGATACAGTGTAGTCAGAGAGTAGTGTGAGATTATGGGGTGGCTAAACTTGCTAGCAAAACTCCATAGCTATGGCAATTCCCAGTCTCCTGGAAAAAAATGAACAACAAAACCCACAAGAACCTTTTAATCCTATCTTTAATGATAGGTTTCTAGCCTGTGTTTAAGGATTATTTTATTATGAATATCATAAACAGTTATGTAAAACAGGCTTCTAGTTTTTAATTAGTGAAGCTATAGGATCAAAGAGTGAAACCATTCATTGTAGAGGTGAGGCCTTGAAGGCTCAGAGAAGTTGAGATTTGCTGGAGGTTACACAGCTGATGGCTACACTTTTGATTGTTTTACTTTTGATGTTTACCTAGTTGGTCAAGGTGGGAAGGATCGAGGGTTAGGGGAAAGTGGGTGTGATCATTATTTCCAAATTTTCCATTTCTCCCTGTTTTTGGGAGAAAGGGAGAGATAAGAGGAGAAGCCATGTCCAGCCTCCCAACTGCTCCAGTACCTGGGGATGGGGAACGGCCACCTGATATCAATGGCCACCTGATATCCTGATGTGGCACATGCTCCCAGAGTTCTGTCCAAGTGGTATGGATAGTTCTGAAACGCTGTCGATAGCGTTGATCCAAGATGAGGAAATCCTTCCAATGTCCATGGTACAGACTTCATTTACCTGGATTTTTGCTGTTATTATTTGGCTTGGGTAGTTGTCCAGTTTTTTCTGTTCTCTTTCCTCTGCTGTGGTACCCAGATGTCCTCTGTAGGCCCTAATGGCCTGCAGCATCCTTCATGCACATCAGGACAGGCATCCACTTCTCTGTCTTTTCCACTGAGGATCTGTTCTTGCAGGTGGGCCTAGGGACCCAGGCCAGGCACCCAGACTTTGCTGCATACCCACCCCGCTGAACACCGCCTCCCTCACCTCCAGGGCTCTTGGTCCTGGCACTGATTTTTTTTTTTTTTTAAGATTTGTTGATTTGAAAGGCAGAGAGGTTGGTATTGTGGCCTAGCAGGTAAAGCTATCATCTGTAGCTCCGGCATCCCATGTGAGTTCAGTTCATGTCCCAGTTGTTCCCATTTTCCATTCAGCTCCCTGCTAGTGTGCTTTACCATCAGCATTTGAGACCCAGTTGAAGCTCCTGGCTCTGACTTTGGCCCAGCTCAGCCACTGCTGTTGAAGCCGTCTGGGAGTGAACCAATAGAGGGACGATCTTACTGTCTCTTCCTCTTTCTATGTAACTCTGCCTTTCAAACAAATAAATAATTCCTTTAAAAAGTGAAAGCCTGAGTTATGTTGAGAGAAAGAAACAGGGGGGAGAGAGAGAGAGAGAGAGATTGAGTGAGTAAGTGAGCTATTTTACATCTGCTGGTTCATTTCCTAAATGGCCACAATAGTCTAGCCTGGGCTGAGCCTGGCCAGGACAAAGCAAGGAACCTGAACTCCGTCCGGGTCTCCTCCATGCGTGACAGGAGTCCAAGCATTTGGGCCATCTTCTGCTGCTTTCCCAGGTGCATTGGCAGAGCTGGAACTTCACAGCAGCACTTACTGGGGATGGCAGTGTCACGGGCAGGGACTTGACATGTCAGCCCAGTCCTTTTAATTTTTTTTTAAAGATCCAATCTTGCTATTTCTTCCTTTTCCTTTTCCTCCCTCCCTCTCTCTTTTTAAAAGATTTATTTACTTTATTGGAAAGGCAGATGTACAGAGAGGAGGAGAGACAGAGAGGAAGATCTTCCGGCCAGTGATTCACTCCCCAAGTGAGTGCAACGGCTGGTGCTGCGCTGATCCGAAGCCGGGATCCAGGAACTTCTTCCGGGTCTCCCACACGGGTGCAGGGGCCCAAGGCTCTGACCTGCCTTCGATTGCTTTCCCAGGCCAGAAGCATGGAGCTGGATGGGAAGTGGGGCTGGCAGGATCAGAACCAGTGCTCATATGGGATCCTGGCGCATTCAAAGCGAGGACCTTAACCATTACGCTATCGTGTCTGTCTTTCTTTCTTTCTTTTTCCTTCCTTCCTTCCTTCCTTCCTTCCTTCCTTCCTTCCTTCCTTCCTTCCTTCCTTCCTTCCTTCCTTCCTTCCTTTCTCCCCCCACTTTTTTTTTAAAGGATTTATTTATCTCTATTATGCAGATTTGCAGAGAGAAGGAAAAACACAGAGAAAGAGTTTCTATCTGCTGGTTCACTCCCAATGTGGCCACATTCTCTGGAGCTGAGGCAATTTGAAGCCAGGAGCATGGAGCTTCTTCTGGGTCTCCCACACACAGGCAGGGTACCAAGGCTTTGGGTAGTCCTCCACTGAGTTCCCAGGTCACAAGCAAGGAGCTAGATGGGAAGTGGAGCAGCCAGGACATAAACCAGCATCTGTATGGGATGTTGGCATCATAAGGTGGAGGTGTGCTAAGTCACCATGCCAGCCTGTATATTGTATATATATGTGGGAGACGCGAAGAAAACTCCTGGCTCCCAGCTTCAGATAGGTTCAGTTCTGGCTGCTGTAGCCATTTAGGGAATCAACCATCAGATGGAAGATCTTTTCCTCTCCTTCTCCCTGTAAAATTGCCTTTCCAATAAAAATAAGTAAATAAACAATTCTTTAAACATAAAGTTCACCCTTATAAAGTGGCAGGTGATTTCTAATAACATGCTAGCATTTTAGAGCATGTTTCAGGGAATGTTCAAAATACAAAAAGAAGCAGTCAGATAGTTGAAGCAATGCACATTTATTTTGTTGAGAAAACAGGAGTGGTTTATGTTCATAAAGCTCACAAGCAATTCCTTATGCAGAAAGCTTAGTGTTTCAGCTGCGTTCATATCCATGTTAGCCTGGCCTCTGAAAGCTTTTCCGCACCTGGTGAGTCATTTTCTGCAACAGAGACCAACTTTTCTACTGACAATGTTAGAAAGGAAAACAAACAGTGGATTTATTACACAAGTTATTTAAATATCCTTGATAGCATTCTAAATGCAACAACTGCTTCGTCAGCATTAAAGTTCAGGTGAAGTGCAGGAAACTTTATAACTGTATGAAAACCAAACCAAACCAAACCAAACCAAACCAAACCAAACCAAACCAAACCAAACCAAACCAAACCAAAAGTACTCCTTGCAGGCTAGGAGACCTGTGACTTGTGGCCAGTAGGGGGCATCGCTCCTCCAGAGCGAAAAGCACTTTTAGAGCAGCCCAGATGTGCACCCTACCTGCCCACCCCCCGCCTTCCAGCATTTTTGCGATCACTCTTGTAATCAACTATTGGTTCACAGGGTCTATATTTCTGAGTGAGAGGAAAGTCTGTAATTTGTAATCAAAGTCGACGGCTCTGAACTGCGGTTCCTTGTATTTTTTGGTCATCTTGGCACCCAAGTATGTGATGAGTTCACATCTTTCTATAAACTGCTCCATCTTCTTCTTGTACTTCTTTCTTGTGTATTCAGACCCTTTGGGGTTAAAGGCTGTAGGAAACGACAGAGAACTGTGACTGCCTGCTCTCAGGCTGGTGGACCTGGGAGAGGCAGGGGCTGGCTGTGTGGCTGAGTCGGACAGCTCTGGCTGATAATGCATCCAGATTCCTAAGAAGATGTGCTGATTATTCTCATGTGGGTTATAACTGCTGGTATTCACCTTTTTTCTATAGCATGGATAATTCAGAATTGACCTTTTGCTCCCAGTTCTGCTTTTAAAGCTAGAAATTCAGTTTTGATGTTTTTGTTAAAATGACTGCCCCCATAATCTGCTGTATCTTCTACCAACATGTATATACACACTCCAACCAACCAACCAACCACCCCAACTTGACAATCCTTTTAATATTTGAAAGTTCTTCAAAGAGTCCATGAAAAACGTATAGTCACATACTTTGTAAAACTTTTGGAAAATGCTATTAAAAGAGTAACTTTTAACAATGTGTGAAATTCATGCAATTTTTAAAATACTAACATTTTAATAAACTTTTTGTATATTTTTTTGCATGCTACAATGAATGGAATTAATTCTGAGTAGCACATCAATAAAAATATACATCTCAGGGGTGGTGTTGTGACTCGGGGGTTAAGCCACCAGCTCTCTGCTAATGAGCCTGGGAAAGCAGTGGAAGGTGGCTCAAGTGTTTGTGTCCCCCAGCCTTGGGTATTGTGGACATTTGGGAGGTGATCAGCATATGGAAGGACCCCTCCTCTCCCCGCCGCCCGCCCCCCACATACTTGCCTTCTCTCAGTGTAACTAAGCCTTTTACTTTCATATAAATCAATCTTTAAAACAAAGACATACCTTTCAGATGAAATGCTATGTAGAGCAGTGCGGATCTCCTTACACTCAAGAAGGGGAACTTGGGCTTTAAGCACCCTGCTGCATTCATTGCTTTAATTAGAGACGTAGCGATGCCCTGCAGGAGGGAGCCATTTGAATCACGTGAGTGTCTGAGCTTAGTTTCTTGGTGTAAACAGAGTGAAAGGCTCTGAGCTTGGGGATGGGGCTTCTGAAGATGATTAGGTGACAGCCAATAGGAGGGAAACATAAGCTACATTTGGTTGGGAATCCTGGAAATTATACATTGGCTCAGTGCTGGGGGTGGGGTGGGAGGGCACCGGCCTGTGCTTTATCACAAAAGCCTCTTCATTCCTTTCACTCGGGCCATGTTTTCGTAGCAACCAGGGAAGAAGGAGGGAGGGGAGCTGGGGATTCAGGCTGCGAATTGCTTTGGCCCAGTTCTGCTTCCTTTCCCAGAACTGGCTGGATTGTCCCCACACCGTCAGTGGGCTTGAGCTTGGCGGTCAGGAAGGTAATGAGAATTCTGGAACTGAAAAGAAGCTAGAAGCATCCTCTTCACCCCACCCCCCTCCTGCCCTGTAATTCTGCACTGATAGATGGGGCCTCCTCTGGGTGAGCTGCACCTGGCATTTCGATGTTAAATCAGACGGAGGGCTTACTTTCTAGGTAAGCTGAAAAAGACAACGTGGTTCAGGTTTTGTGAATACGGTATGCCAGTGGACCTTAGACATTGATTTTGTAGAATTATTTAAAAAAAATAAAAATTAGCTTTAAAAACAGTAGTTGGCTTTAGTGGGAAGCCTATTTAGAAAAAAAAAAGTTCTGTTTGGGTAAATGAGTAAGTTGCTTCATGGGGATTTGCAGAGCATGCTCAGCCCTGGGGTTCACTTGACCTGGCATTACAACTCAACATGTGTGTGCAGTGCCAGTGCACCGTCCTCCAACTCAACCTGCATTATTTCAGATCCTGGGAAAGTTCTACAGACACACACTTTCCAAAGTAAGGACCACACCACGTAGCCAGGTCCAAGGTAAGGACGATCTCCCTTGTCTCGTGAGTGCAGCTCTATTTGGGAATGAGCTACGGAAGTGAGGGCTTGCAACATATTTTGTTTTCAGATCCAAAGAAGGGAAGAGTGGGTTGGCAGCTTAAGATAAAAAAAAAAAATGCTGCCTTAAATTGCCTGCATTGCTAAAGCAAAACAAAAAACCTGTTTTGAAAGAGAAGGGAGCAAGGTGCATTTTGAATGGGCATCCCGGGACAACCCAGCAACAGCACCTGCTCCAGGTATCCTGGCAGAGGGAGGCTGGTGAGCGAGATGGGTTGCTTCAGCGGGGGCAGCTTGTGTGGAAGCTTCTGGTCCCAGTATCTCTGTGGTGACCTGAGGACACAAAGCTCGTGGCATGGGTACCCGCACCAGAGACCAGGGGAATGCCAAGTTGACCACCTGTTTCTCTCCACCCCGGAAAACGATACAAGTCCTCCAGTTCTGCTCACCTGCTCTCAGTTTCCTGGCTTTTCACAGCAATTATTTTCAAAGTTTATATATTCTCTTCAACTTTCTGCTGACTCTCTAAGTAGTGCCCTCCATGACCTGGGCAGGTGCTATGCTATACACCTGCTTTCCCAGGTTCTTCACTCCCCAGCTGCTGAGGGCATCTGTGAATGTACCCTCTAGACTGCAGACAGGACTTCCACTTTGCCTCGCTCTGTGCACTCATTCGTGTTGATATCACCAAGTAGCCTGCTACAACCTCACCTTCACACTTTTACAGTCCTGGTCTTGTTTGACCCCTAGGCAGCAGCCAAGCTTGCTGCCTGCAGGCACCTACCTGGAGCCTTCCTCTCTAATCCATGGCCAGCCCTACTCTCCATATAGTTTTAAATTTCCCCTTGCAGTCTTCCCTGTTAGCTGAGTGTTTCTCAGGGCTTGAGCTCAGGGCTACAGATCAGCTCAAAAACAGGGGGGTGTGGTTTGCGGCAGCCTGCTGCCAATACTCCAGTGGGGAAGTTCACTGCAGACCCGGATGGGATCCAGGTCTGTCAGTGTCCTCACACTGCTCTTTGTATCAACTCCAACACCAACCCTGACTTGCCTCTCGCCCTCCTCTCCCCTGACTCTGCATCCAGCTAGGCTTGAGTTTCCTGTAGTTAGGTCATCCTGCAGGACTCTCTGCTCTGCATCTGCATCTAGCCCATTTCTTGCTGCTTCTCTGGGCCTAGTCCTGCCACTTCCATTATGCTGGTGTGGTTTTCCTTTGCCAGGATCTCCCGCAGTGCCCCAACTATGTCACCCTCCAACTTAAAAGCCTTCCTCTGGGACTGAAGCTGTAGGATGTAGGGGGCCTAAACTTCTCCTTGTCATCATCATCTCGCATGGATCTTCCTCTCCTTCTCCAGTCCCCAGTAAGGGACCACAGGCGCCCCCCTCTTCAGTAAGCACCGATCTCACCTCAGAAATTTCTCAAGCTTTTCTTTAGTCTCAAAAATATAGATGCGATCACGGTATTCCACTGCATGGTTGATGTTACCAGGAACGAGCGCTTCATATCTGTAAGATCCCAAACAAACAAATAACAAAAAAGTCACCCTCCTGGAAAGCAGTATTACTGTCCAAAGAGTGTCATGTTCCCACATAGCCAGATCAAGGAAGCAGCAGGTGGTTCCCCCTGCCCTTGTTTCAGCCAAGGAAACTACGGTGGCGGTGGCTGGTCAAACACTAAGACTGTTCAGAGTGAGCAGTTCCTGGGGGAGGCCATGCTACACGCCCCATGCCCCCACCTGCACCCCGGGTGAGCACCTGCCTCTGTTTTCCATCCTGATAGGTCACTGGACAGTAGCCCTGGAGCTCAGCACACTTGGGGAACCTGCGCTTCAGCTCGTGCAGGGTCAGCCTTTTGGGGATCATGTCCGCCGATGGGAGGGGATGCGGCGCTAAGGGAGGCACGTACAATTCGGGGTTCGCCAAGAATTTCTATATTTAAAAAAAAAAGAGAGAGAGACAGTAGCCATCTTACCTGAGTGTGCATTCGCAGGAGTGGGAAGTGGAACTGGGACTGAAACCCCAGGCAAGCTGAGCCTTCCCTGCTGTGCCAAATGTGTGTTGCTTTACTACATGCCATAAAATCTTGGGTATTAACAGCACACTCAGCCCTGTGTGTCTGCAGGTTCTGCACCTGCAGATTAGACCAACTAGAGAAGATCAGAAACTACTGGGGAAAATGCTGTTCTCATTGCATCGAGGTTGTATCAGTCATTCTGAGTAATCTGGAGATGGTCTGAAGTATCAAGAAGGATGTGAACACATGATGTGCACACACAAGGCTGTTTTATAAAGTAGCTGAATGAACGTTCCCAGATTTTGCTATCTGGAACTCTCCTGAACACCAAGGGATGGCTGTACAGATATCCTGGGAACTGTAGTGATGGGAACTTGAAGGCACAGAAGGCCTCTGTCAGCTCCTACTGCCTGAGGATGCTTCTGACATTCCCTCCACAGCCTCTGGAGCCGAATCCCTTGGATCCCCACCCTTGGGCAGAATCCTTCACACTCAGTGCCAGCTCCACTAAGGGGCACCCATGGCTGGCTAGTCCATCTGTTGGGCTAGCCCAGATGCATGCGCCATCACTGATGGCTCATTTTGTGTTCCTAAATAGTCACAAACCAACTGGAGGGCTCCCAGCCTTGATTTTCAGGGCATTTCCTAGCTGTGCCCATTCTTTCCTATTGGACAAATCGCAGCATTGGGGACAAACGTACCTGTAGCTTTTCTTGAGAATGCATTTTATAATAGTGGCCCCGGAATTCTGCCACAAGTTCCAGGGAGTCGTTCAGTGAGCAGTCATACAGTTCATTGGCTTCAGCCAGGCTGACAGGGCAGAACTGCCCAAACTCCCCGAGGCGGGAGAGCAGGTCTTCAGGTGTGATACATAACTTCTCAACACAGGCAGCTTTTCCTGTTAGTAACAGGTGACCGGGATTAGGGCTTTTGCTTTTTTCCAGAAACACATTATAATTTTAAAAGTTAACAATGGAGTAGTACTATATAAATCCATACTCACTGGAAAGTTCCAAACAGTAGAATACAAAGTAGAGGTATAACCCACACCCCCTTCCTCTCAGTTGAACAGTCCTCCTGAGAGGTGACCGCTGGTGGGTGGGTGTCCTTTTTCTGTATATTTGCATACAGAGACTGCATGTGAATAGGCTTTTGCCACTGCACTGTAAACTTTATTCTACAACTTACTTTGATCAGTTATTTAGTATTATTGACATCTGGTCATATCAGTTTATGCAACTGTGCACTGTATTCCACTGTATGCATATAGTTCACTCAGCCCTTAATCTGTGGATAAGTGTTTGGGTTGTTTTAATTCTTGGCATATGTATATGCTATAATAATATTTGCATATATACATATATGTAACTGAATATGTATATGAACGAGAATGGATGCATATGTACATACATATAAGGAGTCCTTATAGAGTCCATGGAAAACACATTTTATGAAAAAACTGAAAGGATTGCAAAATTTTTGTATTGAAATGTATTTTCAAATTTTAATGTATTTATTTGAAAGGCACAGAGAAAAAGTGAGCAAGTGAGAGGGAAGAGAGAGAGAGAAAGAGAGAGAGATATCTCCCACTTGCTGGTTCACTTCCCAAATGCCCACGATGGCCAGAGGCGAGCCTGGCCAAAGCTGGGAGCTGGCAGCTCAATCCCAGGTCTGCCAAGTGGGAGGCAGAGGCCTGAGCGCTTGAGCCATCCCCGTCGCCTCCCAGGGTCAGCAGGAAGCTGCACTCAGACATGGAAGCCATGTTCTCCGACGTGGTATGCAGTGTCTTAGCTAGCGTGTGAACTGCTTGGTCTCATGGTGTGTGTGGGCTGGACATAGTAATTCGCTATTAATAAGTAAGATATAGAAACAGTGATATAGAAAGGTTTACTTATAAAAATAAGTAAGATACAGAAAGATACAGAAGAATGGATGCCACTTCTTTTTTAAAAAAATGTTTATTATTTTTTTATTTGAAAGGCAGAGTTAGAGAGAGAGAGAGAAAGAAAAACAGAGAGGGAAAGGTCTTCCATCCCCTGGTTCACTCCTTAAATGGCTATAATGGCCAGAGCTGAGCCTATCTGAAGTCAGGACTAAGAGCTTCTTCTGGGTTTTCCAGATGGATGCGGGGGCCCAAGACTTTGAGCCATCATCTGTTGCCTTTCCAGGTCACAAACAGGGAGCTGAATGGGAAGTGAGGCAGCCAGGGCACAAACTTGCGGCCATGTGGGATTCTGCCACTTACAGGTGGAAGATTAGCCTGTTGAGGCATGCTGATGTCACTTCTATGATTAGTTTGCTGTAATGGGCTGAATCATGTCTCCCCAAAAGATATGTTGATAATTCTCCCCTACCCCTAATGCCCACAAAGGTGACCTGGATCGCACATAGGGCCAGATAGACTCAGAGAACGATGTGTGAAGACTTGGAGACTGACAGACACACAGAGAAATGACATGAGTCAGAGGCAGAGATGGGAGAGACACCTACACAAACCAGGAACACCAGGGGTCGCTGGCAGCACTGGACCCCAAGAGAAAGGTGTGGATGGGGGGCACAGATTCCCTTGCTCACACTGCATCTCCAGTGGGAGCACGCCCCACCAGCACCCTGGTTTTGCTTCTCCAGCCTTTGCAGTTGCGGGATGACACAAACAATTTTATGTTGATCGAGCCACCCAGTTTGTGTGTTAGAGTAGCCCGAGGGTACAGGAACAATGACAAGAGGCTACAACTTCTGTTGGTTGCCTTTTCAGCTTATTCTTCTGATGAACTGGCTGCTACGTTGGCAACGGCTGGCAAGGACCCAAGAGACCCAGTCCAGCAGTTCTGGGGGAACTGAGGCTTGTTAAGATGAGTGAGCCTGGGGACAGGTTTGTTCCAAGGTGGGTTTTCAGAGGAGACCATCACCCTTGCTGACGCCTTGGCTGGTAGGCTTGTGAGAGAGTCTGATTGTGGCCTTGAGAGAGTCCCCCGGTTAAACTGTATCTGATTCCTGCTCTATCTCTTCTCTGTTGTTTTAGGTTTTTAAGTTTTGGGTTGTTGCTGTGCACCAATAGATAGCTAGTATTCTATTTGTTTACGACACAGAGAAGGCTAAGGAGCACTAATACTCCTCTTCTACAAAAAAAAAAAAATTACCCCAGGGGGTCAGTGTTGTTATATAGTAGGTTAAGCCGTGGCCTGCAGTGCAGGGATTCCATGTGGGCACGTGCTTGAGTCCCAGATGCTCCACCTCTGATCCAACTCCCTGCTAATGCAGCTGGGGAGACAGTGGAAGATGACCCACGTGCTAGAGCCCCTGCCATCCACATGAGAGATCCAGATGGAGCTCCTGGCTCTGAGCATTAGCCTGGCTCAGCCCTGGTCATCATGGTTATTTTAGAGTGAACCAGTAGATGGAAGAACCTCTCTCTTCCTCCTTTCTGTCTCTGTAACTCTGTCTTGCAAATAAGTGAAAAAAAATCTTAAAATATCACTCCACTGTAATAACAACAACAAGATGGTGCTACAGTCTATGGCATTGTTCCTCTAAAATACAGTAATATAGCATATTGTACTGTAAAGTAGATACTACCATAATGTATAATGTCCTAATGCCATCCTTTATGGTACTATCATTTTGTATATTCTGATGTTATCCTTTCGCTCTACCATGCTGAACTTCACCAATCTTAAGCAGGTTTAGTGATTTAAATCACAGCTTTAGTCATTTAGAGTTGTGTGGCTTCAAGTCATGAAAGCACTTAAACATCTTTTTCAAAGTCTTGGCATATCCTTAACCACATCTGACAGTGTTCACATCTTATTCTGCAACATGGCAGAGTGACAAGGAATCTAATTTTCCAGCTCCGGCCTTGCACGGACTCACCGGGTAGAATAAAGCTTGGATCCTGATAGGCAAGCATGGCTTGAATAACATACCCCCCCCCCAAAAAAAAACCCACACACATCAAAACTCAATTAAAAATCTGTCAGATGCAGCCTAGGCGATCAGGCGGGGTGGAAGCAGAGAACAGTGCAGATGTGGGTTGGGTTAAAGCAGCTGAGGACAGGCCCTGGCATACTGTGCGGGGTGCTGTGGTGCCCATCCAGGCTCCTGTGCAGAGCCCCGGCGGCCTTCTCCAGCTGCTGAGAAGACTGCACGGTGGAGGGTGCGTTTTCCTGCTGCTGCAACCTGCCATCGTCACAGGGGCAGTCTGCTGCTTATCTCTTTTCTTGACAGCACTAATCCATTTCAAAACAGCACAACTCTCTTGGCATTAGTCACCCCTAGTCACCCCTAAAACACCCCATGTCTTAACACTACTGCACTGGGGATTTTGTTTCAACATAATAGTTCTAGGGGGATACGGCATGCTCAGAGCGTAGCACTAGAGTAATTGGATAGCACTTTACTTTTCAAAAATACCAGTTAAGATCATTGGGACAAATGTGGAAATGGAATGAATTACAGGAACAAGAGTTAGACGCATTTGAACTTCAAGCTCATATTTTGCTCTACCTTTAAATTTTTTTTTTACCTTCTTTGATTCTTTCCAGGTATGTTTGCATGTAATTATTCACCATCTGGACATTCTTCATGACTTCATTCCACACCCACCATTTGCTGTGAAAGCCGTCAATCACGTACCAGTTCTGATGCTGCTCTTGGTAATACTGCCTAATCCCAGCGATATTTTTGCGGTACTTTGCATTTTTGACAGCTATAATTTGTGCGCTATTGTGCAAGGGCAATGGGAAGCTAACAGGGAAACAAAAGGAATAGAAAAGGCTGTTAAACATTTTTTTCCTTCACTAATTAAAGTTCATTTTTTTTTCTCACTGTGTATATTACCTCTGCTCATTTTTCTTAGCCAGGATCAACCTTTTGAAAATCTCCTTGGAAGGCACATCCAACTCGAAGACGATCATGGGAATGATTGACCTGGCTTCCAAGAGAGTCATTTGATACGTAGTCACAGGGTATCCATCGATGACAACACTGAGCGAGACAATGGTGAGAAGAGCACTTCTAGGGCGCAGACTTGATGCAGCAGTTAAGATGCTGTGGGACACCCCCATCCCACACTGGGAGATCTGGAAACCAGTTAAGATGCTGTGGGACACCCCCATCCCACACTGGGAGATCTGGAAACCAGTTAAGATGCTGTGTGGGACACCCCCACCCCACACTGGGAGGTCTGGGAACCCAGCTTCCTTCCCCACTCCAGCCTCCTGCCAGTGCATACCCTGGAAGGCAGCACGTGATAGTTCAGGGAATGGGGGTCCCTGCCACCCTGTGGAAGACCTAACCTCAGCCTGGCCTAATGTTGGCTCTTTGTAGGGGAAGGTAAAAGAATAAAAGAATTCCACATTCTACAGCTGCCATAGTGTAGCAGGCTCTTTCTGCCTGCAGCACCAGCATCCTATATGGGCCCCTGTTTGTGTCCTGGCTGTTCCACTTCAGACCCAGCATGCATGGCCCTGGGCTGTGTTGAAGTGCTACAGCCAGGGGGAGAGTAAGACCCTGGCTGTCAAGCTGAGAGGTGGGGCTAGAGGCTGAAGTGCATGAAGGCCCATGGCCAGGTGGGAGCAATCTGGGACCACTGGGCCTTGGTCACCAGTATGGGTTGGTGTGGGCCACCTCGCCTTGCCCAGCGCTCCCTGATTGTCTTGAGGTCTAAATTCCATGGTGGAGGTGACTGCAAGTTGGCATGGGTAAGCCTGTCTATTCGAGGAGGCTAGAGCAACTCAACTTCCTGGTTCTGGGGATGAGCATAACTCAGAGTGGGTGAGCAGTCATTCTGAGTTAAGATGGGTCTACTGCAACTGTCTTGGTGAACATCTCTGCTCAACATTTGCAGCAGCAACTCCCTCTGGGTGAGTCCCAGTGCCTTTCTGAGGCAAACAGCTAATGCCCTGCCTGCCCAATGTCATAGAAATATTCACGGACCTGAATATGGTTAGCAGTGAGGAAGGGCAAGGGGGCTTCTAACATACAACAACTTCAAGGACACTGACTTGGGATGGTGATGGGATTGAGCGGGGGTGTTTAGGGAGGAACTAGGTCAGTGAACCGTGTGCAAGACCAAGGCCTTTGCTTTTGCCTGGAAGGGCATTTCCTCCTGGATGTGCCCAGGGCTAGGGGCGCAATGGTCAAGTATAGGACTAGCAAGAGAGGGAGAATTCAAGCATGTGGCTGTTTTCTAGAAGCCACACTGATGGAGAGGCATTGTTACTTGGGCAGAGAGCAAGGCCAGGGAGAGACCAGGCCCATAGGAAGACATTCTTCCTCCATTATGGATTAATTGATTTGGGAGGAAGGAGAGAATCTTCCATCCATTAGCCCACTCCTCAATGACTATGATACTGGGGCAGTGCTGGCTGAAGCTCCCATGGGGACCTTCCCTGTAGGTGGTAGGGACCCAACTACTTGAACTATCAGTGTTGCCTCCCAGGGTGCTCATTAGCGGAGAGCTGGGATTGGTTAAGGACCCAGTGACTCCGAGATGGGTTGCTGGGCCAGACACCTGCCCCTCCGTTATTTCATGGGGTTGGGGTGGGGGGATTACAGTGGGAAGCACTGCAGGATCCCTCTCTGGGGGACAAGGTGGGCCTGCTGGCTTTTGGGCAGCTCTGGGGTTGCTGCTGGGATGGACTCTGAAGCTGCCTGCTCCTTGGGCAGGGGAGTGTGCAGCCAGGTATCAGCTTGACAGAATCTCAGAGTAGATAGCACCCTTGTCAAGGGTTTCCAAGCTGGTGAGCGACCAATGCTTTAAGACACTGGGAAGAAGTTTCTCAAAGGTTTTCACTCCCTGGGTCCTCCCCTCCCACCCACCCTTTCATTACAAACCCCGCAGTGTTGCAGGCGCTTTCCATCAGAGCCAGTTCCAGGGCTTGGATGGTCAGTTCATCCGGCGCCGTCATCCCTTTGTGAAGACGCCAGTTCAACATAAGTGCTAGTTCTGTTTCTTGGTAGTGGTTTAGCACAGTCCTCAGCGCGTCTCCTACGGACAAACGTTTCAAGCCATATTTGCTTGCTAGTTTGTTGGCCACTGGAAAACACAAGACATAACAACGCTTTGTTTCACAAATCCCCCTCTCAAATGCTCCCCTGTGAGACGCTGGCTAATGACATCAGCAGCAAAATCCATCTTCACATCACTTGAGGGACATGCCAGAGCAGACTGCCACATTTCACCACATAAAATCCTCCTGGTATGTGACTAAAAGGATGTGGCTAAAGAGCCAATTCTGTACTGTTTTTTTTTTTTTTTAAGCAACCAAACCAAAGTTTAAGTGTTTCCTTTCTTCTGCATGAGACAATAACATTTTTTTTAAAAGAAGATTTATTTTGATTGAAAAGACAGATTTCACAGAAAGAGACACAGGAAAAGGTCTTTCACGCACTGGTTCACTCCCCAAATGGCTGCAACAGTCAGAGTTGAGTTGATCTGAAACCAGGAGCCAGGAGTTTCTTTCTGGGTCTTCCACCTGGATGCAGGGCTCAAGGACTTAAGCCATCCTCCACTACCCTCCCAGATCAGAGGCAGAGAGCTGAATCAGAGGTAGAACAGCTGGGATATTAACCAGTACCTAAATGGGATGCTGGCAATGCAGGCGGAGGATTAGCCTGTTTTAACACCATGCTGGCACGAGCAGCAACATTTTCAGTGGATGTCACTTTGCTGTGGGACCTGAACAACCCTGGCAATCTTAACCGTTAAGTCAGACCCTCACCCAGGGTTCTCCTGGTGAATACTGACTCTCCAATCGTTATGGATCCATTTTGGTTTTCTTTCATTTTGGGTCAGTTGTGGGAGTTGGGGTCCCAGTGGCACTGGGGATCCCTTTTTGCTTGGGAAGGCAAAAGTCTACCCTTTCTCACCTGTGGTTTTCCCGGATTTTGGAGGCCCCACGATGAAAATCCGAATTGGCACCGTGGGCTTGGGTTTGGGTTGGCGGATGTATTTGATTGGGTTTTTCATGAATTTCTCTTTAGTTTCCTTACTAGATAAAAAATAGATGTACTGCCGATGGATGACAGGGTAAATCGGAGTGTCTGCGTTGTCCACTGCCTTGATAGTGTCTCCTTCGTTTAGCTGCAACACAGGTGGAGTTGTAAGTTTGTTTCCATCTGTGCATTTCTCCCAAATACAGTGGAGGGAAGCCAAGTGGGAAAATCAGAAAAGTGTCTTCCTTACAGCAGAAGAAAACCGATTATAATCAAATACCAACACGACGTAACTAAAAAGTACAGATGATATAAACACATGATCAGTGTAACACTTCCTAGTTGACTTTCAATGTGCTTCAACTACAGGAAGTTCTTTCAATTTTTCCCTGATGGCTTTAATGTATATGTTAATTGTTTCAGCCAAGAGGTTAAAGTCTATGTTTATTCCTCATGAGTAGGTTGGTTCTTAAAATTTGGTGTCAGGAAACAAATTGTTCCCTCCCTCCCAGTGATGCGCACCAGAAATCCTAATGCCTTCTATTTGAAGATGAAGTGAGGACAGGAGGATGGGGCCCCAAGCAGGACCACATCCTTCTAAGAAGAGGAAGCAGCTGCAGGGGACCTGACTGAGGGACAGGCCAGGCAAGTCCATGTAGAAAATGGCTGTCTGCAAGCCGGTGGGGAGGCCTCAGGAGAAGTCAAACCTGCTGTCACCTTGACCTTGACTTCTAGCCTCCAGCACCATGACAAGGTCAAGTTCTATCTTACCCATGGTGCCCTGTGTGGTGGCCAGAGCAGACTCATGCAAAGCAGGTTCCAGGGTTGTCTTTTGGGGTCTACTGGTGGTGTAAATCCCACTGAGTTCTGTCCCACATCTTGGTTCGGATGCAGTTCCACCCACCTGAGCATCAGTAGCCATCAGGAAAGGCAGCCAAACCCCCAAAGGCACGGGTGTGGGATGGGGCAGAGAATGGGGGCCCACCTATTTGCACCGGGCACATTCATTAACACCAGGTTAAGAGTATCAGCTGTCGCTGCGTGTGGTGGACAGCTGTGACACCGTGTGGTGGCTGTACCGCTCCTTCCAACATTGATGGCCAGTGGTATGATTAACAGCATCATTCTAGGACTAGGATGGGATGGGGGTGTTTATGGCTGGGCGTGAATGGGACTCACAGGGGGAATGGGGGCTGCTGTCTGCTCCACGGTATGTGTTTGGTGAGAAAAGACAAGCATTTTAATTTAATTTCCCATTTCCCCAAGATTTTTGTAGCTGGGTTAAGACTGTTCCACAATGTTTATGTTTTTGGAAATTAGCCATTCTTTTTTCCTAGACAGACCTTAAGCAGGCAGGCAGGCAGGCAAGCCAGCTCTCTGAGACATGAGCTGAAATTACCTTTACTGGGTCCCAGTAACCAAAGGAGCTCATGTACTTGTAGGTGTGTGTGAGCATCTTCTGTGCAAGCTGCAGCGGGATGGGGTAGCATTTCTCAAAGATGCTCTCGCGGTTTTCCACCAGCGGCTTTAGCTTCGTGTTCAGTATATACTGGACAATGTGCATCTTCCGAGATCCATTGATGAGAATGACGGGGATCAAAAACTTCTCAAATTCCTCCTGACGAGAGAAACGATAAAAGCCAAATACATTTAGTGGGGGAGGGAGAAACAGTTTGCATATAGTTGTAGCATGTGACCACTGTGGGCGTCTGTGTTCAGCTTCTAGGTGGCTTTCCTGGTGCCCAGGATTGGCCAGGCTTACTGTTCACCATGGTTAGGTGGTACAGACGGCAGGGATTCCAGCCCTACAACATGCATTTCCTTAGGAAACAATACATCAAAAAAAAAAAAAAAAAAAAAGGCTGGAACCCAACTGCTTTCGCTCCAATTCTCCAAATGTCATGTCCTGAATTTTGACAACTTCAGGAAAAGGGATAACCTGTATTATTTGTAAATTATTTATATCCGTTTCAAATTTTTCTCCCAGTTCACTCTTGAGACGCTCCATGGCTTCGGATTCTTGCTCCTCATCTTCCTCACTCATCTCTTCCTCGTCCCTTGGAAACTCCTCTTCCAGGATGTTGTCAATGTCGTCTTCCTCTTCCTCCAGGTCTTCCTCACTAACCTCCTCCTCTTCTCTCAGAGCCATCTACGGAAGAAAATACTCCATGTTACCAGGCATAAAAACCAGGTGAGAAGTCATCTGGAATCTTCTGTGGTGATTATGTTCTGGTTGCTAGTACACAGCAACATTCAGGTAGCAATACAGTAAGATTCCATTTCATTTTATTTTTTAGAGATTTATCTATTTTGAGAGAGTTATGAGCAGAAAGGAGAGAGAGAGAGAGAGAGATCAATTTTCCATTTGTTGATTTATTTCCCAGATGGCCTCACTGGCCAGTGCTGTGTCGGACTGAAGCCAGGCACCAGGAACTTCCGGGTCTCCCACATGGGTGGGTACAGGGGACAAAGGACTTGCATCATTTTTGCTGCTTTCCAAAGGAAAGTAGGGAACTGGGTCAGATGTGTAGCATCCGGGACATGAATTCTTGCTCAAATGGGATGTTGGCATTGCAAGAGGAGGCTTTACCCACCATTTTAAATTTAAAATTTAACATTTAAAAATATTTATTTATTTTTATTGGAAAGTCAGATATACAGAGAGGAGGAGAGACACAGAGAAAGATCTTCCATCTGCTTATTCACTCCCTAAGTGGCCCCCACAGCTGGAGCTGAGGTGATCTGAAGCCAGGAGCCAGGAGCTTCCTCTGGGCTTCCCACATGGATGCAGGGTTCCAAGGCTTTGGACCATCCTTAACTGCTTTCCCAGGCCACAAACAGGGAGCTGGATGGAAAGCGGGGCTACAGGAACACAAACCCATGCCCATATAGGATTCCAGCATATGCAAGGAGAGGACTTTAGCCACTAAGCTACTACACTGGGCCAAAATTTAACATTTTAGATGCCTGACACCTAACACCCTCAAGGCTCTGACATTACAATGATCTCACATATGGACAAGATAATAAATGCTGTTTAGCTATATCATTGTCGGATCATTATATATTTACGGTGGTTTTCAGAATAACATTTAATACAGTCTAAGCAGGATAAAAAACTTACTAGCTATGCTAACTTGGATAGAGTTAGTCTCCTTACCTGTAAAATGGGAATAATAAAAAGCATTTCTTTCACTGGGTTGTTGGGAGTACTAAATTTTAGAAGAGTATCATATAGTATCACATAGTAAGTGTGCAGTGGCTATTATCATGTGACGACAGCTCCTGTCATCCCTGTGAATCCCTGTACTAACAGTGTCATGGCACATGCTGCAGGTGCCTTAACTTCTAGGACAAGCACCTGTGTCCAGACAGAATCCAGGCAGAGGCTAAAAACCTTCCAGGCTGGACTGTGTGATACCGTCCTGAATATTTGCTTTCTGATGCCTTGAACTTCAGTCTGCATGCCCGCACACGTGTTCAGCTTGCTGTGTCATCTCAAATGCACCCACACCCCCTGCCCCAGCCTCATAAAACATGGACCCAAGCATCCAGACTCCCCTGCCTTCTCCATAGCAGATCCAAGATGTCTTGCCCGGGACTCAGTCCTGACCTTTGTTTCAACCTCATTCAAACCACGACTTTGGCTTCTGCCCAGGATTTAGGATCCGCATCTCTGTTTACCATTCTTCCCGTCCTGGCTCCTTGCCCTGTGTTTTCCTGATTTTCTGCTTCTAGTGGCTGCTGAGCTGCTCATCACTCCATAGAACAGACCCTGGTATAGCAGAAACTGGAGCCAGAGGTCTAAGGACAGAAGCAGGGTCTCTCGAAGTGCACTTTGAGAGCAAACGCCCACAAGATGGCGCTGTTTCCTAAAAATGCAAATAGTCCGCCGCTCAACCGTCTGGCATCCAAGCAAGGAGACGACAGTACACGCCTCGACTGAGCTGGGGCCCTAGGATGTCCAGACTTCTACCTGAGGGATTCACATCAGCCAGAAACAGGAATCAGAGGCAGTGCCAGGAATCGAACCCAGGCAGTCTGAGATGGGATGCATATATCTTGGCTGCTAAGTTAAAGTATTTCAGCTCTTTAGTTTTTTTTTCTTTTTTTTTTTTCTTTTTTTTTTTTAGTGTATTTATTTGAAAGAACACTAAAGAGACAGATCTTTGATCTGTTGGTTCACTCCCCAGTTGCATGTAACATCCAAGGCCGGGCTGGGCTGAAAGCCAGAAGCTCTGGGACTCACTGTTGAGCCTCCACCTGCTGCCTTGTGGGGTGGGAGTTGAGGGCAAGAGGGTAAGGGGGCAAGCCTCAGCAGAGCCTTAACTTGGACCCAGGACCTTGGGACGGCAGGCTTTGCCTGCCCCTCCCACAAGGCTTTAAAATGCACCTTTTGATTTCATGCGGTTGGAGCTTGGGCAATGGGTGTCCGCCCGTGTTGACTCACCTCGCCTCTCCGCCTTTTGTCTCTGTCTGACACAAGTTCAGCCCGTCTTTTAGCGATCATATCTGTCTGTTAAAGAAGGAGACATTTCTTTAACATTGAAGAGATAATATAAAAAGTACTATTGTTTTTTTCTGATAAAAATTACTTTCTAGTAACTTTTTTTTCCAAAGTGGAAGTCATGTTTGGGAGGAAGACAGGTGGGTGTGCCAGGGAAGCCTGTGGCGGTGGAGAGTCTTGCGAGGGAGACCTCTTGCTCGGCTGCATCCTCTGCCCCACACCCTCAACTGCTGGTCAGTTACATCATGTATTTGCTTGTGATGACAGGTGGATTTTATTTGTGGTGATAGATTTCTATTTGGAGGTTTATTTGTTGAAAATGTTGGGTAGTATTTTATCAGGCCATTTAAACATAATAAGTAAAAAAATACATTTGGGCATATGAGCATAGCATGTGTGCCTTTTAAAATGAATTATATTTGTATATAATGAATAAACTTTATGTATTCCAGGATACAAATTTAGAAATTTAGAAGCATATGTACTTTTGTTGTAAAGATTAATCTGAAAGTCAGAATGATGGGGAGAGATTTTTCAACTCCTGGTTTGCTCCCCACATGGCCGCGAGAGCCAGGAGTAGACCAGGCCAAAGCCAGGCACCCAGAGCTCCGTGCACATCCTCCATGTGGGCGGCGCGGGTCCGAGCGCTTGAGCCATCATTTGTGGTCTTCTCAGGTGTGGTGATAGGGAGCTGGATTGGAAGAGGAACAACCAGGATTAGAACCAGCACTCTCGCACAGGATGCTGGTGTCACAGGCAGCAGGCTAACTTGCTGCTGGGCCACAGTGCTGGTCCCAGCATATGCACGTGGGAGATGGACACAGCGGTGGTAAATGGAGCTTCTAAGTATCCTTCTTTTCAACTTCTTTTTATTTGAAAGGCAGAGAGAGGAAAATGGAGAGGAAGGAAGAGAGCTAGCAAGTGTGTGAGAGAGATATCCCACTTCTCCCATATCTCCCACTTACTCCTCAAATGTCCAAATCAAGGAAGCAATACGTATATCTATGTATATAGACATAGTATTGTATACATTATATATAATATACACTACATTGCATATATATAATATGTACTACATGCAATGTAGTGTATGGTAGTGTACATACATATATGTATATATAATGTAATATATGTACATGTTATATATGTGTGTATGTGTATATTTGTTTACCTGTTTGTTTTATGCTGAGAAAAATACTTGCAAGGCAGGTGGTATTATCCCACTCAACAGGTGGGTTAGGAGAAATTCAGAGGGCTCAGTTCCTAGAACATCACGAAGCTGGTGTGAGGCTGGTACACCAAGCTCCCCGGTAAAGGTGTATGGTGTGCTGGCTGCTGCAGACATGGCCGTGTGAAGTGAGAGATTCAGATAGGAGCAGAATAGAGAGCTCAGATTTCATTGTGCTGACTTGGGAAACCAGCCGGAAAGCTGCTAGGATGGGCTGAAGGCCTAAGGAAGAAGCTGTGGTGGGAGGGTGTGAGATGCAAGGAGCAGGTGCACAATGCTATGTGTTGGCTCCTAAAACCTGCTGCCCACCTGCCCATGGCCTCTGAGGTGGTCAGAGCATGTGGAGCCCAAGATGTTCTCCTCCTCTGCTCTGTGCCTGGCATGGGGAGGCGGGGCACCACCACGGCCTCATCTCCCGGAGACATGGGTACAATTCATTACTAAAGTCTCGAGTCATTCTTAGCTTTCATTATAAGCAGGCTTACAAATTGGAGGATCAGTATCCTCATTCTTAACTGTGGCCTGAAAACTGGAAAGCCACGTGTTGGTGAGGACCGCTTTGGCACTTCCACGCATGTCCAGGGTCTGTCATGATACACACCCTGATTTTTGCCTTCATGTCTTTGATGAGTTTCTTCCTTTCAAATTTCTTCTGCTGTTTCAGCTTCCACTTCTTGATCTGGGAAGGGAGAAGGCGATCGGAGACATCTTGCTCATCGACCTGGATGAAAATTGCAGCGTCTGGGAAAAATCCATGTTCCCCCAAGAACAGGGCCTCTTCTGGATAGCGTGGGAAACCGTCCAGTATGAAACCTGTGGAACTAGGGGGAACATTTTACTGTTCATTTTACACCATGTGATTATTAGGGCTAAGAATCTAAAAGTTGATGCATTTCAATAATGGTTTTAGAGGTTGACTGTGTTGTCTTCTATTTTTCCACTTGTTCAGCTGATAATTCTCCTCTTAGGCATATCAGATTGAATCAAAAGTATAACATTTTACATCTATATTGATAACACAAAGGCAATTCAAAATATTGGAAAATGGAATTACAAGGTAAATTGATTTGGGTGCAAAAATAGTCACCAAGTGACATTGTTTTCTTCCTTTTCCTTTTTTAAAGATTTATTTATTTTTATTGGAAAGGCAGATTAGATTTATGGAGACACCAGCAGCCTCCCGGCGGCTGGTGGGTCTCAGGACGGGGCGTCTCATGCCTGGATTCCGGACGGCCGCCATGGGCATATGGTGAGCCGTTCCTGGGCGGCCAGTGCGCCATTGGTGCCAGGCTCCGCCTGCTGGCCGCCCGGCTGGGGAGCTCTGGGTATTTGGTTCTTTGATTCGCTGCTTAATTAGCTCCAGGTTGAACCCATTGTGATTCTCGGACCTCAAACAGGCAGTAACTCTTTCTTTGTAAAAGTTGTAATCACTAATAATGCTGGGCACCAAACACCAGTCCATGCAGAAGCCTGGGCCTGGGGCTTGTCCTGCAAAAGTAGCTCCAATGGCTGGCCAATGTGTCAACTGGTAGGGAACAGAGTAGATCTGGTACGAATGAGCAAACCTTAGCCCACAAGTAAAACTAGAAACCAGGAGGGAGCAAAGGTCATGCCAAGCTAGGCTCTTGTACCTACTGGTCTGCAGGAGCCAGGGACACGAAGCCACAGTGTCTAAGGCAGAGGTCGGGACAGGTGAGGAGCTGTGCCAAGCTGAGTCAGAGCAACCACTGGCATGCGAGTGATCTATGGCTGGGAACAGACCCGGTTGGGGAGCAAAGGGGACAACCCTAGCTGGGCTGAGGTTCCCACAAAGAGGCGCGTGGCCTGGAAGGGGGGCTGCGTTCTGATCTGGATACAGTTGTAGTCTCCCTTGGCACAAGTGTGGACTGGGATTGGATGCACCGAACCGGGCTGGACCCCGACTCCCCCTGGTGTTCTGGAGGACCAGGGCAGATGTGTGATAGACAAGGCAAGGTCTCAAACCCCTACTGAGCCGTGTGTGAGCCATACGTAGGTATGGACAAACCATGGCTGGGCTGGAACATCCAACAGCAACAACCAGATTGGGTGGAAGGCCAGTCAGGAAAAGCCACAGTTCCTGCTATGACAGGAGGTGGACTGAGTAGGGTTGGCTCATGGACCCACTGGTAAGCGTGTAACCTGGCATTGGGAGAGGTTCTGATGGAGGAGCCTGGGCAACTCCTCTGGCAGGACACAGACCCGACAGGTCAGCGCAAGAAACATGATAGGAAACAGCCCAGAAAAGGCCATGGAAAGCTACCCACTGGCATACACTTGGCAGACGTGGGGGCAAGACCAGGCTGAATCTGTCCACGTCATCCACTGGCAAATCCAGGCACCAGTGTGGGTTGACCCAGGTTCGGTCGCAACAAAGACTAGTGCACAATATGGAATGCCGAGGTGAGGTTGCCTGTACCGGAGGGGACCGCAGCGTCCAACCAGCCTGAGAACAAGAAAGGAAGTAGGCAGAGCCAGCAGGGGAATAAGGGAGGGTTCCTTTGCAGGATAGCTACTTCCGCAGGAGAGCATGGGCTGGGATGGGGGCAGACCCGACTAGGCAGAGCTACCACACCTGTGTGCCTCATGTGGACTAGATCAGGGAAAAGCCGGGCTCGGCGGATTATTCCTACTGGTGCAAACAGAATTAAAGTGGGCGAGGTTTGGTTGGGCAGCATCAACTGGAATCTGGGAGTGGAAGAGGCCTGGGAGGGTAATAGTGGGCTCATCCCTCTTGGGTTACCACTTCCACGGGAGGACATAAAACTAAACAGTGGCTGGGGTGGAATGGGGTGTGGGACAGACTGGATTACTGCTACACTTACTGGCAAACCAGGGTAGGGGCGGTCCTGGTGGGGGTTATTGTGGGTCGCTCCAACTAGGCTGCAGCTCCCACTGGTTTAGGTGAGGGCCAAATATGTGCGGGGCAGAACCAGGCTGGACCGCAACACCCATTGGTTCCAGTGGAAGTCGGGAGTGAAAACAGAACCAACCCAGCAATTACAACCACCAGCTGATTGGAGCGATGGACGGTGCCTGGCCCTGTACTTGTTAGCACATACAAGAAGTTTCTTTGGAGATCTTCCTAATCTAAATGCTGGACTCAGAACCCTAACGAAGAAAAGAGAGAAGACAGAACAGGTCAACCAACCATCTCAGCTATGATGGACTATGTCAATCAGTGGATTTTTCAAAGACCTCATAGTGCTTGGAGTGGCAAGATTGACAGCGATTCATAACTGTTGCAATATCAAAACCACTCGAGCAAGAACCTCAGAGCATGCCCTACACCCGGGACTTGGGGAGGGTGGGAAATTGGGTGGGCCTTCTCCCTTAATACCCCCCTTTTAAACATGAAGGTAACAATATGGAAAACATACTAGTATTATCCACTTTCCTGTAGCCCTTGAACCTTCTTACTCTAACTAAGTATGTAAAGAATGTCAAAATAAATTTTATTAAAAAAAAAAAAGATTTATGGAGACAGAGAGAGACAGAGAGAAAGATCTTCCATTCATTGGTTCATTTCCCAAATGGCTGCAGTAGCCAGAGCTGAACTGATCCTGAAGCCAGGAGCCAGGATTTTCCTCTGGGTCTCCCACATGGGTGCAGGGTCCCAAATCCTTGGATTGCCCTCGACTGCTTTCTCAGGCCAGAAGCAGGGAGCTGGATGGGAAGTAGAGCAGCCAGGATATAAACTGGTGCCCATGTTGGATCCCAGTGCATGCAAGGTGAGGATTTAGCCTTTGAAGCATTGCACCAAGCCTAACATTTTTTTCCCCACAAAGTTCATGGAAAATGTGTATCATGGAAAAAATACAAGATAACAATAGTGCATGGTAAGTCTATCTTTCAACTGTGTTTTCCAGAAACTTCTTGAATTACCTGCCAAGGAAGGATATCATTACAGTTATGGGAGGAATGGTTTCATTTCTTCTGTCACGGCTGTGGCTTTGGTTGATGACTTGCAAGTCTTTACCCCCCCACCTCTCTTCTGAGTTCTCATTTAGACTTTCCAGAGGACGCATATTTCCATCATCGGATTCATGGGGGCACTGTCCCGGTGGGACTCCCCCATGCAGCGACCCTTCCAATGCTGTCCCTTCTCACTCACCCATGCTCAAGTGCCATACCCCTTCTCCCTGCCTGAACTTCCCTGGACTCATGTGTTTCCACCACTGGCCCTTAGCTTAGCCCTGCCCATTCTTCTGTACCACTAACGCACTAGTCTTTTTAAAATCTCTTGTTGGGACCGGCACAATAGCGTAGTGGTTAAGATCCTTGCCTTGCACGTGCTGGGATCCCATATGGGCGCCAGTTCTAATCCCGGCGGCCCTGGCCCCCATCCAGCTCCCTGCTCATGGCCTTGGAAAGCAGTCAAGGACGGCCCAAAGCTTTGGGACCCTGCACCTGTGTGGGAGACGTGGAAGAGCTCCTGGCTCAGCTTCGGATTGGCTCAGCTCCAGCCGTTGTGGTCACTTGGGGAGTGAACCATTGGACGGAAGATCTTTCTGTCTCTCCTGCTCTCTGTAAATCTGCCTTTCCAATGAGAATAAATAAATCTTAAAAAAAAATCTGTTATGTTTCCCCCATCATAAGATACTATATGTATGTCACTATAGAGAAAGCCAAAAATAGAGAAAAGTCATGAAAGGGCAAAAATTATCCATAATCTCACAACCTAGAGATGACTGATGTTTATTTCTTTCTAGTTGATTCTTTATGTGCCCACTTCTTTGTCATGTTGTAAATAGTTTGCAACTTTAAAAAAATAACTTCAAAAATTTTAACTGGCATATAAATGTTGTAAATATTTATGTGATATCATGCAATATTTTAGTATATGTATATATTACATGATGTCCAGGCACAGTAGACATATACTTATTTCCTCATTTATAATTTCTTTATGGTAAATCCATTCTTTTTGCTTATTTGGAAAAATTTGCAGCACATTATCATTATCTATACTTAGCCTGCTACATGATAAAACCTTACAACTTTTCACTAACTAACGATAATTCAGTACTGGTTAAATAACCTGCAACTTCTTTTTAGATTTAACACTGTACGGTAGCATTTTCATGCCATTATAAATTCTTCATTATCATAAAATTTAATGATTTTATAATATTCAGCTATTTTCTTTAGAATTAATTTTTTTTTTATTGATTTAAAAGGAGGAGTTACAAGAGATGTGGGAGAAAGAGAGACAGAGAGAAAGAGAGAGGAGAGACAATCTTCCATTTGTCTTCACTTTCCAAATGGCCGTAATAGCCAGGACTAGTCCAGGCTGAAGCCAGGAGCCTAGAGCTTCCACTGGGTCTCCCACATGGGTGCAGGGGCACAAGTACTTGGACCGTTTTTTGCTGTTTCCCAGGTGTATTAGCAGGGAGCCAGATGGGAAGTGGAGCAACTAAGATTCAAACCAGTGTCTACATAGGATGCCAGAGTCCCAGGCCAAGGCTTAATGTACTATACTACAATGCTGGCCTGATTAAAGATTGTACAGATTCAGTTTTCACTTCAACTTCAATTCCCATCTGTGTTGATTTGCATATATACTTATATGTGTCCATCTAGAAGCATATTTTCATAGAATGTGAAGTCAAGAACTAAATTAATGATGTAGCTGCAGGTCACCTAAGTCTCTCACCACTGTTAATCTCATTTAGGAAACAAGAATTTAAAAAAAGCAAATCCAAGTTGATGACTAACAAGGCCACTTTCCTGTTTCAGTCATTGCCTAGATAACAGCGTGCCCAGACTCCAAGAGGTCCCTGGAAGCAGTGGCTAGTTAGCTAGCTTCTCTATGGTTCAGATTCCGAATCCCAAAATAAGAATACAAAGGTTTTTATCCCATAGGCTTGTTATAAGGATTAAGGAAATGTGGGGCCCGGCGCGGTGGCACAGTGGTTAAGGTCCTCTCCTTGCATGCCCTGGATCTCATAAGGGCGCCGGTTCTATCCTGGCAGCCCCACTTCCCTTCCAGCTCCCTGCTTGTGGCCCGGGAAAGCAGTCCAGGATGGCCCAGGGTTTTGGGACCCTGCACCCGCGTGGGAGACCCAGAAGAGGCTCCTGGCTTCAGATCGGCATAGCATCGGCCGTTGTGGTCACTTGGGGAGTGAATCATCGGATGGAAGATCTTCCTCTCTGTCTCTCCTTTCTGTATATCCGCCTTTCCAATAAAAAATAATAAAAATCAATCTTTAAAAAAAAAGGATTAAGGAAATGTGTCAGAACAAACACAGTTGAAAAGTACTTGGCATCTAAAAAGTTCTATATGTGTGGACTAAAATCAATATTGTAAATTCCATTTTATTTCTGGGGGGAGAGATATCAAGGCAAGAAATTACGGTTAGGACCCTGAGGTGAAGTTTGTTTTTTTTAAGATTTATTTATTTGAAAGGCAGAGTTAGAGTGACAGAAGGGAGAGAGAAAGATCTTCTCTCCATTGGTTCACTCCGCAGATGGCTGCAATGGCTGGAGCTGAGCTTATCTGAAGCCAGGAGCTGGGAGCATCTTCCAGGTCTCTCACATGGGGGTACAGGGTCCCAAGCACTTGGGCCGTCCTTGACTGCTTTCCCAGGCCATAAGCAGGGAGCTGGATGGGAAGTGGAGCAGCTGGACTCAAATTGGTGCTGCTAAGGAAGGCTGGTACTGCAGGTGCTGGCTTTACTTGTTGCACCATAGCACCAGCCTGAAGTGAAATTTAAACTCTTGGAGACTTAGAGAATGGATTGGTTTGTGGTCAGGATTGTTCTTAGTATTTGGGAAAGGGATAACAGTTTGGACAGTTAGTAAGTCATGAAATTAAAATATAATTGTTAAGTGGCTTGCAGGGTAAAAGAGTCCTTTAGAACTCAGGTTCTCCAATATGGCTATGTATCAAGATCACCTGGGCAATGCCCAAATACCAGTGTAGAGTCCTAGGCCCACATCCCTAGTGAACTTTGTTTTGTTTTTACTTGAGATGGAGAAAGAGTGAGAGAGAGAGAGAGATCCTATTAGTTGGGGCTGGAATGGAGCTAGGGAGTCAGGAACTCAAGCCACATCTCTCCAGTGGGTGACAGAAACAACTGCTGGAGCCGTCACTGCTGCCTCCCAGCATGCACGCTGGAGGCAAGTTGAAGGCAGGAGCCAGAGCTTGGACTTAAACCCTGGGTCTCTTATATGGGTTGTGGGTATCTTAACTTCTTGGCTAAAAGTCTGCTCCCCCTCGATTTTCTGATTTAGTTGTTCTGGGATGAGATTCTGATATTAATATTTTTAAAACTCCACAGATGTTTTTAATATGTAGTTCAAATGAGAATCACTAATTTACATGAGCACTAAGGAAAAACTGCAAAACTGAAATAATATTTTTGTCTTTAATAATAAAGGAAGAGGGGCTGACGCCATGATGTATCATGGCAAGCCTTTGCCTGCAATGTCAGCATCTCATATGGGCGCTGGTTCCAGTTTTGGTGGCTCCAATTCCAATCCAGTTCCCTAATTGTGGTTTGAGAAGACAACGGAGGGTGGCCCAAGTCATTGGGCCCCTGCACCCATTTGGTTCCGAGCCAGAAAAAGCTTCAGGTTCCTAGTTTCAGATTGGCTTGGCTGTGGCCATTGAGGCCATTTGGGGAGTGAACCAGCTGATGGACGATGTCTCTGTCTCTCCTTTTCTTTATAGATCTGCCTTTCAAATAAAAAAAAAATAGATCTACAAAAAAACAGAATAAAGCAAATAGTAGGCACAAATAGTGGGCCATCCATGTACATAGTAAATTAAGTTACCGGATGGGTTCCTTAAACCACCACTCAGAAAGAAGTGCTTCAAGAATCTCAGGAGGCAATGGCTCGCTCTCCATCAGACTTGTCTTGATGGCTTCTTCTTCTTCTGTAAGCTGTATGTCTACTGGCTGGAAGCAAACATCAGAAAAGCCAAATGAATTTTAAAACTCTATGCTAATAAATCATGCTATAGTATGTGGGTGGTTAGGATGGCATCTCTATTTTTTAAAATTTTTTCCTCTAAGATCTTTTTTGTTTTGTTTTGTTTTAATGCTAGGGTTTTGAAGTCTTTTCTTTAAACCATGAGCTCCTATAGTTATAAACAGTAAACAATGTCCCTAGAGCTAAGACAAGTTAGCTGTGACAACATGAGGCATCTGTACACGGCCTTGTGGTCAGGCTGTGTCTCATCACTCCCTGCCACAACCTTGCTGCTTTGTCCCATGGGATCACAAGGCTTAGCTGACTTTTCGCTACAATCTATCTATCCTACGGATCCACACAACTATCTCTCCAACCTACAGGCTGATTAGGGGATGGGTGAGTGCGGGCAGGCTTCTGAAATACCCTCCCCAGGACATTCTCAGGTCACAACAACAAACAGAAAACATGCTCATCATGAAGTCCCATCAAGTCTTTCTAAAGTAGGGTTACTTTAGACTGATGGTAAAATGTCACAGTTCTTTCTAGAATGACATGACATTTTAGTCCAGCCCCTTTTTCATCTGAAATTCTGCAAATAAATAAGGGCTGGCACACTGTTGCTTTTGAGTAAGTGGGATTTAATTACATAGAAATATTAAAATCCTTTCATGGGCTTCCCAAGAAACCAAGCAATCCACAAAACAGCCAAAGAATACCAAACTACAGCCCAAAGCAGGGAGCATCTTGTTGCATTAGAAAATCTGGACCTGTTGAATTTAGCAATCTGGACTAACGTGTGCTTTTTGGTTAACAGACCACGAGCTTCTCCCCATCTCTATGAAATGTGAGGGGAAATATTTAAAGAGTGTGTTTGCAGGGGTGCTGCCTTACTTGCTGGGATACCGCGTGTCTCTGCCCAATGCAGCTCAGCTTTGATCACACTTTACTAGGGTCCCTGACTTGGGGTCACTTGAGAACACAATGGTTTTCCCACCTCAGAAATTGTTAAAAAGTAAGAATCAATAACTTTTGAAAAAACAACTCCACATAGAAACATTTAAGAGATACAGACTTTCTCATAATTAATATTTTGAGATCCAGGGATGATATTTTTATATTCTCTGGTAGAAAGCAGAGAATATAAAAATAATAACAAAATTTAGAATCTGGGTCAGACATAATAGTGGGCCCCGTCCCAAACAGCTGCTGAGCCACAGTCTCAGCAGGGATGGCTGGCCTGGTTTTTAATGGAGCCACATGAAGCTCAATGTTTTTGTATTTCGAATGAGCAAGGAGATCCATATTTAGCACGTGGGGATAATGATTGATGAAATGGCCAATGGCTTTCTCTTCCTAGGAGCTTCTTGGAGCTTCAGGTCACCTCTGTTGGACCTTCCCCACTCACACCAGTCGGCCCAGCTACCTGCCGAGGGCCGAGTGCCATCACCTGCTTCTTTGCCTTTTCTTCCTCGACTGTCACGTTGGCCTGCATTGCAAGCTCTTCAAGCTCTTGCTTGGCTGCTTGTTCCTCCTCAGAGTCTTCCTCAAGTTCGGGCCCCACTCGTTTTTCAGTTTTGAGCAGCAGTTTCTCTTGCAGAACCTCATCAAACTGAATGTGGAAAAGGCCGAATTTCTCAGCTGCCTGTCTTCCACACACGGTTTTGCCAGCGCCCCGGGGGCCCAGGAGGCAGATTCTCAATGGAGGGGCCTGTTGTGGTGGGGAAAGGAAGGGAGGGCCAGAGTGGGAGGAGGGAGAGGGCAGGAGAGAAGGGGTGAATTATTAGAACACCTTCTCCCTGTGGCTGGGAGGAGTGCTCACGTCAGTCACCCAAGACGGTGTAGACAGGAAGAAGTCGGGAAACACACTCCACCGCACCTGCTGCAGTCTCAGGGAGTACCCATAACCCAGGATCAGCTTGACACAGTCACCGTGGCCAATGGTGTCCGTTGCGTTGAACTCTTTCCAAAGAGCTGCGGTTAACGGAGCCGGGGGAGACATTCTTAAGCTTGATTTAAGTAATCCAGCAGACAGAAAGCCCGTTTGTGGTGACACCCCAGATTCTGCTGCCACGGATTCTGTCCTCTCCACATGGGAGACAGGACATCCAGAGGCCAGCAGGGACCCGTGCTATACGGAGCATTTGTTGTACGTGGTATCTGTGCTGTGTTTCATCCCCTGGATTGAATAAAACACTCTTTCGCAAATTCTAGAAAGATACAGCATTCAATTTACCATCAAAGTCATTTTTGAGGGTAGGACCCAGTGGTATTAAGTAACTTCAGAATGTTGTGCACCCTTCACCATTATCCATCAGCAGCAGCCCAGTCTGGGACTCATTAAACAGAAACTCCCAGGTCCAGTTGTGGTGGAGCGGGTAAAATCTCTCCCAATGGTGATGGTAGTGGTGGGGGTGCAGGTTCCTGTCCCAGCTGCTCCGTTTCTGAGCCAGCTCCCTGCTAATGACCTGGCAAAAACAGTAGGGTTGGACCAAGTGCTTGTGCCGCTGCACTCAGGTGGGAGGCCTGGATGAAGCTCCTGGCTTCAACGTGGCCCAGCCTTGGCCACTGTAGCCACCTGGGAGTAGACCAGCAGATGGAAGATCAATGTTTTTCTGTAACTCTGACTTTCAAATAAATACATCTAAAAGAAAAAGTAATAACTCCTACTCCCATTCTACTTGGCTCCTGGTAATGACTACTCCATTTTCAATTTCTAAGATTTTGCCTATTTTAGATACCTCCTAGAGCTGCATCTCCCCTTTGGGCCTGACTTTAATAAATATTTTAAAAAAGAAGACAAAGAACTGCTCCAAGATGATGAACAAGTGAAAATTAGCAATGGCTTCACCAATATATCACAGACAGAAGATAGTTCTGTACATAGCCATATATCAGGAGCCACTCACCCCAGCAGTTCTAAATGTGTTCATCTGATCACGGATAGCTCACCCCACAGAATCTGTTCCCTAGCTCAGCCAATCAGTGTTGGCCCTTTCTGTTGCAAATCAACCAGTCAGGCGTGGCCTGAGAGCTGCCTCTGGTTATGAACCAATCAACAACAGTCTCCCCTGAATGGCTGCAATTCTTTAGTGGATCAGGCCAGTTGAAACTGAGGAAGCTGCTTATGCAACAAATACAGTATGTCTTTCTAGTTCTGATAAACAGACTGATACTTAGGCCTGGTTTGCTACAAGGCTTTCCTGAAGAAATCAAGGTAGAAAAGTATTTCATGTATGGGTCCAACATGGATAAGAGAGAGAGAGAATCTTCCATTTCCTGATTCATTTTCTTGAAGCCAGGAACCAAGAACTCTATCCTGCTCTCCCACGTGGGTACAGGGGCCTAAGCACTTGGGCCATCCTCCACTGTTTTCCCAGGTACATTAGCAGGGAGCTGGCTCAGAAGTGGAGCAGCAGGGACTCCAACTGGTGCTCACAGGGGCTGCTGGCGTTTCAAGCAGTGACTTCACCTTGGGCTCCACAATGCAGGCACCAGCAGGCTCCTTTATAAGCACTCAGGGGCAACAGTTGGTGGGGGAGGGCTGCGCCCACCTTTAGCGGTTCTTCATGAGCCACGTAGTCGTTGGGATGTTCCAGGAACTTGTCTTTCGCCTCCACACTTGAGAAGTAGTAGATCTTCTCTCGATACCTCACTGCTTCTTCTGTGTTGCCTGGCTGCAGGATGAAGTTTTCTTTGAGGACCACAGGACAGAAGTGCTTTGTATCTCCCAAATGCCTCCTTTTCTCTTTGATTCTGTCTTCATTCTGGAAATAGCATTCAGTTTAGGGAATATTATGACAAGGTATTTTCATGCAATATTACAGAGGAATTAAAAAAAAACTCTCCGGAGTAATATTTAATTTCTAACAATACAACATCATATGCAAAAAATCAGTTCTTACACTATGTTAATTAATTAAAACTCAGTTTCTTATATCTCTTTATGGTCACATCTTCAGTTTTCATTTCTTTAAAAAATGTATTTTTAAAAATTTTGGATTAACATATAATCCTTTTACACCTGTATGGCTACTATGTAATATTCCAATATACAGACATGAAGTGCTAATTTCAGTAATTGCCGTTTTGGGGCAAAGTCCTTTTTATCCTGGCTTTCTCTATAATTTAAAAGAATCTGAATATATTACCATTTTTGTTTCAAATGTGATTTATTACTTCTTCTTTTTACCTGATTCAACTTGTTAGAAGTTTGTCTATTTCTCCTGTCAGAAAATAATTTTTTTCCTTTTATAGAATTAGGTCTACTATGCCTTACATTATTTTTCTCCTTTACCTACTTAAGCAAAAGCAGGATTAATTTTATTTATATGAAAGGGAGAACTATGGGGCCAGGGGTAGAGTTCTCCTGTACAATGGTTTATTCTCCCAATTGCTGTAATAGCCAGGGTTGGCTCAGCTTGAAGCCAGGAGCCCAGAACTCCATCTCGGTCTCCACATGGGTGGTAGGGGCCCAAAGACCCAGACCATCCTCTGTTGCTTTCTCAGGTGCAGTAACAGGGAGTTAGACTGGAAGTGGAGCATCTGGGACTCGAATTGATGTTCTGATAGAGAACTTAAGCCACGTAGGTGATAACTTTGTCTGCTTCTCCATTATTTTGGCCCTCTCTTACCCACTTTTTAACTTTTTGTTTTGTTATACATTTTTCATGTTTGTGAGTCAAATGCTTATTATTATTATTATGATTTTTACAAATCTTTCTTGTTTTTCAATATATGCACATAAAGTAGGGCTGCCATTTGGCAACTAAAAACATAGCTTTCCCCAGTTATATCTGAATTTCAGACAAAAAAATCTCTTAGTAATGCTATGTGTAAAAATACTCATTTATCTACAATTCAAATTTAACTGGACATTAAGTGTTATCTGGTGATTTTTAAAAAAGATTTATTTATTTTTGTTGGAAAGACGGATTTATGAGAGAGAAAGAGAGAGGGAGAGAGTTCCTCCATCTGCTGTTTCACTCCCCAAGTGGCCTGAAAAGCCAGAGTTGGTTCTATCCAAAGTCAGGAGCCAGGAGCTTCCTCCAGGTCTCCCACATGGTTGCAGGGTCACCAGGTTCTAGGCCATCCTCCACTGTTTTTCCAGGCCACAAGCAGGGAGCTGAATGGGAAATGGAGCAGCCGGGACATGAACTGGTGCCCATGTGGGATCCTGGTGCATGCAAGGAGAGGACTATAACACTAGCCTACCATGTTGGGCCCTATCTGGTGATTCTAAGTTTCGATTTCTGCTATATACCACAAAGCTTTTACGTGGGGTTTAAAAATTATCATTTGGGTCTGCGATTTCATTATTAATTTCGTAACCCTTTAGCAATTGGAAAGAAAATGTGTGCAGTTTAAAATTTCTGAGTGGTTATGTTGAGGAAATATTAACCTGGGGTTAATTTCTGTATTATTTCAAGGGGAAAACAATGAAGGGATTTCTCACTCTCTCTTGTTTTCATCACACCACGTAGCCTTGGCATTTCAGTGGGTCAAGCAGAGCCTGAGGAGCGGGGAGAGTGTGGGTGACAATGCGGATTTCCGAGATGGAAAAGCTGGATTTGTTTTTGCCAGGGTCACATGTGACAGTTGCCCTCTACAGTTGTATCTTTTCAATGACTTGCCAAATGAGGATGAATAAGAACCGAGGAATCCCACCTCCTCCTCTTCTTCCTCCTCTTCCTCCAGCTCCTCCTCAGCTTCGGCTTCTGCCTGATAGTCATCCGCTTCTTCGTCGTAGTCATCCACAGTTAATTCCCAGCCAGTGTATTGGAAAGGTTCTATCACAGAAATAACAAAAGTTATCGGAGGAGATCGTTTCAGAAGAGGATATTAGCATACCGCAGCACACAAAGGTAAGGAACATTGATTACTATGATTGATTCGGGTTAAATAAGGATGGACCATCACAGACCCTCTCACCGGTCCATATGTGCCTCACTACTCTCGTCTGGTCAGTCAGAATCTGCACTATCATCATGGTTTAATAATTTATGTATTCAGTGGCCGGTGCGGTGGCTCAGTAAGCCAATCTGCCACCTATAAGTGCCAGGATCCATATGGGCACCGGTTTGTATCCTGGCTGCTTCACTCCCTATCCAGCTCCCTGCTTGTGGCCTGGGAAAGCAGTGAAGGATGGCCCAAAATCTTGGGACCCTGTACCTGTGAGGGAGACCTGAAAGAGGCTCCTGGCTCCTGGCTTCAGCACGGCCCAGACCCAGCTGTTGTGGCCGTTTGGGAAGTAAACCAGTGAATGGAAGAGCTTTCTCTCTCTTTTTCTCCTCCTTTTTGTAAATCTGCCTTGACAATAAAAATAAATTTTTAAAAATAATCAATCTTTTATTAAAAAAAATAAATCTCCCTAAGTGGCCCATTAGCTGGAGCTGAGCCTATCTGAAGCTAGGAGCCAGCAGCTTTTTTCCAGGTCTCCAACATGAGTGCAGGCTTTGGGCCATCTTCCACTGCCTTCCCAGGCCACAAGCAGGGACCTGGATGGGAAGTGGAGCAGCTGGGACGTGAACCAAGGTCATATGGGATTCTAGCACTTGTAGGCAGAGCATGAGTTAATTGATCCTTTATTTATTCATTTTATGCTGGCCCCCTAAAATAAATGAGTCTTTAATACAATAATTTATATGTTCAAGATATCCTGAGGCCATTGAATGTTTACTTCATAAACTATGAGGTAAGGTTTCTGAATTTCCAAATGCTTTACTACCATGACATGATAAGAAGTTTATAACGTCAGCCCGTACTTTCCATGGTCTCAACTACTTTTTGAAGCAGTTCCTTTGGAGTCTTGTCGGTGATGTCTACGTACAAAATTTGAATAAAAGATTCATGGAGTAATGCTTCCAGCTGTTTCCACAAGAAGGTATAGGAATTCAGTTTGTCTTTAAACAGCTCCATTTCAGGAACATCAGGGTAAGAGCCTTCTGGGAAGTCTGGTAGTACCACTGGCAAGGGAAGAGTAAGAAAACAGAGGTGTCAGAATCAGAGCTCTAGCTTTACAGCCCAAATTATCTATACTTTACAATATATTTTTTAAAGATTTATTTATTTTTATTGGAAAGGCAGACACACAGAGAGGAGAGACAGAGAGGAAGATCTTCCATCCGTTGATTCACTCCCCAAGTGAGCGCAGTGGCTGGAGCTGAGCCAATCCGAAGCTGAGCCAGGAGCCAAGAGCTTCTTCTGAGTCTTCCATGAAGGCACAGGGTCCCAAGGCTTTGGGGTGTCCCCAACTGCTTTCCCAGGCCACAGGCAAGGAGCTGGATGGGAAGTGGGGCTGCTGGGATTGGAACTGGCATCCTTATGGCATCCCGGTGCATTCAAGGTGAGGACTTTAACTACTACACTATTGCGCCGGGCCCTACAATATTTTTTAAACACCTGAGCTTTCAGGTAACCTGCCTGTTGGAATATCCAAAGCCCATATTCTTAGCTTTTCTTTTCTTTCTTTTTTTAATCAATTAACTGATTTCAAAGGCAGAGTTACAGAGGTAGAAGGAGACACACACACACACAGATTTGCAGGTTCATTCCCCAGATGGCCACAGTGGCTGGGATTGGGCCAGAGCGAAGCCAGGAGCTCCCTCTGGGTCTCCCAGGTGACTTGCAGGTGCCCAAATCCTTGGGACCATTCTCTGCTCCTTTCCGCAGGACATTAGTTGGCAGCTGGATCAGACTCGAACTGGCACTCGTGTGAGAGGCTGGCAGAGCAGGCAGCTATGTTGCCACAACGCTAGCTGCTGGAGTGCTTCTGGGTCAGTCATGGCTCTCCTCCTGGTTCCAGCCTCTTATTGCTGTGCACCCAGACCAGCAGCAGTGAGGCCTCACGGAGTTGGGCCCCTGCCATGCTAGGGAGACGTAGACTGGGCTTCACCTCCAGCTTTGGTCCTGCCTATCCCTGGTCACTATGGGCATCTCTGCGACTGAACCAATAGGAGTTCTGCCTGTCTGTCTCTCAAATGAATAAACAATAGGAAAACACTTGGAAGAAATATGCTTGATTTCTTAAATTAGCTGTTGACAGATTATTATTAGTTAAACCCAAAGTTTTTGGATATTTAATTAATGGATTTCCTATGAAAACTTTAACTGTTAATAAAATGTGTGATATAAAATTTTATAAAAATCAGTGTTACAAGCTGACAAGATATACTTTTAATGGGTTAAGTTATGTGAATATAATGTACATCAACTGAAGAAATAAGTAGGAAAGAAATAAGTATGAAGTAGGAGTTTATGCCTCTTGATCTCCCATATGGGTGCAGGGCCAATGGCCTTGGGCCATCTTCTGTCGCTCTCCCAGGTCACAAGCAGAGAGCTGGATTGGAAATGGGGCAGTCAGTAAAATTGAAATGTCAATGAAGTAGTCATAGGATGTGGTTAAGAACTTGCATTTTTAAACATATTGGTTACTCAATATCATGTCAAATAATTCCATAATGTTGTAAATTGTCGTTGATGTTATGTCGTGGCTTTAAATTGATCAGGATGATATTTTGCCAGCTCTGCCTTCAGACCAGAGATGGTCTCGCCAAGAAACTGTTGAATTTATCCAGACAATAAGATGCTGGACTCTATGCTTGGTATATGCTTGCGATAAAAGAATCTTGACTGAATTTTAAATATAATACTGCAACAAGGTGGAGGAATCCTCCATGGGGGGAGGGTACAGGGAGAGGTTGGGGAATCCCAGAGCCTATAAAACTGTGTCACATAATGCAATGTAATTAATAAAAAAAAAAAAAAAGAGATGGGGCAGTCAGAACTCAAACTGGAGCCCATACTATCACTTTTTAAAAATATTTTTTAAATTAACAGTAATTGTGTATTTTGAGGGACATGATGCAGTCTTTATATGCACATACTATGCACCAATCAAATCAACGTAAACCACATCTCCTATTTCCCTCTTTTGATAGTATTCAATGAACTACTTTGAAGAGTCTAACCTGTTTCAGCCAGGTCTTCAGCTTCCACACCTTCTTTGGATCTTTTGGGAATTTGTTTTCCATCTGCAGCATCTTCAACAGGCTCAGAGACTTAAGAAAGAAAAGCTAATGGTTAATATTTGGATGCCTAAAAATATCATTCCATGATAATTTAGCTGCAAACAAAAGTTGCAAACACTGTTTAAATTATATGTAGTGTGAGGATAGCTTTAAAGGTTCATGGAAAAATGAAATAAAAAGGGGTTTAATTGCAAGTTTTCTACTAAGAAAAACAGTGTAAACCACAATCGAGTAAAGAACACCAAACAGCCACAGATCATTCCAGAATCACTTAGCTTTTTTGATCTAATCCAAGAATGCAGTAGTTGGGGATGATGAATGTCTGTCATTAGTCTAGAAGAGTTGTACAAGGTAAATATTCACGGAGTACAATTTGAACTAGGTTGACACGTGGGTTCAGATCAATCAGTCTGTAACTGATAGTGCCAGGAAGAAGTTTAACTGAAAGAGGTGTGTGCACACATGTATGGGCACATGGCACACACTTTATTCTCCCTTCTTGTTGGTAAACACCAGTGTTGGATATACTTTGCTTCACTTGAGGATAAGCCAATAGCAAGATAAAACCTATGGGAAAGTGCCATCATGAAGGGAAAGCGAATGTTGACTCAGATTCAGAGGAAGGCTTTGCTTCTGACAACAATATCTTACATAAGATGGAGCCAATTTTGCACGGTAGATGCTTGGAGAACCCAACCAGCACAGTTTGTGAAAAGGGCATCATAAGGCACAAAGGCAGACCAATTTAAAGACAGAAAAATAGGAAAGCTACCTGACACAACAAAATATGCCAGTGAATCCGAAAAGGCTGGGGCATTTGGGACGCAGCAATAAACAGCAGATGTGGAGGATGGCAAGTCTCCAGTGTACAGAGAGAAAGGGCAAAGAGCAGGAATGTATCTGAGCAGCTAACATCAGGTGACCAAAATTTAGTAAGTGACACAGAGAAAGCAACCAGAAGCGATAATTGAGTAATCAGAGATCAAAAAAACCTCTCTGAATTCCAGGAAAACTTGCTCACATAACAGAAACATCCAACAAATAATGCTGATGAAAAATACCCTTTGCTGTTGTGGCATAGCAAATTAAGCCATTGCCTGCGATGCCAGCCTTCCATGTGGGTGCCAGTTTTAACCCCGGCTGCATCACTTGTGATACAGCTCCTTCTAAGGACCTGGGAAATACAACTGAAGATGACTCATGGGCTTGGGTCCCTGCCATCCTAATGGGGGATCTGGATGAAGCTCCTGGTTTTGGCCTGGCCCAGTCTCAGCTATTGCAACCACTTGGGGATTGTACCAGTGGATGGAAGACCTCTCTCTCTCTCATTTACTCTCCCTCAAATAAATAAACAAACAAATCATTAAAAAAAAAAAACCTTTTAGCATCCTTTCAGGAAAAATCCAACATACACAAATAATGTCAGATTAGACTTCTTTGTGTAAGACAAGGAAGCAGTATTACCATGCAAAATTTTGAGAAAAAAAAAGAGGTGATGACCAGATTTCATAGCATTTAAATTCTTTTTCATGTTTGAAAGCAATAGAGCTGGAGGAGCTCAGAAAACAGATCACCCTGTATGCTTAAAAAGAAACTTTCAGGAATCAGTCAGTGGCTCAACAGGCTAATCCTAATCTTGCAAGTACCAGCATTTTATGTGGGTTCCAGTTTGTGTTCTGGTTGCTCCACTTCAGATCCAACTCCCTGCTTATGGCCTGGAAAAACAGCAGAAGATAGCACAAGTCTTTGAGACTTTGTACCTGCTTGGGGGACTCAGAAGAAGCTCCTGGCTTCTGGCTTTGGATTGGCTCAGCTACGGTCATTGCGGGCATTTGGGACGTCAACCAGCAGATGGAAGATCTTTGTCTGTCTCTCCTTCTTTCTATAAATCTGCCTTTCAAATAAAAAAAATCTAAAAAACCACTTTAATAAAATGTAGATCAGATAAAAAGAGATGAGTCAAAATTGGAAATGTCAAGTATAGGGAAACTGTAAAATCTGGAAAAATCTCAGTAGAATTAGTGAAGTCACATGAACACTTTTAATGACCTTCATGTTTTATCAAACTTGGCTGGCTCTCTGAGTGCCTTTGAAACACACAGCTCAATGTCACTTCCACCAGCACGGAGGCCACTGTCTGGACTTTATTTTGAATTCTAAGTAGTTCACGTGGTTTTGAATTCTACATGTGACATCTGTTCATTACAATCTGTGCAGTGACAGACCGCACAACAAAGTCACCCCAGAGTTTAGGCTTTAGGGTCAGATTTTCCTAGGCATGAACATGAGCTTTTCCCATGCCGAGAGGGGACAATTTATAAAACGTTTGTTTATGTTCATTTTTCTCCCCTAGGCAGTTTTAAGCCAGAAGCTGCTTTAAAATAAGAATGTGGCGAGCCCGGAAGGGAAAGACTTTTTAAACCCAGGAATTTTAGATATCGAAAACACTTCTGTGCACGGGACTCAATACTGAACGGGTCCCCGGGATCTGAGGCAGCTGGCCTTGGACTTCTGTGTTAACTAAACCTTCTTAGAAGAACATGTGATGTTGGAGTAGAAGGATTTATCTTGATGACTTTAGGATGCTGGTTCCACTGTAGGTACGATTATGCAAAGCAAAGAATCCTGGAGAGAACTGCCAGAGAAGGAATTTAAAATGTGATTTTATATGAAAGTACTCACTCTGATCCTGAAAGAAAACAAACCAACAGCAATAGCAGCAATGGAGAAACGTTAAGCATAGAAAACCAAAACACAGCTCCCTGAAGACTTGGTGTCAACTACAAGAAATGCTTTATGTACAATGAGAAAGCTTTAAACAAGTAAACAGATATGTTTTAGTTGACTTTATATATATAAATTTTATATATACAATATAATATATAATAATGACACCGAAGGAAAGAAACAGGACAGCTCCGAGTCTCTTTTCTTTTAAGCTTCTCTTTAATCACTAGCCGATTAAAGGTAGAGCACATTGGAGAGTAGGTAAAAACCGAGAAGTGAAACAGACAGTGGAGTTATGTGCAATGAAACTAAACATTCTGGTGAGAACGAAATACCTAGGTAAATAGGAGTTGCAAATAAGGATTGTGCATTTTTGATGATTTTGCACTTTTGATGATTTTGTATGTGAATTATATACTTTCATGTTTGCATTTCAGATGACTTTGTGTAATAAGAACTTTAAATGCTATGTTAATAATTTAAAATTCTAACCTTTCTTTACTTAGGACAACATAAGTAGCAGAACAAAAGCAAAAACATCATGACAAGGTGAGAAACACCGTGGAAGAAAGGAAAAAGCTTTATATTTTGGTACCTTTAATAGTAATTTTTCACTCTTGCTTTTGAAGAGCTATCCGAAGACCTGTAGTTTGAAGGATTCATTATATACAAAGTGTCAAGTCTTATTTCAAAATGCCAACCCTAGGCCACTGCAGACTTAGCTTCCTGCCACACTGCACACCAAGTGATTCTGACGAGGTGGCTTGTCTCTGGGGCTACCCTCTCCCCTTCACAGTTGGCTTCCATGTTGTTGACACATACATATCCACACATGCCCACCCACACAGGCATGTGGACGTGAGTGCAAGTGAGGGCTTGGCCTTTGTTGAAGTCTAACCTGATTCAGGTTCCACTTCTGGGGCATCAGGTCTCTCAGGTCCTTCTGGTAAGGACTCTCGGATCTCCTTGGAGCCCTCAGGGCCCTCTGACTCTTCCGGGGCTTCCAACTCTTCACTCTCAGCCTCGTCTTCCTCCTCATTCTCAGCCTCCTCAATTTCTAAAAAAAAAAAAAAAAAAATCAGGAGAAAAGAAATGATCATTTCGTTGAAGCCAACAGAGATTTACTGGGTGCCGATAAGTTCTTTTCTCCTGGGGTAGGTGGCACAATGGGGAGACAGATTAAGATCTCTGGATTAAAATGTGGTTATAGAGGATGCTAGCTTCCTGCTCAGAGTGCTGTGGGAGGCCCTGACTAAAGAAGAAATATTTACAGTATTCCTAAATACTGCAATGGTAGAGAATAAAGAATAACTCCAGGCCCACTCAGTAAGGGGCTGGTTAGAGCTACATTGTCCAATATGGTAGCCACTAGATCCATCATCCACTATAGTAGCCACTATCCACCATAGTAGCCACTAGACATATGTGGCTACTGAGCACTTGAAGTGAGGCTACTACAGATTGAGATATCAATGTCAGCACAAAACACACACAATGGATTTCAAAGATTGCAACTACATAGGCGTCTCACATTGTCTTACGACTGGGTAGCATCAGGTTAGAGTTCCCTGTAATGATAGGGTTTCTTATTTCTTATTGCTGAAAATACTTGGTGTATTAAGTCTTCTATGAAGAATATGTCATGAATGGTAGTACTGGAATATCTGCCCATTTTTCTGTTATATAATTATAAAATTGACATTATGAAAATGGAAAACAATTTTTGTGCAAAGAAAATCTGAGACAAGATGAGCTTATTTCCTAGATTTTTGTGGGAGATTTCATCTGCCACTGAGTAGCTCCAAGAATCATGCCCTCATGGTAGGATATATCTCTAACATCTGAGTTGGAATCTAAATGTGAATGGTTAAACCCCAAAAGAAAAGAACAGCGAAGTGTTCTAGCTGGGTCTAAGTCCAGACTCTGGTGCGCATGGCTTCTAAGTGAGGAGCCAGGGATGTGCTGAATCTTTCTGGGAGGATTTTAAGGGTCATAAAACCCATGAATGAGATAGTGTGGATAACTCCTGCTGTCTGCTGGGGCTTAGTAATTTATTCTTCAGGCTCCCAAAGCAAAAAACAGCTGACACTGAAACCATCTACCAAGATGTATGAAAGCGTTTGAACTACAGGAACCATTTGCATCTTTGGCAATATATTAAACACGGACTAGTGGCTGGCTTAGGGACTACCTAGCTACCACAGCTGTGAAAAAGTGATAAGCATAAGAAAGATGGATACCACTGTATAGCACCATATGAAAATTATCTTCATTTCCTCCGGTGTCAAAGTCAGGCATATTGGGGAGTGCTGGCAGCATTCGTGACTAGTTGGAGATCATGCCAAGTTTCAGTTAAAAGCAAGTGAAAATAAAGTTGGAGTCATTTTCTCATGGAAATTCACAGGCCCCTGAGTTTGAAAGCCATGAATTCCAGGTTAGGAATTCAAATCTTGAAAGAAATTTCCAACTTCCAAAGGGAAGTTTTGCTAAAGCACAATGACAATGGTTATAGCAAAGGCTCCTTGTTCTCTCAACCCTGGCAAAATCCTTTTTAGAGCAATGATTCCATGAATCACATGTCACCATGTGTCACCATGTGATAAGAGCAACTGTCTAGACACCCTGCATAGCCAGCTCTCCCGGGGTGTGCACATGTTGGCATTGAGTCTGGAGGCTTTTTCTCTTGAATCCATTACTCTAGGGATCAAATAATTTATTGCATAAATTGGAACACTTGGGAGGAGGTCATAGACATACACTGGACTCCCCCAAGCCACCCGGGAGATGTATGACCCCATCTACAGTGCATCTGAGATGCTGTTGGGAGTGTGCAGTCACAAGACACAATTACATAGCACATCACAAGTCACATCAATGTGTCTTTGCCTTTTGCTTTTTGGTTCATGGCATTAATCAGTCTTCTATTTTCTTCCTCTATTCTCTGTGCTTCTTCCTTGGCTTTTCTGAAATGAAAAGATCCACAATTTAATTTTCTTTGGAAAGCAGGCATCTCATAAACACTAAAGGATTAAATATTTACAGTGATAAAGAGTAAATAGCTTATAATTTCTTATATGTTTTATAACAAAATTTTAAATTACTCATGCTTATGCTACTTCATTTTCAGGCTTTGTTTGTTGTGGCTAAGGGGAAAAAAATGGAATGTGACACTTTGAAAAACTGGGTACAAATCAGAAAACCTGTCCAAACGCAGAGGATTGCTGTTAGGTATTAAAACCTCTTATAAGCCACATAGAAGATCCAAGGGCAAACCATGAGGACAGCAATTATCTTGCCATGTGACTGGCATGTTCTGATACTGATGACTCATCATTTCTATAGTTTACAGAGCTTGAACTGTTGAACAGTTGAACAGTGGAAAGGAAATTACATTAGAAAAAACTTTGATAGGGGAGAGGGCATTGGCTTAGCTCTTAAGATACTGATTTGGGATGCCAATGCATCATATTGGAGTGTCTGGCTTGGACTCCTGGCTCCATGTGCCAGTGCAGTTTCCTGTGAGTGCGTTCTGCCATAAGTATCTTGGCACACAGTAGGGGTGCAGCTCTGCGGGCTTTGCCTGCTTTGTGACTGGAGGAGCCCTTCTGGGCAGCAGCCAGGTGCTCCCATGCAATAGCTCAGCAGGCTAATCCTCCACCTCACCTCGAAGCATCAGCTTCACACATGGTTGCTGATTTGTGTCCTGGTTTTACTTGGAAGAAGTTTAGGGCCCAGAGTGATAGCATAGTAGTTAAAGACCTCGCCTTGAACGCACCGGGATCCCATATGGGTGCCAGTTCTAATCCCAGTGGCCCAACTTCCCATCCAGCTCCCTGCTTATGATCTGGGAAAGCAGTTGAGGACGGCCCAAAGCCTTAGGACCCTGCACCCATGTGGGAGACCTGGAAGAGACTCCAGGCTCCTGGCTTCGGATTGGCTCAGCTCCAGTCTTTCCGGCCGGTTGGGGAGTGAACCATTGGACGGAAGATCTTCCTCTCTGCCTCTCCTCTTCTCTGTATATATCTGCCTTTCCAATAAAAAAAAATAAATCTTTAGAAGAAGTTTAATATGGTCTGTGAAAGCATCTGTGTATTTTAGAGATGCTAGAAGTACTTGTGAATTTTCCGTTTCTCTTAATTAGATTGGATTTAGTTAATAGACTACCATTTTGATATTAAAGTTACTTCATAGCTTCATAGTAAAATTTGTAAGTACATGTTTAAGAACTATGAAAGATACAAGTGCCTGTTTATTACACCAGGCAGATTTTACCTTGCCTCTTCTTCTTCTCTTTTTTTCTTTTGTAAGTCTTCTACTAATCTTTCTAAAATCTTAGCATCAATTTCAGGCTTATTCTTCAAATATATTCTATTAAGTATAACCTTTCCTGAAATAAAGAGAAAAATATTATTTTCAAAGGCTATAGATTCAAATGTATTTAGAAGTGAGTAACAGAAATTATTTCTACCCAACATCCAAACATATTTTCTTTTAAGCATTTATCTAAATAAAGTCTGGATTTTTAAAGATATCAATAGGCCATCTTTAATTATTTAAAAAGTACATATTATTATGGGATATAATATGAAAATAGATGACATATTTTCCCCTGAAAACCCTCATCTCAAATATATTTGCTAAGAGATGACAGAACAATTAAAATTTAGTTCTGCTATCTTTTGTTCTTGATTTGTCCAACTTGATACAAAGAACTAAGATATTGTATTTGCCTCAGTCTTATCTGGTTTTTTAGAAATGACCTATTGATTAATTTGAAAAAGACAGAGGGGTGGGGATGGAGGAGAGGAAGAGGACGAGGGAGGAGAGAGCTTCCATGTCTTAGTTCACTCTGTAAATGCCTCCAATAGCCAGGGTTGGGTCGGGCAGGGCAGAACTCAGGAGCCTGGAACTCCACCTTGGCGCCCTGTGGGCGGCAGGGATCCAAGCGCTTAAGTCATCACCCACTACCTTTCCAGGGACATTAAGAAGAAGCAGCCAGGACTTGAACAAGCACTTTATCATGGCATGTTGGTGCCACAAACTATTGCTTAATTTGCTGTGCCCAAATGCTGCCCTTGCTCCTTCTCCACCCCAAGTCTTATCTATTGTTTCTTTAGAAGCCATAGCTACTGACTGGGAGGGGATGTTCAGTTCTCAGCTCCCATGAACGCTTATAAGGGCGTGCCGGACAGATCAGTGACTGTGGCACACTGTCTCTGGCTACCTCCTGGGTAAATGGAGCCTCCTGCTGTGTGTCTCTAGGTCCTGCAGCGATTGCTGGGGTGGGACATACATCTGGGGAAGGTAACGAGTTTTTATATTTCAACTGAAAATATTGTCAGCAGTAAGAGAAAGCTTCACTTTCAAATTTACGTGATAAATATTTACCAACCATTGCTTTCGAAATCTGATAGATAGATGACCAAATCAGGTATCAGTCCTTTGTCTAGTAAGACCATCCAGAGATCTTTGGCCATAGGGCAATTGTCCAGAATCCATCCTCCCTGCTTCGGGGCACCAACAAATCTGTTCTGATTTTCCTCCATTACCTGTGAAAAATTGCACCCTAATATTACCATCTTAATTTGGCAAGCCAAGCAATTATTTTCATCTGCCTTTTTTTTTTTCTTTTTGTAGATCTAGGATATCTTTTGAATTTTTTTGACTTTCAGAAAGAAAAAAAAAAGCCTTAGAAACTTACTTTTAAAAAGGAAATGATTTAAAAGCAGTAACATTTTAAGTTTTAAAAGTTAGGATGGGAAGAAAGGCCTTTCTAAAACCACCACAACAGTACATTATTGCTGTAAATGATTTGGTATCACAGAATGTGCATCTTGATTCAGAAAGTTTGGTGCAGGGTGGGGTTGGTGTCTTGGAGTGTGCCTTTCCAAAACACTCCCAGGAGACTCCCCTTTGAGTGTCAAGGTCACCTTCAGACGGAGAACCCCTTTGCTTGCTTTCCCTTTCATCTCTCAGTGTGAGAACCGAAAGAAACAGCATGTTGCCAACAAAAGTGGGAAGGAATGGGTCAAATGAAATCTTGCAGGGGTTGAGTTCTCAACCTGCATCCACTCTTAAAGAACAAAAGCTTCGTCAGATGCTGGGACCTGAATGTGTGGGTCTGCGATTGCGCAGTTCTGAGGGCTTGGACCAAGTCTCTGTGCTGTCAGGTGGTCACGAACTGTCGGAAGTTAGAGGGGACGAGAAGTCAAGAGGAACACTATCTGTGTAGCTCTCTGCCATATGCAGGATTTAACCTTATTTGCTTTCTGAAATTTTATCTGAATAAATATATATTTTTTTGGGCGGGGGAAAATAAGAATTTTAAACACTTTGCAATGAATGGAACTCAGAGAAGGTAAAGTTATGTGAAAGAAACATAAATGACTAATAAAAACTTGATTGTCCAAGTTTGAAATATAGAAAAATTAAAACAGTGTGACATAAGTGATAATTCCTCCATCTCATGTAACCTTTTTTGAAAAATACTTCATGTTTTTTATGATATTTTCTTGAGTAAATGCTAATTTGTTTAATCATCATTTTACTGCTAAATGTTTGAAGAATTATAACTTTGCTATGGCATTGTGTAAGTTACTCTATATTTCCTTTGATCAGATTCATGCAAGATATGTATTTAGGGCAAAAGGAAAAAGGAGTAACATTTTAAGTGGTTTTCATAAGTATTTTTATACTGTTTCAAAAAGCATATAAATCAATTTTTCATATTTCTAAAGGATTTATTTGTTTATTTGAAAGGCAGAGTTACAGAGAGAGAAAGAGGAACAGAGGGAGAGTGAGAGAGAGAGAAAAAAAGAGAGAGAGAGAGAGAGAGAGAGGAGACAAACAGAGAGAAAGATCTTCCATCTGTTGGTTCACTCCCCAAATGGTCACAACAGTTGGAGCTGAGCTGGTCATTAGCCAGGAGCCAGGAACTCGTTTTGGGTCTCCAATGCGGGTGCAGGGGCCCAAGGACTTTAGCCATCCTTTCCTGCCTTCCCAGGCACCTAAGTAGGGAAGTAGATCAGAAGTGGAGCAGCTGGGACTTGAACAGGTGTCATATGGGATGCAAGTGTCACAGGCAGCAGTTTAACCAACTACACCGCTGGCTGCTAAATAATTTTTTTCTTCCTAACAGTGTTTGAAAGTGACTGGATCATTATAGTCTCATTAATATTGATGGTTAAAAGATATTTTGATAATTTTATAAATGAGGGATTATATATATTTTTGTAGCTTGTTAATTGAACCTTTACTGTTTTTAAGATGACTTTTCTCAGGTTTTTACTGCAGGGATGAGAAGCTGACCAATGCTCTCCTCAAAGGTGGGTTTACCCCATTTGAAGGTTTAGTCCACTTTCAGTTGTGTGATATTGATCACAGTTCAGAGCAAGAAGTAGGAGTTCTTGGTGTTTCTGAAGGGGCAAATCAACATGGGAACAACCTGCAGAGCTACAGAAGCTGAAAGGCCACATGGGACACTCAGAGGGAGCCCTGGCAACCTGAGGCTCAGAGAGAGGCTGGGATGGCAGGGCTCAAGGAGACTTGCCCTGGTCTTACAGAAAGGTTCTCTCACAGGCTATTGCTTTTCCCTCTTCCAGAACGATCTTCAGTTACAGCACAGGAAACACAGATGCTCAGTGGTAGTCCATGGCTGATGCCATCTGCCTTTGACTTTTGAGAGTGGCAAAAACGGGAGCTGCAAAGGGACCTGGAGTTGTACGCATTGCGAAAGGCAAGCCTTGTGCTTTGCCAGCCGTGGCTTTCCTATGTCCCTCCTGGACTGGCAGCTCACTTGTGTGGTCTCTCCTCTCCCCGACGAATACATACCCAAACAGACTGGAGGTGATGAATTAGCTGGGAAGCAAAACTTGCCTCCATTTGTGACTACCTAGCTCACTGATGAAATATTTGAGTTTGGTGCTGTTTTCATAGGCATCCTTTTCTAACCATTGGAACTGAATCGAAGACAATATAAGTCAATGGACAAACTTCATCGCCATGAAGTTATACAACATCATTTTGTTGGTAACTGAAAGCAATGTGCATTGGTCACTGTTCGCAGGGCTATTTTATACATAACCATGCTGACTACAGCATGCATGCCAATGTTGAGGCTATGCATTTTAACACTAAAAGGAGCCGATATAATTATACACACAGTAACAATGTTTCCTTAGTTACAGTTAACTCAATGACAGAAATCAGGCTTTTAAAAAAAATTCTTACTTCTCTGAGGACTTCCTCTAAGATTTCAGCATGCTTTTCGAATGGCTGGTCAAAGTTCATATCCTTGGCCGCTTTCAGAGTGTCCTCCAGTATGGCAACAACTGCTGGGTGATCCGCAGTGATCTCCTCTATCGACTCTTCTATTGAGGCTAAAGCAGAGGAAGTTAATCAGTCAATGTCATCTGTACTTTCAGTGGACAGTCAGTTCCTGACCCAAGGCAGACCATCTTTTTGTGACTGCAACACATTCCGTCCAAGAAGGGAACTGTTAGGCTGGGAATCACAAGCCAGCGGAGCAGTGTAAAGACAGATGTGTCAGGAAGTACATGAGGCAAGAAGAAAAGTCACATTAGGGAGAACCAAGGAGGTCAGGCAAGACAGAGAGTGGCAGAGGATTCAGGTCCAGGGAGTCAGGAGCTCGGGTTCTTCTCTTAGAGGTGTGGGGGGCATGGTGCAGCCAAATGATGGCTGCCCAGGGCACTGGAGACTAGGGTCTGGTCTGCCCCGCCCCACATCTCCTAGGCTCCAGCCTGTAACAGGAGGAGGGGCCACAGGAGCCAGTTACGTCACCTACCTGGCGGGATTCCAGGTGACCAATGGCACACCTGAATGGACATTCCTTGCATAGTTGGGGCACAGACAGCCCCTTTGCCTCCCCACGTGTCTAGAGGGGTATAAAACTCCTCCACACGTATCTCAGACGCCCTTTTCGCTTCCCTCTTCCTTCCCCTCTGCGCGAAGGGGGCCCAGGAGCGGATTTTCCAATAAAGCTTCCATCTCAACTCTGAACAACTTGCCGATATTATTTCACCAAGCAGGCGGTCGGTCGGTGGACATTATCTAACACCAACATCGTCAGTGGAAGATCCCGAACATTCTAGAAACGTCTGCTCAGGTTGTTCATGTTATCCCATCGCCACTCTCCTCTTTTTTTTTTTTCTTTTTTAAATAACAGAATTCTGTTCCGCCTCCCCTTGGCTGCAATGTTGCCTAGCTAAAAAAGTAACATCACTCAACTTTCTTTGAACAGCTTGTTTGGCCGAAAAATTGCCAACACATTTTGTTCAGCAAGTCTTTCCGTCAATGTTTTAGAACTCTGGTATGAGCCCCTTGATTCTTCTCTTTTCTGGGATGTGATGGTTGAGGGCTCCAGCGTTATTATGTTATGTGTGTGTTATTATGGTAGCCACCTGCCAAGGAAGGCAAAGCAGAAAGATGGTTTTCCTGTCTCCTATTTCTTTCTTCATCAAAAAAATAATTCATCTGTCACTTTTTCTGTGTTCCTATGCATCTACCTGTTTGTAATAGAGTAGCTTTTCAGATATAATTGGACATTAAGACTAAAAAAAAATACATCACATTTCTGCTTCTAAATTCTGAGGGGACTGTTTGTGTTTTTCAGAACTATAGTCAGATAGCCCAGATATGAATTTACCTTTGCCTTTTTTTTCATCTCCATCAGGGTCTTGAGAACTCCTTTTAAATGTGGATGCTTCACCAATTTCCTTTTCATCTGCAAATAAATCAGTGTTAATGCCTGAAGACGTTAAAGAAAAATGTAGGGACATTTCCAAGAGATATTGAAGAATGGGCCCAGGGACTGTGCAGGGCTGTGCAGCAGGGCACAGGGACTGCTTTGTCACCAGGAAGCGGCCATCCTTGTGCTGTTCCAGCAGATGGCTGGGAAAGGTACAGCTTCCTGCTTTCCACTCGCAGAATGACCCCCAGCGTGGGAGGGGGAGTCAGACCATGCAGGGGAGGGGCTCTCTTTGTGGGTTAGTGCAGCAGAGGAGGGCCTCCCAGCCGCCCCATCGGCAGCCGGCATTTGAATGCATGGGGTGTGGCTGCTCTGCGAAGAAGTGTCACCTGTTGTGCAGGGGAGCAGGGGAGCGGTCTGTGAGCTGTTGACTGTGTTCTGTCACATGTTGGGCTTGGACTAACAGCAGGCAAACACATCTGTCTGCAGTGGGATGAGGAACTAACCCAAAATGAGCAAAGTAATGTCTAGCCCATGAAAATGGGCACAAAACAGTTAAACCAATCTGGAGAAGAACAAAATGTAAGAATGTGTGAATGTATGTGTGTACGTGTGTGCGTGCGTGTGTGTGAGTGTGTGTGTGTGAGTGTGTGAGTGTGCGTGTGTGAGTGTGTGAGTGTGCGTGAGTGTGTGTGTGAGTGTGTGAGTGTGCGTGTGTGAGTGTGCGTGAGTGTGTGCGTGCGTGTGTGCACATGTGTGAGTGTGTGTGCATGTGTGTGTGTGTGAGTGTGTGCGTGCGCGTGTGTGTGCACATGTGTGTGTGTGTGAGTGTGTGCACATGTGTGTGAGTGTGCGTGTGAGTGTGAGCATGTGTGTGCGTGCGTGTGAGCACGTGTGTGTGAGTGTGTGCACATGTGTGTGAGTGTGTGCATGTGAGTGTGAGTGTGTGTGCGTGCGTGTGTGCACATGTGTGTGCATGTGTGTGAGTGTGTGTGAGTGTGTATGAGTGTGTGTGCATGTGAGTGTGAGTGTGTGTGCACGTGTGTGTGAGTGTGAGGCAAATATCTGGGTTAGAGGAAAACTTTTTTTAAGAAGAAAAGCCACCTAGTTTGGGGGAAAATATGAAAAATGAGAGATTAATCTAAAAGGTCTATATAGAGACCACATAGTTGATACAATTTAGGAAAGCTGTAAAAGAAAAAAAAGTCATCTCAGAAGAAATGTAAATAGTTAACAAATATTAACTAAATAAACTTCAGAAGTAAAAATTGTAATAACACTGAAAGAAAAGACAGAAAATACTGATATGTGACCTGCATGTAAAAGAAGGGAACATAATTTGTAACAACCTTTAAGGAGTTACGATTCCAGGACCAGCGGCATGGTGTAACATCCTAATTGTCTGCCTGTGGCACTAGCATCCCATAGGGCCAGCGGTGCAAGTCCCAGCTGCTCCACTTCTGATTCAGCTCCCAGCTTATGGACTGGGAAAGCAGCAGAGAATGGCCCAAGTGCTTGAGACTCAAAAGAAGCTCCTGGCTCCCAGCTTCGGACCAGCCCAGATTTGAGTGTTGCAGTCGTGTGGGGAGTGAACCAGTAGATGAAAGATCTGTTTTTTCTTCTCTTTCTTTAGCTCTGAATTTTAAATAAAAATAAATCTTTTAAAAAAGAGATTTACCATTCTTGCATTTTAGGGATATATTTAATTAAAAGGCATCGTTACAGAGAGTGAGAAAGACCCACACACAGATTTTCCATCTCCAGTTCACTTCCCAAATGTTTGCAATGACCAGGGCTAGACCAGGAGGAAGCCCGATGCCTAGAATTCCATCTAGGCCTCCCACGTGGGTGGCACCTGGGCCATCCTCTGCTGCTTTTCCAGACCATCAGCAGGGAGCTGACTCAGAGGTGGAGCAGTTGGGACTTGAACCAGAGGCCATATGGGACGCAGCCTTTTAGGTGCTGCCTTAACCTGTTATGCCACAATGCCAGCTCCTGGAATAACTTTTGTAGAGAACAGTTTCTTTTGTGTATAATTCTATATTCATTAATCTAGACATTTCGTACAGGTCAAGGCAGAAGAAAAATTCATTGGACTTTATTTATAGTAGCAGAGAAAGAGAGAGGGAGAGTGTAGCACTACCCATAATAATGAAAATAAGCCAGATGCCAGTCAAAAGAGTAATGACTAAAGAAACTGTGGTATATCCATTCCATGAAATACTACATACATATTAAAAAGAATGAAATTCTACCATTTGCAACAAAATGGTCTTAATTAGAGACCATTGCTCACAGTGAAATAAGTCAGTCTCAGACATATGAATACCTTATGTTCTCTCTGCTATACATACAAAGTACAGCAAATAGATATAAAAGTGAACAAGTATGTACATTTACTCTCATGGATGAACTGTATAATGGAGATTAACATACTGGGAAGAGAAGACACATTGTATTATGCATCTCTACTCCCGAATAAAAGGAGAACTGCCAATGAAACAGTTAAATATACCTTGCCAGTATGATACTAGATTTTCTATCTTTGTCTATACCTACAAAGCCAAGATGTGGTTAAACAGCAGAATGTGAAGTTTCTAACTGTCACTGAAGGACTATACTACTGCAATAATATGGGGGAAAATGGGGAAGGAAGAAGGGGAGAATCCCTGTACCTACCAAACCATGTCATGGGAAATAACAATAACAGTGAAGGAATAATGAATAAATAAAAATGCAAATCTCCACTACTGTTTATAAGCACAGAAACTGATTAATAACTTAAAATGAGGGTTAAACTGTTTCTAGCAAAATAATTTCTAAAAAGTAAAGTAATTATGGTACATCGTAAGTCAAAGTTAGAAACGGGTGGGCATTTGGCCTATCAGGAATCTGCATCCTGTATTAGAGCAGCAGGTTTTGGTGATGGCTCAAGTGACTGAGTTCCTGCATCCATGGGAGAGATTTGGATTGAGCTCCTGGTGGGCATTTGGGGAATGAATGAACTGTGGGAGTGCTCTCTCTCCCTCGTTACAGAAAAGGTAAAAGTAGATTATAATACAAACCTTCATGTAATGTTAAATTATATATATCACAGGGGTTTTCCAAAAGTTCATGAAAAATGCCTATCATAGAAAAACTATGTATAACATTTTTTGCTCCAAAATCCACACCTTTCAATTCTATCTTTCCATGAGCCTCCTGAAATACCTCAGCATAATTACAATTATATAATATTGTATAAGGTACTTATTGCCTTAATTATGTTAAGTTACAAATAGAAATACTTTGTAAAGATTTTAAAGAACATGATAGGCAAATGATAAAATTTCAGAGTTAAAATTTATGGATTTATGAAGCTCTGATTCGAATACATTAAAGGCAGAAGTGGGCTTTTAGAAAAGCATTGCTAATTATATGATAATGATTGTATCATATTTGGAAATGAAAGAATTTCTTTGGGCTCTATTTGCATTTTATTCCTCATTTTCTATGTTTTGTTCTTTAGTGTATTAATTTCTGTTCCATAGATGTTCAATTTGCTTTTTAGTTTTCTAAACTTGTTTATTTGCTTATGTATTTATTTGAGAGGCAGAGCGATAGAAAGCTCACATCTGCTGGTTCACTTCCTTGCAATGGCCAGGGCAGTGATGACCCTGAACCAGGAGCCAGGAACTCAACCCAGGTCTCTCCTATGGGTGGTGGGGATCCAAGTTCTTGAGCCAGCATCTGTTGGCTGTCAAGGTCTGCATCAGCAGGAAGCAGAACCAGGAGCTGGGCTGGTACTTGAACCCAGGTACTCCAATATGGGACTCTGAATCTTTACTGGCAACTTTCCCTGCTAGGTCAAATGTCACCCCAGTAGCTCTTCTGTTTAATGGGAAAAAAAGATCTGGAAGCAGAACAGTGTCAGTTCATCTTGTAAGCAATCAATATTAGCACCTTGGTCATGGAGGATATTTTCCGACTTTGTTTTGGCTTCTTCAGTGTCCTCAGTAATGTCGTGGGTGGTAGCTGCTGTAAAAGAAGAATGCACTGTACCGGCTGATCTTTACAGATTGGGAGGCTCTAATACCATTAGCAATATATCTCTTCACCTTCTTCACCAAAGGAGGAAGGCAACTCTTCAAACTCTCCAAACTCTTTTCTTCCAAAGTGTCTTTGAAATTCTCTTAAAGTTGTCTCAGCTGAAAGAGAGTAATGGGTCCTGTTAGGAAGAGGTAGTTGTGGGGGTAGGGAGACTTGGGGTTAGTGATGTAGAAGTCACTGTTTTGAAGCCGGAGAGCCCTGGGTTTGAGCTCCGTCTCGTAGGAGCTGTGTGACTTTGGCAAACTCCTTGACTTCTCGGTCCCAGCTTCCATGAGGGTCACTGGCCTTGGAGCACTGCTGCAAGGAGCCTGTGAGAACAGGGATGTGACCTCTAGCTCAGAAGTTGGTGGGCACGCAAGAAGCCTGCTCCACCTCAGCTCCTATCTTCTAAATTGTGTGACCCTTTATGTCAAAAAAGAAAAGAAAAAAAATGCATTGGGCTAAACTCAATAGACCAACATCGTAATAGTGTCTCAACTGGCTATCCTCTACCCCAAGCACTGGCATCCATATGGGTGCTGATTTGTGTTCTGACCGTTCCACTTCCCAACCAGTTTTCTGCTTATGGCTTGGAAAAGCAGCAGAGGGTGGTTCAAAGCCTTGGGACCCTAGCCACATGAGAGACGTGGAAGTTCCTGGCTTTGGATTGGCTCAGTTTTAGCCAATGGAGAGTTGCAGTCACATGGAGAGTAAACTAGCAGATGGAAGATCTTTCGCTCTGTATCTCCTTCTCTTTGTAAATCTGACTTTCCAATAAAAATAAATAAATCTTTAAAAAGAAAGGAAATAAGCATAAATATTGGAAAAAAGAGTTGAAACTATACTTCTTGTCAAATGGTATCACTGACTACCTAGAAAACCCTGAAGTATCAAGTAACAATAGTCTATGAGAATTAGGAAGTTTAATGAGGTAGATAGAAAGAAGTAAATACATAAAAATCAAGCAGCTTTCCAAAATATTGGTAATTACTACTGAGGGAATATTAAAGTAAAATGAACCTATTCAACAGTAACAGAAAGACAACACATCTAGGAAAGTAATTACGAAGAAAAACGTAGATACTCTGAAGAGAGCTACAAAATGTTATGGAAAAGATACAGGAATCCGATTTTTAAAAGCTGGAGGGAATCCTGATTTAATAATACAAATGAAATTTCTTTCCACCTTATTCTATCATAATAACACAATCCTTCCACTGAATTTTATGGTAGGACGTGACAAAATGATGCAAGTTTCCTAACATCCCAAATAGTTCCTGGTGTACAACAGCATTCATTTTATGGACTATATAAAATAATACCTAGTAAAAACTTGGAAACAAAATATTTTCAGGAGGCTATGTGACCAGACTTAAAAGGCATCACCAAACTTGGATAATTACAAGTTATACTGTATGTGATAAGAATGTGACATTCAGAAGCTTATACACACAAAAGCTTACACACACACATGCGCAAATACACACCCTCAAATTTAATATCAAGATAAAGCTGGCATTTCAAGTCTCCAGTATGGATACTTCCAGTGTGGTTGAGTGTTGTAATGCTGGTTCACTCCTTGGAGAAACATAATTTTGATACCCATGTTGTACAAAATGCACTACAATGATCTTAGTTCAAAAGAAGCATCATTTTGAAAAGTGCATGTTATTTTGCATATGCCACTGGACTGTCCTGAGCCATTATAAAATGAAGAAGGAAAGACAGGAGGCAGAGAATGAATCCCACCCTTAACAATGGAGAGCTGGGCTTCAAGGCTCCCCCAGACTGAAGACACATTTTGCAGAAGGTGGTTCACCTTGGATTTTGGCTTGTAGCTCAGCTTGAAATCTTTCCCTTACACCTCTAATGGCTGCTTCTGTGGCTTCAGTCACAGCATTTTCTATTAATAATTCTCGGGCTTTTTCGAAACGTGGTAGGACAAGTTTGTCATAGTCAATTACCTGCAAAGAACATTTGAGAAAGTCAACCTAAGCACACAGTGCTGTATTAAACATCTCTCTCTTCCAAAAATATTAACATTTGCTTGAAATGTCTTTAGATTCCAAACTCACTAATTTTCAAATACTTTAATATACATTCAGCCATATTTTCATGTGTTTATCATGCTATATACACACACACATATATATGTACACACACATATATAATTTATGTATATATATATTTGGCTAAAATAGTAAACAAAAACATAACTATATACATTTTAATTCAATTTTGTATGTGTACTTTACATATAATAAAGGCATGCATTTTAAGTGTATGGTTTGATGTATGTAATATGTATAAATATGTAATATGTATAAATACACAATCAAGAAGGTAATTTTAAAAAAATATTTATTTTATTTTTATTAGAATACAGAGAGGAGGAGAGACAGAGAAGAAGGTTTTCCATCCACTTCACTCTCCAAGTGGATATTGATGTGAAGCCAGGAGCCCAGAGCCTCTTCTGGGTCTCCCATGTGGGTGCAGGGTCCCAAGGCTTTGGGCTATCCTTGACTGCTTTCCCAGGCCACAAGCAGAGAGCTGGATGGGAAGTGGGATTGCTGGGATTAGAACCAGTGCCAATATGGGATCCCCGTACATGCAAGGTGAGGACTTTAGCCGCTAGGCTACCCGCTGGACCAAAAAGGTAATTTTTGTATCACCTTCAAAAGTTCCCTTTTGTTCTCCTCATAGTCAATCTCTTTCTCTTTCTTCCCTTCCCCACTTTTTGTTCTTAGTCCCTGGTCACTGATTTTTACTTTCTGCCATTCTAGATTAGTCTTGCCTTCTCTAGAATTTCATACAGATGAAATAACACCTTGCAATCTTTTCTTTCAGCTCTCCTCCCTTAGCAAAAACACTTTTGTAATTCATCAGTGTTATTTCAAGTAACCTGCTGAGTAGCAGTCCATTGTATGGATATACCACAGTTGTTTTATTTATTAATTTATTTAGGATTTAATTATTCATTCGAAAGGCAATGTTAACGGGGTGAGGGGTGGGGAGCAATAGAAAGATAGATACAGAGAGAAAGAAGGCCCTTTCATCTGCTGGCTCACTCTTCGAGTGGCCATAATGGCCACAGCTAGGCCAGGTTTAGGTCAGGATTCGGGAACTCCATCCAATCTCCCATGTGGGTGGAGGGTTCCAAGCACTTGGGCCATCCTCTGTGTTCCTAGGCACATTTGCAGGGAGCTGGCTTGGAAGGGTGAAGTAGTCAGAACCTAAACTGATGCACACTCATATGGGTGGCTAGCAAGGCAGGCAGCAGCTTTACCCCAAATGCCATAGAGCTAGCTCGATAGCATTGTTTTTGTCCATTGATGAACATTTAAATTGGGTCTGGGTTTTGGTCATTATGAATAAAACAATGATGTGCATTTGCACAGATGTTTTATTTTTCTTTCAACATTTTACCCCAGAGTAGTTTTCAATGTTGAAAACAAAAATTGTGAGATCATAATATAGTTTCTATATACCCCTCACCCCTCTCCATCTGCATTTCCACTATTAACATTTCAAGTTAGTATGTTCATCATAGTTAATGAGCCACACAAATCTTCTCCTAATTTTAAAAATATGAACCCTTTTTATCCTGTACAGAAGTCTGTGAATGTGTGTTTCTGTTTATTTTGGGTAAATACCTGAGATGGAACTACTGTGCATATGGTAAACACATATTTTACTTTACAATAATCTTCCAACTATTTTCAAAGTGTTGAGACTATTCTACAGCACTACTGCTAATGTGTGAAATTTATGGGACATCTCTATTCCCAGCAACACCTGATTTTGTCCAACTTAAATTTTTACCATTCTAGTGGATAAGGAGAAACAATTAATCATAGTTGAAATTCACATCTCCCTACTCATTAATCATCTTGTGTTTATGAGCAACTCCCTTTAAAACTTGAATGATGAATTCAAGATGGCCAAATAGAAACATCCAGTATTCACTGTCTTCAACCCAGAGAAGACCCAACGCAGCAGGTGAATCACTTCATCTGCAGGTGATTGCTGCAGGGAAGGGCATCAAGCTCAAGAAGGGCAAAATGTGAGCATTGTAGGGCACAGACACCAGGGATGGCACCAGAGAGAGGGGCACAAAGCCTACCAGCTCTGTTTAGGGGTGGGGAGGGAATCCCTGGCGCAGGGGAAGGGGTTTGCATAAGAGCCTCTGTGGAGCTAGACCAATACCTGATATGGATATTCCTCATCAGAGGGGAACCCAGTCCCCACTCACCAGGAGCTTGTGGTATGGTCCCCTGGAGAACTCACTGTTATTCTGCTTCAGAGAAAGAACTCTCAGTATCTCCTCTGCACCACCCCCAGGGAATAGCCTGTGCCAGTGTGCTGCCATCTTGGGAAAGGAGACAGTGTTGGAGTCCATGTTGCCTGGGAGAAAGAAGCCCTGGTGTCTCTCCTTCTTGGGGTTGGGGGAAGCAGGGACTTTCCTGCACTCTCTGGCAAGGAAGCTGAGCCTCACAGGCCCAATGGGGACCAATAGGGCCAGGGTAATTGCAGCATCCCATCCTACACAATGCCGCAGGGCAAGCAGGTGCACAGCATCTGGGAGATTTGGCCTCAGAGATCCTAGAAATAGAGGAGCCTCTCCCCCACCTCTTTGCGAATCATTCTCTTCCCTACTGCCTTCTTTCTGCCTTCCATGCATTGCATCACTCTTGGAGCTATCACCTGTACCCACTGGGTCTCCAGGTCAATGTCAAGGACCCTGTGGTCCCACCCAGTTTGCTATGTGTGGCTTCTGCCCTTCTTCCCATGGTACCTGGCTCATCCAGCACATTACCAGCTTAGGGATCTAGCTCATGGTTTCTAGGCCCTGCCATACTCAGTGCAATGCTTTGAGCTCAAGCTCCTCTCACATGCATGTGGCCCAAGCTGTGTCCTTGCACTCTGGCCTGCAATTGTGGCCTGGGAGCTCTAATGCTGGCCCCTGCCCTTGCACCAGGAATCCTTTCCCCACCCCATATTGGGCTGGGAACTCCCTGGCTGGGATGTGCCCCAGGCAACTGCAAGCAGCCTACAGAACAGTCTCCTAGCCCCCACTAAAGCTATGGCCTGCTTTCATGGGTCCAGTCATTCCCACTATAGCATTTGGGGACCCTGCTGGTGCTGCCCAGCAAGGGCATTGCTCTTGGGTCTTTGGGGCCGTTGGAGCCTGGCCACACCTGTCCTCATAGTTCCAGTTCCTGACTTAGGTGGTGGCAGAAAGTCTGTGGGCTGGACTCACTTGTAGCATCAGCATGACCTGCTCACAATATCTGCTAAGTTCTGGCCTCTTCCCCTTACTCAGGGATCTCACCCACCACAGTGGGTTCCAGAAGCAACCACAGCTCCACTACCTATACCATTAACTTCAGAAAAAGAAGTATCCAACTGGAATGAAAGCCAAAGAAGCCTATCAGCCAGCACCCAAAAAATGTATCTTCAGGATAAAGCTTTCTACTCTACAAAAACCTTCTCTTAAAGGTGAAGGAAACAACTGATGCTCCAGAGTGTGAGAATCAGTATAGAAACTTAAAAACATGGAGTAACCAGGTAATACTGATATGGGACAGTCAGGAAGCTCATTCATAAACAAAGGAGCTAAGAGTTCACCAGCCTTGTACTGCTACAACTCCATCCCCCACCCTGCAGATGCAGCATACTCACATTCCAGGTGCACCTGAACACGCTCCATTAGGCAGATGATGCCATGATGAGCACGTGTCTGCCAAGCTCCCTGTGGCATTGCTGTGAAACCTTTGCAGAGGTTACCATACTCTCTAAATCTCATCCAAACTGCCCCCATTTGTGTATTCAACTGTGGTGCCATCCCTGACAGGATAAAGGGGGCAACCAAACTGGGATGGGAGCAGTTCTGTCTCATGAGGATGCCCATGTTCACTTTTACAAGGGTACCACCTGACTTTTAAAGAGACCCTGTTCCCGTTCTTGCACTTCATCTATGCTTTGAAGTTAGCAAAAAGAGATATTGAAAAAGAAATCAACAAAAATATTATAAATGAAGAATCCAAGAAGTCAAACTAAGAAAAAAATGCAGTGCAAAGCCTAAATCAAGCAGAAAGAATATTCAACTTTAAAGACAGATCTTCTGAAATATCTTAAACAGAATAAAAAAACTTGAAAAGGCAGAAGCAACATTCATGAGGTCTGAGATAACATTAAGCAAACCAGTATTTGAGTTTAAGGAGGCCCAGAAAGAATGAAAAAAGGAAAGATTTAGAAAAATGATTCCATAAACTAAGAGCTGAAAAGCTTCAATTTGAAATATGAGATGGAATCCAAATGCAAGGAACCCCTAGAACCCTAAGTAGACACAATCAGAAATGAATCCCATTTGGACACTTCATAGTCAAACTTTTAAAAGACAGAGTTCAAGAATGAGCAAAATCGAGAACACAGAGAATCAAGCGCTAAGTGGAAAGGTAGCCATAAAATGACTCAACAAAGTGGCTTAAATGTATGTAATAAATGCCTGCTGTTTTCCAAACTATTCTACACAAAATCCTGACTACGGTATTGAAACTTGTTGGTAGTTTCCATTCTTTATTAATAAATTTTATTATTTTATAAATTTAAAAAATGCAAGACAGAAATAATTCTAAAATTTATAATAGAAAAATGCCAGGGTCACTGTTAAAGAAACTCCTATGAGATTTACATCAGATTTTCAACAAGAAAAAGGAGTTGGCAGGAATGTGGAACAATAACATTCTTAAGACACTGTGAACAGGATTACAAATCAAGAAAACTAGTTTGGGCAACAATTTAGCACAATCAACACCAACTATGTCCCAGGAATTGCTTCCCTTGATATATCTCCCAAATGCACAAAAAAAATGTGTATGGGTGCACCAACAACTAGCAAGTATGTTTATAGTAGTCTTGTTCATAACACTCCCATCTGAAATCAGTCCAAGCTGTATTAACACTCAAATGCAGCTAAATAAATCATGATCAAACCAATGCAATACAGCAAAATAATTGACAGCTATATGTAACAACATAGGCTGACAGCACAATCATAGTGTTAAGTGAAAGAAATAGGCACAAGGTATATACATTGTTTAAGCCCATAAAGGTAAAAAATAGAAACGTGCAAGACTAACGTATGGTATTATGCTCCTGTGATAAAAATGGTCAGGCACAGAGTTAGACAGGGAGGGGCCACAAAACCACTCTTTAGGGCATGCAACTGACACCTGCCAATCACAAATGCCAATCATGAGCATCAAAGCCACACTGCCAACACACAGTCTTCAGCTTCAGGGATAAAAGCCCTGGAGTAGAAAGAAAGGATATTACATGTTTTTTCCTCCTCTCTTGGAAACTACTTTAAGAAACCCTGCTTTAGTGTCCTGTCTTTTGTCGTAATTCATTGCTTGTATGATGATAGAGAATCATGACAAGTTGGCTGCCACCAGTGAGAAAGCCATAAACGAAAAATATGGAAGCGAATGCCATCAAGTCAGGACAATGGCTGCCTCTGGGGTGGTGAGGCATTAGGAGGAGGCTTGTGAGGGCTGCTAGGATCCTGAGAGGTCACAGCACACAATAAAACATTAGGAGAAAACAGAGAAATGCTACTCCTGTGCTTACAAAAAAACCAGGTAACCTTTGGAATCATGCTTCCCACATCTGCACTGCATCAACTACATCTGCAACCCTCATCCTGTGCCATTCCTCCACTCACATGCAACACTTGAGAGCCACAGTGGCCTCCTAATGTCTCAGTCTTCCAATTCTTCATCAAAGCCTTTGACTCTGCCTTCAAATGATATCCTAAATAGACCTGCTTCCTTATGGCTCTCATTCTGGTCTAAGTCCAAAATAATCTCTACTTACTGAGAATGGAGACCATCGTCACCAGAGGAGGAGAAGAGGTAAAAAAAAAAAACCTTATAGGCTGGGGTGATGCAAGGATAGTCTTTGTGGATATCAAAATCATTAAGAGGAGGAATCCCAGTACCTAAAAAACTGTCACATAATGCAATGTAATAAAAAAAAAAAGATCACTAAGAATAAAATCAGGCATGTAGAGGAGAGGAAGGGATTCAAGAAACAGGAGATGAGCAAGACCATGAAAGTAATATGGTGCTGCTGTTGGGTGGACATGGCATTCAAATCCAAGATCCAGGGGGTAGTGTGGTCTGCAAGCAGCAGAGATAGCAAGAAGGAAGCTGATTGGAACAATGATCCCACTGACAGTGTAAATTGAACAAAACTTAGTACCAACACCACTCTAGAGGTAAGAAGCAAGGAGAGCTAGCTCAACAGATGAAAGGGAGGAAGAGGGCCCAGTGCATGGCTCAAAAGCTAAATCCTCACCTTGCAAGCATTCATGTTCCAGCTGCTCTAATTCCTACCAACCTCCTTGTTTGTGGCCTGGGAAAGCAGCAGAGGATGGCCCAAAGCCTTGGGACCCTGCAGCTGTGTGGGAGACCCAGCTAGCTCCTGGCTGCTAGCTTCAGATTGGTGCAGCATTGGCTGTTGTGGCCATTTGAGAAGTGAACCAGCAATTGGAAGATCTTTGTCTTTCCTTCTCTTTGCAAATTCTGATCTGACTTTCCAATAAAAATAAACAAATCTTAAGAGAAAAGGGACGTGGAAGAAAAGCAGGAAGGAGGAAAAGAAAGGCAGCTAAGGGGTCCAGTGGCGTGGCCTAGTGGCTAAAGTCCTCTCCTTGAACCCACTGGGATCCCATATGGGTGCCGGTTCTAATCCCGGCAGCTCCACTTCCCATCCAGCTCCCTGCTTCTGGCCTGGGAAAGCAGTCAAGGATGGCCCAAAGCCTTGGGACCCTGCACTTGTGTGGGATACCCAGAAGAAGTTCCTGGCTCCTGGCTTCGGATCGGCATAGCATTGGCCATTGCGCTCACTTGGGGAGTGAATCATCGGACGGAAGATCTTCCTCTCTGCCTCTCCTCCTCTCTGAATATCTGACTTTCCAAGAAATAAATAAATCTTAAAAAAAAGAAAAAAGAAAAAAGAAAGGCAGCTAAGAAGCAAGTGGTTACCCTTCCTTTATAATGTTCTGCAATCAAGTTGCCAAGTGTGGTCTTCCCAGAATACTGTGGTCCATACAAAAGCACCTTGCACGGTGGTGTAGGCATGGGTGGAAGAAGATAGGGCCGTGGATTTAATGAAAATGCTTTCAATGCTTCTTCTGATGAAAGGCAGTATATTTTACCTAGAAAACTTTAAGAAAAAGTGCCAAAATAATGAACAACTGACAAGATGGAAGGGGACGTTTTACAATGAAGTTCCAAAATCGTACTTACCTTACAGAAAAATCTGGTAATCCTGGGTATATGTTTCCTTCCTTTAAAGCGACGGGACATGCCCGGCCCCACCTGCTCCTCTGCCATCTGTATCTCGGTGCCAGCATTTTATAGGAGGCAAGGATGCGGAGCAGCTCCTCCTGTGGGTCACAGATGCTCGGTTAACTGCTGCGCAAAGGTCTGGCTGAGATGAACAAGCTCACACATTTCACTTCTTACTTGACCTGCTTTTACCACTTCAATACCCATTTCAAAAGTAAACGTTTGTTTCCGCCCCCCTGCCCCCCGCCCCACTGCTTAAGTGTTGCAATTGCAACACTGTGGTCTTGTTCTAGAAACGGTAAGACTGGTTTCCATGGATATTAGAAAGTTTTGTCCAAAATTATTGGGCATTTTATTTTCTTTTTATTTTTTTTTTTTTAGATTTTTATTTTTATTATTTTGTTATTGGAAAGGCGGATATACAGAGAGGAGAGACAGAGAGGAAGATCTTCCATCCGATGATTCACTCCCCAAGTGAGCACAACGGGTCGATACTACGCCGATCCGAAGCCAGGAGCCTCTTCCGGGTCTCCCACGCGGGTGCAGGTTCCCAAAGCTTTGGGCCGTCCTCGACTGCTTTCCCGGGCCAGAAGCAGGGAGCTGGAAGGGAAGTGGGGCTGCCGGGATTAGAACCGGCGCCCATATGGGATCCCGGGCGTGCAAGGCGAGGACCTTTAACCACTTGCGCCACCGCGCCGGGCCCGCATTTTATTTTCTTTTTAAAAAATATTTATTTATTTTACTTGGATGTCAGAGTTATAGAGGAAAGGGGGGGCGGAGAGACAGAGGTGAGAAGGAGGGAGGGAAGAAGTGGAGCAGCAGGGATGCCAAGTGGCGACCACAGGGTGTGCCAGCACAATAGGTGGAGGATTAGCTTACTACACCATGGCATGGGCTCCCCTAGCAGTTATCACATCCATTTACCTCAGAGCCAGAAGCACAGTAGTTACTTTAAAAGTTAGTTGAATGACTGAAGCAATGAATGAGTGTCTAATGAAGTTGAACAATTCTATGTTTTGCTCTCATTGGGGCTACGAAAATTTTAAACAGATCTTGGGTTTCTTTTTTGTTTTCCTTATTCTATGGTTCATTGTTTTTTCCTTGTCTCAATATTTTTGTTGTATTTAGTGTCTGAAAGGAGATTGTGCCAATACATACAATTTCTTCCCAAAGACATATCCATGTTTATAGAAGGCGTCCTGGAAGCCTTTTTAAACCTTGAAAGGATGTCAGGATCACGAGATAGACTGAAAAGGCGGGCTTTGTGAAGGTGAGCCCTCACTCACATTTTCTATTGTGTCAGCTTCTTCCTCTGCACTCTGCAGCTTGGTGATGATGGCTGCTCTTGTTAGGTTGAGATGTTTAAGCCGTTCCAAGACGGTCTAAAGGGAAAAGAAAGACGTTTCAACACAGGTCTGAGGTGATGACAGAATCGCAAGACATGATGGGCTCATGATTTCTGCGTCTTCTCAGATCCTAGACAGAGATTTTTTTCCCCTGAATCTCCCCAGCTTCTGGTGGGATGTCGGCACCTTCTTTGTATTTCTGGGTTTGCAAGCCAGTCTTTCAAAAAAAGCGCATGGAAAATGGAAGACAGGACAACTTAGTTTGTGCAAAATATTTAGATGTTCAGGCACAGTGTTTCCCCCATGATTTCTCTGAATTCCTCACATCAGCACATCACTCCAAGCTCTGTGATCACACAGCAACCTTCCCAACTGGCATCTGAGTTTCTTCTAATCTGCATTGGATTATTGCCCGCCTTAATCCAGCATGGTCTCATTTCAGCTTGACTATACATGCTAAGATCCCATTCCCACAGAAGTTCACTATCATAGGTATGGCACTTTGACTTCAACATACCTTCTGCGGACGCATTTTGACTCACAGTGAGCCATCCATTGGCTTCTAATACTCACTACCCTGGGGTGGAGGCATCTCTCACTGCCCTGATCAACTCCAAAAGCCAATAACTAGTTCTGCTACTAATTGGATTCTCCTTCTGTCTTTTCTTTGCACTGCAGACTGAGTAATCTTTCCTAAACAGAAATATGATCATTCTTGTGTCCTGTTTGTTGCCTGCTCCCTACTGACGAGGCCTCAGTACACGAGGTACAACTCTAACTGGGTGATAGTCTGCACCCCCTACCACCCTTACCCCCATCCTGCTGCACTAAAGTCTCACATTCCATCCCACAAATCCTTGTGCATTTTCTTGTCTCTGAACCATTGTTTATACACAGACCAATCCTACAACATGGGACACTGAACCCTTCTTCTAACGATTGCTTAATCTTTTTGTTTTTGATTGCTTAATCTTCAAGTTCCTATTTAAAAATAGTTTGAGAGAGTTAGCCCTCCTAACCAGACTAGGTTTTATCCTTTTGCCCAAATCCCTTTAATCTTGTAAGCCCTTCCTGACTACAACACAATCTATTTTTTAATTTATATCCCTCTCTATATCTGAAGACCACACGAAGGCAGGCATCCAAGTCTGTATTGGCCTTATTCCTGGCTATAACCCCAGAGCTTGTCATGATGCCCAACACCTGTCAGATACTTATGCAAGAGTTACTGCACTTCTGTGTTACCTTATTCATTCTTGCCAAGTATCTTTGAGTTTAAGTTTTCTGCATCCTTACCAACATTATTGCCTTTCACTGTTGTTTTTTATCTTCCTTGTCATTATTTTGGTTTGGCCATCTTAGCAGGTGTGAAATGGTATCTCATGACAGTCTACATTCTTGTTTCCTTATTGGTTAACGGTGTTAAGTGTATTACCATGTGCTTAGAGGATGGTGATTGTTTTCACTTTTTGTTGAGATACTTGTTATCTGAAGATTTTCAAATTCAAATGCAGTTTTAATATGGAAAGAACCAAATAAATAGACCACATTTTTAAGTGCCAGAACTCATTTTTTTTTTTCCAAAATGAAGGATGTCAAAATGTCAATCAATGTTTTGGAACTATTTTGGAAATACAATGCAAGTACGACACTGCCAATCATGGCCTTGCACTCACCATGAAGAGCTCCTCAGGGGGCTTGTTTCCTTCAAGCTCAATGAGATACTGCGGGTTGTGCTCAGCCATGACTTCCTGCAGAGAATAGAAAAGAGGCCTTCTAATCCAGGATCACTGAGAAAGTCGAACACAAGATCAGATTCTTGACGAAGTATCTAAAGTTCAGCTGCCTATCTGATCAACATATTGTTCTCAGTGCTCAAGAGACTGACAAAAGCCCACACTCATCTTCTTACTATGAATTCTAGTCTGATTTTTTCATTTTTTTATATATACTGAAGTCTTAAAATCTTTTCCAGTACACAATATTTCGGGGCATTTGTCTACCTGTCTCTATTGATAAGTTCTACTATCTGGTTTGAGATCACAGTAGAGTTTGATTGTCACTTAAGTCATAGACGGCCTTCATTTAGAAAAACATATATATTTTTATTATTTCAAGATACACTTTTCTTATAGAAAACTAAAAAATAGAAAATGCTATTTGTTTTCCTCTCATCATTATTTCCATGAATTTTTTTTACATGTTCAAGATCATCTTGTACAACAACTGAGCCAATTTTTTTGTTGTTACTTAATATTGTAATTAGTCATCATATCCTTTACTTTAACAAGATCATTGTCAGTATGACATTTTGAAGGTTTGATAAAATTACATAGTGTGGTTATGGTATGATGTACATTCCTCTATTGTATGGCATTTAGGTAAGTTAAAAATATTTTGTGAGTTGTTATCAAGCATTTATTTTTATAAAAATATTTTTAATAATTATCTTCTTCAGTCATTACTAAAGTCACTTGTATTAACTGCAAGCAGAGAGTGAATGCAGACCGTGCATAGAAGCAGTTAATAGGACCCTTTCCTGTCCTTCCCCTCCACCCTTCCAGCCAGGTGTGTCTTTCTTCACCACTCTCCTCACTGATACAAATGTATGCACACATACAAGAGAACACTGAGTAAGCATTTTCTTGCTATATCCTGATAGAGCGGACCCACAGGCCAGACTTCCAGGAGCAGGTGTTACTATCAGCAAGCATTGCTGGTTGACTTTCTAGCAAACCTCCTAGCAGCAGTGGAGGAGAACATTCATTTCTTCCTGTCGCCACAGACAATTTCAGGTTTTAAATTTCTGAAGTGCATTTTTGTTTGGACAGTTTCTTAAGTTAGAGACTGTAAAGGCTTTAATAAAAATTATTTCTTAACATAAAACTTTCAACTGCTCCCTATAAATGAATTGCTCCAATGGCTCTTTGAAAAACTCAGTTCATGTGTCACTTTTTAGAGAGTTCCTTTTCCGAATCCAATGACATGGAGGCTGGAGAAAACAGCCTTTGGGGTGCAGACCTTCCTAACAACTACCCACCATGCTCAAGAGGAGAATTGGATTAGAGAGAGATGCTGACACATGAATTAGGTCATCATGGTAAACAAAACACAAAGACAGGCATTTCCATTGTCAGCAACACATCGCGTTCTTACTTCCAAAGGCTGAAGAATCATTTCCTTATAGAGTTGAACAGTGTTCTCAATATTTTCCAAATAATCCTCTGGCCTCTGCACTAGGTGTTGAAGAATTTCAGCCACCATCTGCATTTCAGCAATAAAGGCCTACATGGAAGATATTTTAAATAATTTTAGGTGAATGATTTTATTCAATTTACATTCTTCCTTATACACACTTGCCATTCTGGCAGGAGAAGTAGGGGAGGAGGGGGTTAGAGACTGAAGGTTTTTTTTCTTTCTTTCTTATTTAAGAGTGAGAGATTACACACTCATAAGGCAGTTTTTATCAATAAAGTTTCAAACTGACCTGGACGATTACCAACTTCTTTTTGCTCCCAATAATGAGGGGAGAACAGGGAAGGAATGTCACATTTGTAGATGTAGAAGAGAGAAACCAGATTTTCTCTAGCCACTTGTTTGGTCACCCTTAGTTCATGCATGGACTCGTTGAGCACCTGCTACGTGTGAAACACTGTCTTAAGGAGTTGAGATACAACAGGAAACAAACTGACTAGCACTCTGGCCCCCCAGAACTCACCTTACAGAGCCTAAACAGATACACAAACAAACAAACACATTAGGTGGCACCAAAAAACAGGAAGACATTAAGCAGGAGATAGGGGATGGAGAGTGATGGGGAAGGTGCTGCTTCCTGTTATGAACAGGCTCTCTGTGTAAGTGGCAGGTGAGTGGAACCCAGAAGGAAATGGGGGCAAAGCCATACCAGGTTCTAGAGAAAGCACACTGCCAGGCCGAAGGAACAGGACAGTCAAGTGAAGGTTCTTGGCCAGTGGTCTGGTTTTCTGAATCATGTTTAACACTACCTTATACATTCTCTCTAGTTTTTATCAGTGTGATATATATTTTATAAAATTTGAAAATGTTCCATTTTATCTATATAAACTACTTAATAATCTGCTTTGGGGCAATGAACTTTAAATTGCAATTGATTTAAATTTAGCTACTCATTTACTGCTATTGGTCCTCATGTTTTATAGTGTAGCTTTAGCGTAATTCTCACTCTTTTTTTTTTAATAGTTTATTTATTTATTGGAAAGGTAGATTTACAGAGGGAAGGCGAGACAGAGAGAAAGATGCTCTGTCTGCTGTTCACTCCCCAGGTGGCCGATATGGCTGGAGCTGAGCCGAGCCAAAGCCAGGAGCTTCTTCTATGTCTGTCACGCGGGTGCAGGGTCCCAAGGCTTTGGGTCGTCTTCAGCTGTTCTCCCAGACCACAAGTGAGCTGGATGGGAAATGGAGCAGCTGGGACACAAAACACAGCCTGTATGGGATCCCGACATGTTCAAGGCAAGGCTTTAGCCACTAGGCTCTCATGCCAAGTCCTTCAGTCTTCTTGATTACATCCTTACCTGACTCCTGGGATTAAGTGAGTTGTGACCCCTGTATCTTACCAGAGGAGGGTTCTTCAAAAACTTGGTAGAAAAATTGAGTTAAAGGTAAGTTAATCTTAGTGCAAAAAATGTTTTGAAGTCCATGCATTCAAAGGGTCTTCAAAAAGTTCATGAAAATCATGCACTATGGGGGTCAGTGTGTGGTGGCCCAGCAAGCTAATCCACTGGCCTCTGGTGGACATCTCCTATGGGTGCCAGTTCTTGTTCTGGCTGATCCACTTCCGATACAGCTCTCTTCTTATGGCCTGGGAGAGCAATGAAGAATGGCTCAAGTCCTAGGGACCCTGCACCCATGTGGGAAACCCCGATGGAGTCCCTGGCTGTTGGCTTCAGATCAGTTCAGCTCTGGCCATTGTGGCCATTTGAGGAGTAAACCAGAGGATGGAAGAACTTTTTTTTTTTTTTTAATCTCTCCTCTCTCTGTAAAAATATGCTTTTAGTAAAAACAAATCTTTAAAAAAACTGTGTGCTATAAAAACAACTATGCATGAATCTCAAATATTTTATACCAAAATAAACATTTTACCTTCCATTTTTGCCATAATTTTAAAACAGCATTTCATTAAAAGGACTGCATAGACTTTGAGATGGTTGTTTTATTCATACACCAAGAGGACATACCTTATTTTTTTTTCTATGAGGCTTTCATTTTCAAAATAAAAAAGTATTATTTATTTGAGTGACAGAGAGAAATCTATTTTCATCATTCCCCAGTTGTCCCCAACAGCCACGGCTGGGTCAGGACCAAGCCAGAACTTGCAACTCATTCTAGGCTTCCCATTTGCACGGCAGACACTCCCATCACTTGAGCCATCACCTGTTGCCTCATAGGCTGTACACTGGCAGGGAGCTGGAGTCTGGGGCAGAGCCTGGCACGCAAACCAAGCATGATAGGGCAGGCCATCATTCCAAATGGCCTCTTAACCACTGCACCAAATGCCCATCCTGAGTTTCCTTAAAAGAAATATCTAGAATTGATGCTGGTTATTATCCAATGTTCGCTTTCTGTAGGTAAAATTATTATATATTTCTAAAATGAATTTTATATGTAATATCTTTTAAAATAAAAGGACACATGTCAAAGACATATATAACCCATCAATGAGGGAACAAGCAGGCTAGTAAAATAAAAGTATTTATAATCTCTGAAATAAGGCTATTTATTGCCTTACAGGGCAATAAGACTGTGACCTATTGGGGCAGTGTTGTCTTTTCTACTGGAAAAAATAATCTGCAATGCCTCCATCTGTAAGTTAATATTCAATTTTATGGAGTCTAGGCCCTAAGAGAAACAGTCCATCACAGACACATTTCACTGGAGCACGGACTGGTAAACTGTGGCCAGGGCACCCCAGAGGACCAAATGTGGCCCATCACTTGTTAACAGAGTTGGTACTATTTTGTCTTTATATCACAGCAGAAGATTCTTTCCATGTATCATGTTTATTAGATTTACTTTAGGATTATTCTATCTATCTATCTAGTTTTTTATGTGGTCTTCAGGAATGTGCTAGCTTTGTAGGTTGAACTATGGTGGTGCTACTTTCTCTCTGTATCACTCTTTGTCTTTTACTGTTCTTCCCTAACTTCTTATTCTAGCTTGTGTAGAGTTCAACACATGGTAGGTCACCAAAAGCTGTTGCCATGGAAGGAGGTATAATCGCTTCTGGAATGTAGAGGGACTACAATCTACAATTAAACTCGTCTCAAGATTGTACTCTTAATAGTTTTTGGAGACAGGATTTTTTTCGTTTGTTTATTTCCCCCAAGTGTAATAAAAATTTAAAGAAAATTACGAGAATGTGGGATCCTTATGTGGAATGGCCTGGTGGGCTGTTACCTCTTCTTCTTCTTGCTCCTCTTCCTCTTCGCCCTCATCTTCTGTTTTTCCTTCTTTGTGTAATTCCTTCTTCTTTTTCCTGCGACTCTCAATAACTGCAGGATCCCAGTGGTCTCTAGTGTACACATACCCTGTACCACTGTGCTGTCTCTGCCCAGATATTCTTTGGCATAGATCATAGTCAGGGCACTAAAACAAAACAAAACAAAACAAAACAACAATATTAAATTACTTTAAATACTCTGAATAGGTGTCTAATTCCTGTTCAAAGTTCATGAAATATATAAACAGATGAAAGAAAAGGCTTCTTAAAAGCTTAGACAAGTGCAACTTGATGACTGGCAGGTGTTGTCAGGTCTCACTCCACGCCCAGGGAGGAAAACGAAGAGATTTTTAGGTTCTGTCAATGTCCCACTGAGCTGGAATCAAAATGCAGGTGAAAGCGGGGACTGGGCACTTTAAGAAGTATCCTAGGGATTCTGATCCCTTCACATATCCCACTTGGAGAAACAAAGGAAGCAAGCATCTTGAGAACCTCTCTTGCTCATTTTCTAATTTCTTTGTGTGTGTGTGTGTGTGTGTGTGTGTGTGTGTGTGTGTGTGTGTGTGTGCATGTGTAAGAGAGATACATCTTACCTTGTTGGCTCATTTTCCAAATGCCTGCAACAGTCAGGGCTGGACCAGGCTGAAGCCGGGAGCTGGGAACACACCCCAGATCTCCATGTAGGTGGTATGGATAGGAACCCAAGCATTTGAAGTGTCACCTGCTGCTTCCTGGGGTGCACACTGGCAGAGCAGAGCTGGGACTGAAACCCCGGCAGGAGATGGGATTCAGGCATCCATGTGACTTGAAGTGTCTGCTTCTGCTGAGGACTTAGGCCTCTGGCCATTAGTTGTGGTGGGGACTACTGATCATACCATGCTAACCTCCTCAAGGCCACCCGTCTCAGCTGACCCTGATGCTCCTCTGAGTCCCAACACTTTAGGGGAAGAACTGTCTAATTTACTCAGTTGTCATAAACCCTTTGGGAATCCAGGTAGGGGATGAACACAAAAGTTCCACATTGATTTTCACGTGAATGTAGGTATCACCTCTCTAAATTCTTATCCCATTCTTAGAAAAAGCAACAATCATCTTTGTAAAGAGAAAACTGAAGTTTTAACCAAATTGTAATAGTCAATAAAAGAGAGAATTAGGAATAGGACTCCAGCATTAGCTCTTAATTGGAGTAGGAGTATTCTTTATTATCCATTTATCCGAGTCCTTTTGTTGGTTTTTTTTATTGATTACATTGCATTATGTGACACAGTTTTAAAAAATATGGAATGCTTCACGAATTTGCATGTCATCCTTGTGCAGGGGCCATGCTAATCTCTGTATCATTCCAATTTTAGTATATGTGCTGCTGAAGCGAGCACTGTTGGTTCTTTCTTTTTATTTAATTGGTAAACTTCTTAGTGCTCACGAATGACAGTTTTGTATGCTAGTTGATGTTTAGATAAGTAAGACATGTTTTTTGCCTTCTGGTAGGACAGAAGAGTCTAGGAGAAAAATGGACGACTGTCTTCTAGAGAGATGAGTAATATCATAGAAGACAGCAACAGGAGTGGTCTTCAGGGAAGCATTTAACTGTTCCGTGGTTAGTGAAGTATGATGGAGAGAAACAAGAGAGAGGGAGGGAGAGTGGAGGAGAGCAAGAGTGACCGTGAGAGACAGATACTGAGCTTGTCAGGCCAATTTCTGGAAATGATGCCTGAACAAACTTTCAAAGAATGCGTGTGTAAAGCCTGGTGACGAGGCGAGGAAGTGCTTCATGTGGATGGAGCTGCAGGTGTGAAAGAACAGAAGCAGGAGCTTGCAGGACACAGATGCATGTCATCACTTAAACAATTCTGAGGACACTCCTTGAATGGAACTACTATCAAAAATAAAGGGAATGAAATCCCGTCTTTTGCAACAAAATGGATACAACTAGGGACCATCAGGCCTAGTGAAATAAGACAGTCTCCAAAAGACAAATCTCACACATTGCCCCTGATTTGTGGTAACTAATATACAGAGTACAAAAAAAGGCAGATGAGTGATTTTGACATTTTGAGAATTGATTATTTTTATAGCCTTGTCCATCCCCCTAGGGAACACTGTAAATTTTTAAATTTAGTGGAGAAGCAAGCTTGTGATTATTAAGTCATTTAAGCAATTATAGAAATTCAATTTACAATAAGAATAAGAGGAGGAGGATGAGTGGGAATAAGGGAGGGAGGAAGAATTGGGTGAAAACTATTGTTATGCAGCTAACAGTGTATATATGAACTATCTGGACCTTTGTTCCCTTTATATAGATAAAAAAAATAAAACAACAACAACAAGGGTTTACTGTATTAGAAAGAACAAACAATAGCCTTACCTTAATATTGATTATGACATCAGGCTTGAACCTTAAATTTTTAATTAATTCTATTTGCTGCAAAGTAGTCATGGCATCCTGTGAAAGTGTTGGGATTTCAGTGATAATATAACCTGTAGAGTAAAACATAATTCTAAAAGCTTTAGTAAAATTAACATGGATTTGTTATCACTTTGTAAGAGTCAATAAATTGATTATTAATGACGAAGGCAGGTCAATAAAACTGTGTGTCAGGTTTTCAATTTTTTTTTAATAATCTTACTTAGTTGCTTGGGGTACAAAGGGTCAAGGGCTACAGGAAAGTGGGTAATACCATTGTTTCCACATTAATATAATTATTTTTTTCCCTGTATCTGGGCTTAGGGGAGAAACAAAGGGAAAAGCCCCACCCAGACTCCCACCCATCCCATGTCCCCGATGTGAGGCACGCTCCGAGGGTCCTGCTCAAGCAGTTTTGACAGTTCAACAGGTCTGAATTGCTGCCAATCTCGCAGTTTCAATTTCGATGAAACCTATTCAGAATCCACTGGTTGACATAGACTCTTCATGGCTGGGGTTCTGAATCAGCAGCTCAGTTGGAGGGATCTCCAAAGAAATTTCATCTGAGATGATCCCAAGCCTGATTCTTGTTTGAATTTGCCAGTACAGGGTCCGGCACCGCCTGTCGCCCCAATCAGTTTATGCACATGCTGGTCGTTGCAATTGCTGGGTCAGGTTCTGTTTCCAGCCCTGTCTTCGACTTGAACCAATGAGTGTTGCAGTCCAGCTCGATCCTACCAACTTCATACTCAGTCCTCACACAAAGCAGAGGAAGCTGCAGCCTAGTTGGGTGACTCCCCATAACCCCTACCAGGCCTGCTCCCTATCCTGGTTCCCATGCTTGCCAATATGAACTGCAGGCTTGTTCAGTCTGTCCCACATCCCATTTACCTCTCATACTTGTCAATGGGCATTGAAGCCTAGTTCAACCCAACCAACCTACTATCCAGCCCATACACATACTGGCAGGTGCCTTCTGTCTAGCCACCCTTGCGCCTGTCCTGGTTTTGGTGCTATCCAGTGGGATTTTAGTACTGGTGGAACTCTAAGTCTGGATTTGCTGCAAGTCTGCTGTTGGTGAGCTGTTTGAGTTCTAGTGGTTGCTCCAAGCCCAGGTTTGTCCCAAATTTGCAGTTGGTGTTTAGTTCAGAATGAACTGAGGAAGTGTCTCAAAGTGCAGACTGTCTCTGCAAGCTTCTATATGGAGTCATCACAGTTTTAAATTTCTTGGTCACAGTCACAGGCGTGTGGACGGGTACCACAGGAATGGTTGGGTGGACCCATAGTCACTAATGCACAATGCACAGCCCACAGAGCCCAGCCCAGGGATTAGACAAGCTGCACACTGGGCTGGGCTGCCTATTGCTTAGGTGGATTTCCAACCCCAGCCTGCCACAATCTCTACTACAGGTGAAGCTAGTTGGGCCAGAGCTGCAAACAACTGGGGTCACAAGTGTCTTCCTGGTACTGGGATGGGACTAGAGGCTCTGTCCACAGGCATTGCTTAAGTTCACTCAGTGTTATGCTTTGCCAGCTGGCACTGATTTTTAACACAAGATTTTCCTGTGCTCATTTGCCTATCCCATTCCTGGTGATCAGAGTCTTGGGGGTGCATGTCAGGCCTACGTGTGGCTGCTGCTGATGTATGTGAACCACCAGTCTGTCTCACTAAGGCGCATGCTTCTGCCTACTGCCAGGGTGGGTCTGCAGGCTCTGTCTGGGAACTCTGGAGGGTAGATAGGGTCTTCTGTATTTTACCTGGTGCCGTGTCACCATGGTGGGACCTGCACTAACCTCAAAATTAAGTCTTTGGCTTACTATCCTCTGTGGGCTGAAGCCTTACTCTGTCCATTCGAGGCTCGGGGAGGGATGGAGAAGACAAATCCATGGTTGTCCAGGTTGATACTAAGCTAGACTGTCCTGAGACTCTATGCTACAGGGCGTTGTGTTTTTTCAGGGGTGGGTAAATGCAGGTGACAGGGCAAGCACTTTGACTTTGTCTAGGGGTATTAGCCTGGAGGAAGGTCCAGGCTGGTGCTGTATTTCACTGTGGTTGGCTTGCTACTGGGTTTATTCCCTCTCCCCCCTCCAAGTGGGAAGCATGACTCTCCATGCTGTGCTTCTTGGAGCTGGGGCCGGGGTGATACAGGCAATTTTTTATTCTCGGTTTCGTTCAGTGCATATTTACTTATATCACAACCAGGCACCTGCTTTCCTTAGCTCTTGTCCAGGTGGTATGAGATATGCACAGCTGCTCAAGTTGGTGTCTGTGAAGAAACTATTGCTGGAGTGTTTTATTCAGCTTTAATCTTGCTCTAGCTCCAGACCAGTGGGTTTTAATGCAAGATTTTGAAAAGTTCCCCAATGCAGTTTCTACTATATGAGTAATATTTAGTCCACTCCATTCTGTGACCAAAGAAAAACATTCATTTGTTGAGTGTAGGATCAAGAATGTGCACTATTATTCAAAAGTGTATTAAAATACACCTCCTTTGTCCAACTCCATGTCTGTGTGAAACTGTTTTCTTTATATGCTTCAATGGAAGCAATGTGTTTATGGGAGGAGGTGTGGGATTGACAGTCTTGCCATTGCAGATGTGGAGTGGAATAATTTGCACTCTACACCCAATTCTAGAAAGATCTCAGGGCCATTGCTTAGCAAACAAATCAGAGTTTCTGAGCCCACTGTCCAATCTCTTCCCCTCCCAGAGACACATGTGAGATGGAAACCTGGTGACACAGAGCAGAGGAGAAGGCATTTCCACCTTCCATAAAGCTGATGGTGGCAGGCTACTGCTTTCAGATGCAAGTGGTAGACATCACAGACATCAGGTAAATTTTCTATTTTTCTTCCTGTTGTTGATTTTTTAAAACATTTATTTATTTATTGGAAAGTCAGATATACAGAGAGGAGGAGAGACAGAGAGGAAGATCTTCTGTCCGATGATTTACTCCCCAAGTGAGCGCAATGGCCAATGCTATGCCGATCCGAAGCCAGGATCCAGGAACTTCTTCCGGGTTTCCCACGTGGGTGTAGGGTCCCAGGGCTTTGGGCCGTCCTTGACTGCTTTCCCAGGCCAGAAGCAGGGAGCTGGATGGGAAGTGGAGCTGCCGGGATTAGAATCAGTGCCCATATGGGATCCCAGCGGGTTCAATGAGAGGACTTTAGCCGCTAGGCCATGCCGCCGGGTCCTGTTGATTTTGTTTTATGGCTTTCCATTTAAGCGGAGTATATTAACTGTGTAGTGGAGATTATCACATCCAAAAGTGAGGGTACAATGCAGTATGCATCTCTATTTCCAGATCAAAGATGGACTCCCAATGAAATTGTCAAATCAGCCATTGTCAATGCCCACAAGATCAAGATACACTTAAATAGCAGAATGGTGAAGATATGACTGTTTATGAAGGACTATACTAAAGTAATAAAACAAGGAGAATTAATGGGGAGGGGACTTTGAAAGGAAAGCCTGGAAATTCCAGAGCCTATGGAACTGTATCATGAAATAATAAAATAAGTAAATTAAAAAAATAAAACAGATTGTGAGGGGAGAGTAGGCAGAGGTGTCACTGTAGAAGTCTGGTGATGCACTCATGTACTGGGGATTTTTATATTCACTCCATTATTTTCGTTTGAGCTGTCCCCTAATAAGAATTTCAAAAAGGAGGCAGTACAGTAGTATAGCAAGTTAACCCTCTGCCTGTAGAACTGCATCCTATGGGCATTGGTTCCTGTTCTGGCTGCTCCACTTCTGAGCCAGCTCTGTTTATGGGCAGGGAAAACAGTAGAGAATGACTCAAGTCCCTGGGTCTCTGCACCCATGAGGGAAACTGGAAGAAACTATTGGCTCCCAGCTTCAGACTGGCTCAGCTCCAACCACTGCAGCTATTTGGGGATTGAACCAGCAGATAGAAGACCTCTCTCTCTCTCTTTCTCTCTCTCTTTCACTCATCCTCTGTCTCCACTTCTTTTTGTAACTGCCTTTCAAATAAAAATAAGCCTTTTAAAAAGAATTTCAAAAAGTTACAAACACTGTGACTGACTTAGCTGTTTCTTTTTTCAAGTTGCTTTTCTTTTTCTTTCTCCTTTTATCTGCACTTATATACTTCTTTTTGTCGCCATGCATACCTACCTAAATTTTCAAAAGGTCAGTGAAGAAAATTATCAACAGATATTTTCACGCTCCTTGGTTTGGATATAGTTTGAGTGTTTCCTACCAAGGTTCATGTATTGGAAGCTTAGTCTCTGGCACCGACAGAGCTGGAAGGTGGTGAAACCTTTATGAGGTGGAGCCTGGCAGGGATGATTGAGTCATCAGGGCACTGCCTTAGGAAAGAATTATTGTCACTCTTGAGAGACTCTGGTTAGTTTCATGAGAAGGCTCTTATAAAAGAGTAAGACTGCTCCTGTTTCATGTCTTCCTGTCTTGCTATGCATCCTCCCCATCCCATGTGCTCCCACCATGATATGATGCAGTTGAGGGGGCCCTGATAGAGCCAGTATCATGTCTGGTCTGCCCCCAGACTGTGAACTCAATAAGCCTCTTCTCTACAAAAGTACTTAGTCCCAGGCAGTCTCAGTGAAGTGGAATGATAACCCTGCCACCTACTTACCTACCTATACAGAAGCTTCCATTTCAAGTAATATGCACTAAATTGTCATTTTATTTGAAAGGTGTGTGTGTGTGTGTGAGAGAGAGATAGAGAGAGAGAGAGAAAGAGAAGAGAGAGAGGAGAGAGGGAGAGAGAGCTTCTACCTGCCAGCTTATTCCCAACATGCCCACAACAGCTAGACTGCGCAGGGCTGAAACCAGGATCCCAGAATTCAATCTGGGTATATCATATGTGTAGCAGAAACTTTCTGTAGGGAGTGAGCTTTAAGTCTGCAAAGAGAAACCGTATAGACATGGCCTGCACTGGTAAGTCTGCTTCTGCTGCTTCCATTATAGAAATGCTTTGGCAGTTGTGGCCTTTGCTTTAGCTCACAGTCCTTTCATCGGTGTCCTTCATGGTTGCAATGTACTCTCTTAACTTAGTGAGACTCCTAAGCAGCTTTTTAAAATTTCCTTCTTCCAGTTACTAAGTCTGTTTCTGCTAGATATTTTTCTTCCAAGCTTATCTTCATTTTTCCTGCCCTTTTTTTTACAAAACATTTTGGAATTTGGTCTTTTAAGTCATCTTGAGTATCAGTGCTGTTTGTCTTGAGAAATTACAGACCACAAACCCTTGCTCAGACTCCATTTCTACTGGGAGAATTTTCATAAATAGAGTTGGAGAACTGACTGTAGAGACAGGCTGATGTCTGCCAATATCTGGAGCCTGAAGGCAAGTTGGTGTCACTCCTCATTCTTGCCTTGCAAGTGTTGCTGTATGCAAAGAGTCCACCCAATGGCAGGATCTGTTCACAAAACTCAGGATGAATGTGGAGGCAGTAGCCAGAAGCCACCCACACTGCAAGGTAGATGCTATTGTAAGACTAGGTTCTTGATGCCTTTGGTAAATATGCCAATGCTAAGTAATATATGAGGATAAACTTATTTTTTTCTTATAAGTGTATCAAAACAAGTAAATTAGCAAGCAAAATAATCTGAACTGTTCAACCGAATTTGAGATGTTTGTGCTAAGATGAAAGCAAGAGCAACCCCAGAAACTAGCTGTGCTTCAGGCTTAGCCTAGGTGCTGAGACCGTTTTACTGGCGACAGGTGCAGGAAACCACACATACCAAAGTGAGAGACTTCTGCGGAGTTGATCTTTTCCAGGATTAGCTTGAGGACAAGTTCATCTGGAATGCTTTGACCGTTGAGCAGCATCGACTGTAGCTAAAACGCAAATAGTACATGTGTCTGTACAATATAGCTGGTGTCACATAGGTTTTATAAATGATCACAGTAACTTTGGAAGTTAGATTTATTTACCATATTTCCTGTCTCATTTTCAGCAGCAATGTGTTCTTCCAAAATTGATAAGGCTAAAAAAATATGGAAAATATTAGCACAAACTGGAACTAAGATGGTCAAAGAGACACATTAAACCTGTGGGGTAACAAAGTTATCATCTGTAGGTGACTATCATATACAACACACGCTCATGCACATTATATAGATGAAGCGTAGAAGAATGAGGCTCATAGAGAACTTGTCTCTGTCATGTGCTGAGACGGTAGCGGAGACAACCCTTACACATCTCTGGAGTCAGTGCAAAAGAGGATGGGAGATGAAATGAGGGGTGCATTGGCAGCGCTTTGGTAAGATGTAAATTAGTACACAGAAGTAGTTTGTCCAGAAACTTTGAGAGCCACACAGTTATATCCAGAGCCCAGTAAATGTTTTTTTAAAACATTAAAAAATTTTATGGGGCCCAGTGTGGTAGCCTAGATGCTAAAGTCCTTGCCTTGCATGTTCCAGGATCCCACATGGGTGCCAGTTCATGTCCTGTCTGCTCTACTTCCCTTCTAGTTCCCTGTTTGTGGCCTGGGAAAAGAGTGGAGGATGGCTCAAAGCCTTGGGACCCAGAAGAAGCTCCTGGCTCCTGGCTTTGGTTCGGCTCAGTTCTGGCTGTTGCAACCACTTCGGGGAGTGAACCAGTGGATGGAAGATCTTTCTGTCTCTCCTTCTTTCTGTAAATCTGACTTTCCAATAAAAATAAATCAATCCTTTAAAAAAAGTTTTTTTTTTTTTAAACACTGTTTACATAGTTGAAAGGGATGCATGCACATGTGGGTCTCTGATTAAGGTAGGGAGGGTCAAAGTATGGAAGAAAGTGGGTAGGACAAATGTTTCAAGTTTTTTTCTCCTGTGTCCACAGGGGAGGATGGCAAGGGTTTGGCTCCTTGCTGTTGACCTACGTCAGCACCTTGGGATAGGGGACTGCCATTTGATGACACTGTAGAGACCCTGTTGTGGAGAAGAAGTTCTGAGGATGTTCTGAGGGTTTTGTGCATCAACAGACCCAGGAACATGCTGCAAAACTTGGCCAGAAGAATTGTCCAATCGGTTCTGTTTTCCATTTTCTGATGATGAACTCAGCATCCTCTGCTGGCCCAGATGAGGTGGCTGTTATGTCCCCTGTGTTTGAATCTGGGCATACTGTCTACTGCACAGACAGGTATCAGCAACTGAAGAGGTCCAGTGTCAGTATATGAACTCCAAGGTCAGACCACACAGCTTGTGATTTTCCCTGTGGCCAGGGTCTGAGTCCAGTGGTCCAGTTGGGGAGTCCCAAAAGAAATCTCACCTGTGGTGACCCCAGACTCTTCTCTTTTGTATGCCAGCCAGTGTAAGGTTAGATTTGGTCTGTCACCTGCACCAGTCAACACACATTCTTGTCTTGGCAACTGCCTGATTAGTTCCACCCCAACCCCTAGCTCATGCAAGCCAATATGTGTTGCAACCCAGCTCCACCAGCCCACCAAAGACCTAGTTCTCATGCATACCAGTGGGCTCTGTGGCCCAGCTGGGGCAACCTCCAATAACCCCCACCAGGCCCACCTCAAACCTAGGTTTTTGCACATGCCAGCCTCTGCTGTGGCCTTGCACAGTCCAGCCTAAGTCCCCTCCAGCACTTGTGCATACCCATTGGTGCAGTGGCTTCTCTCTGTCCACCCTGCCCCCAGGCCCAGCCCTCACATATACCAACAAATGTTGCTGCCTTGTCCAGCATGGTCTACACCCTAGACCTGGTTCTTAGACTCACAATGATAGGTACAGCCTAGAGGGGAGTGACCACAGTTCCCCTGCCAGGCATGCTCCCAGCTCCAGATCTTGCACCTGCCACTGGGTACTACGGTCCAGCCTGACATGACTTGTACCCAGTCCCAGCATTTGCCAGCTGATGCTGCAGCCTAGCACAACTGGCCTGCACCCATTCTGGCTTTTGTGAGCACCAGTGGGTGATGGAACCTACCAGTGTGGCCCATCCCCGAACCCAGACCATACATATATGCCAATGGATAGTGCAGGATTGCCCAGTCTGGTGTGTCCACAGCCCTAGCTCTCACACTCACTAGAGGGAGCTGTAGCCCAGCGGGTGGTGGTGGTGGGGTCGCCAGAGTTCCCTACCAGGCCTGTTCCCAGCCTTGGGTCTTGCATATCCTTTTGGCTGCTTTGACTCATCTTAGCATGGCCCACCTCACCCTCAGCTCTCATTGGCAGGTGTTGTAGCCTAGTCCAGCTGGGTGTGACCCACACTCTGTCCTAGCTTTTGAGTGTGCCAATGGTGCTGTTGCCTGCCCCAGTCTAGCCTGTTCCCAAACCTGGCCCACACAATTGCTGATGAGTGCTGCAACTCTGCCTTGGCTGGCCTGCCCCCAGTCTTGGCTCTTTTGTGTTGCAGCATGAGGTGCTGCCAAGAAGGGGTGTTCCCCTAGCAGGCTTACTCCCAGCCCTGGATCCCATGCGTGCCAGCGGGAGCAGTGGCTCTGCTTTGCATGGTCTGCCTTCAGTACTAACCTTTGCATGTGTCAGCATTTGATGTAGCCTCTCCCCATCCGGACTCTTCCCTGGCTCAGGTTTCCACCAGTGTCCTATCAGTTTCTGTCAGTTCTGTGGTGTAGCCTGGCTTGACCTGTCACTACTCCTAGTACTCCGCATAAATTAGTGGAAGCTGCAGTCCACGGAGATGAGCCCACAATTCCCTAACAGAATCTGCCCCCAGATTTGGTTTGTTCTGGTTGGTGCTATGCCCATCTGGAGGTAGCCCACCCCTTGCATTAACTTTGCCCATTGATTGTATGAAATCAAAGTATGCATCAAAAAATCTTAACATGGATACTCATTAGAAGAGTCCTGGGGCTGACATTCCAATTATTTGTTTCTTTTTTGAGATGGTAAATGCAACCTTTCATCAGGAAAGATACAGCCAAGATCAAGGGTTATATCCAGGAACTAGATTATGCCACTGTGTCTCTGGTATTATTTAAGATTTCCTAGAGGAAGAAATAGTTTGATGAAGCAAAGAGAAAATTTTAGAGTTCTCTGTGTCTGTTATTACCAAATTGTTCTCCTACCCGACTATATCAGATCATAATGTTACTAGAAGCATAAAATTCCTACTTCGTAACATCTTTTCCAATAATGACTATAATCATTTAAGATTTTTATTTTATAATTTTTTTGACAGGGAGAGAGAAAGAGAGAGGTGTATGTACCACTGACTGGTTCACTCCCAAGGTTCTTCAATAGCTGTGGATGGACCAAAGTTAGATCCAGGTATCTCCAGGAACCCAATCACTTGAGTCATCTCCCTGGGAACCTCCACAGTATGTGCTAACAGGAAGCTGTTACATGCAGCCAGTTCCCTAACCCAGGTTCCCTGACATGGGTTGTGGGCTCCCACACTAACCACTCGACCAAACGTTTGTAAGTTTAAGGATTCACTGTCAGTTTGATAGGCAATATGGATCAATATTATTTCAACCAAGACTTGAGATGGTGATGGACAACACGGGCATATAGGGATTCACTGTAGGATTCTTTTCCGTGCTACATATTTGGATGCTTTCATAATAAAATATTTTTGGGGAAAAGATAAAATTTACCTTCAATACGAACACATTTCCATGTTTGTGCTATCTGCTGGGCTAATGTTGTCTTCCCAACTCCCTTTCAAAAGAGAAATACCATTCAAAACCCAATAGCACTGTCATTTGCCAATTGAAGAAGTACATCAAGTTTTAAGAGATACTATTATAGTTACTATGCTATCAATGCTGCCAAGTATTTTTCATGTAAAGAAAATGAAGAATAGGTCCTAGGTATTCACAGCTTTGTTTCTTCTACTCACCCGTGTACATGCCACATGTCCTGAAGTGACTTAAACAAAATGTAGTAACTTGGGAAGATAAGTCACTATTGGAGGTACATTCTTTGATTGTAAAATTTTGTGACTTTTATTATAAAACATCGAAATTCTATTGACATTCTTCAATTTATTTTTCTCATAAAGTTTATAACAACAAACGCTTGGACAGCAGAAAAAATTTGTTGAACTGATACCTTGGGAAATTTTAAGATCCAAGGCCATTTCTGTGAAGCAATATCTGCATCTGATTGTTTCATAGAAACAGCAAATGTTGTTGGAACTGTTTCTTGGTACTTGTTCTAAAGTCCATACAAAATTAAGTGGAGGAAGGGATTCAGCCCTTACTCTCTGCAGTGGTTGAGAATAGCGCCGTCTAGAGGTCTTTGCTATAATTGTCCCAAAGGCATACTCCTAGGACTGTCACTTTGGGAGTCTGCTGATAGGGTGTTGTTCAGATCCTCCAACATGCTGTAGGTAAAGCTGGATGTCCACAGGACAGTCCCTGCCTGTCTCCATAGACCAAGAGAGCCTCACAACACACATCAAAGGAAGCTTCACAGCCAAATCAGGTATGAAATGATTTGAGACCACCTACTGCTAACAATAATGATGGGGTAGTATTTGGGTGAGTTAAAATTTTTTCTGCAGTTTTATAAAAACATACAACCTATGTCCCTTTTCAATTACAGTGCATAAGAAAAAAGTTTATAATAGATACTGCATCAGATTTTAAGTTACACAATAAAATCTGTCATATATTCAAAAACTAGCTTTTGTTTTTATATGGTAACTTCTAAGATAATAATTTTTTAAAAAGAAATCAAATGCTAAGGAATAAGTTGAATAACTTACTGGTTTTCCAAAAATGATAAAGCAAACAGGTTTGGACAATAAAAACTTCCTTTCAGTCTCATCTTCATTAAATATATCAGCGAAAGGACACTCTTCTGTCTTCTCTTGCGAAGTCATAATTCAAACTGCTACTACTGCTACAAAAAAGGGAAGAATAATTTATGTAAGAATAAATAATCTAATCTGACTGTAGTAGGCAGACTAGAAAGAGCTGGAAGTCTGTGAATTCATGCGGCCCCAGGTTCTTCCATAATAGTAAACACTTGGATTCTTGTCAGAAATTGAAAATAAAATACACTCATTTTTAAAATGATAAAAGGCTCTTAGCCCGAGACATAGACCAAATGCAACTACATGCTGTGTAAAATTGAACTCAAATATAACATATTCAAAATACTAAGACAAGGAAAAACACACACACATGTAAATTCACACATATATGTCCTTAATTGTATCTTAAATGTCAAATTCAAGTTTAACATATTATATAGACACAAAAATGAATAGACACAAATTTTATTATATTTTCATATTTTAGAAAACTTTTAGTCAATGTCTATAAGGACATACAATGTCTATAAGAATCTGTCTTTATTTAAAAATTATTTCTGGAAGTCTTTTGCTATTTTGAGTATTAAGTGATTTCTGAGCACAGAACCACAATTTAAAATACTAGAAGAACTAAATTTTCATCTTAAATGATTCTACTGGAGTCAATCAGAAACAAATTTGGTAATGGGTTTTAAAATCTGTCTTTGTACAAAGACTATGTCTTGTTTTTTAGCACTTGTATATTATTTAGATTTTTATACTCACAAAATATTTACATATTATCATAAAATATTTCTAATGTAAATAGTAAGAATACCATAGGTCCTAGTTCCTTTACACAATCATGTAATACTCAAAATAATTATAAAATTACTTTTAGAAATTCTAATTCTTGAAAAGTAAGGTGGGTCTCAGGACGGGGCGTCTCATGCCTGGATCCCGGACGGCCGCCATGGGCACATGGTGAGCCGTCCTCCCCGGGCCTGCTGGGATTCGGGGGCCGCTTCCTTCGGGGTGAGTAGACCGAGGGGGGGAGGCCTCCGGGTCTGGGCAGGTCCGGGGCCCACCCGCCGCCTTCATGGGGCGGTGAATGGGATTTGGGAGGGGCGCGACCTTGGGCCTGGGTTATTTAAACCTCCAGCTGCCTCCTGGCAGCTGGTGGGTCTCAGGACGGGGCGTCTCATGCCTGGATCCCGGACGGCCGCCATGGGCACATGGTGAGCCGTCCTCCCCGGGCCTGCTGGGATTCGGGGGCCGCTTCCTTCGGGGTGAGTAGACCGAGGGGGGGAGGCCTCCGGGTCTGGGCAGGTCCGGGGCCCACCCGCCGCCTTCATGGGGCGGTGAATGGGATTTGGGAGGGGCGCGACCTTGGGCCTGGGTTATTTAAACCTCCAGCTGCCTCCTGGCAGCTGGTGGGTCTCAGGACGGGGCGTCTCATGCCTGGATCCCGGACGGCCGCCATGGGCACATGGTGAGCCGTCCTCCCCGGGCGGCCAGTGCGCCATTGGTGCCAGGCTCCGCCTGCTGGCCGCCCGGCTGGGGAGCTCTGGGGATTTGGTTCTTTGAGTTGCTGCTTAATTAGCTCCAGGTTGAACCCATTGTGCTTCTTGGACCTGAAAGAGGCAGTAACTCTTCCTTAGCAAAACTTGTAATCACTAATAATTCTGAGCACCAAATACCAGTCATGCAGAAGCTATGGCTTGGGGCTTGCCCTGCACAAGTAGCTCCAACAGTTGGCCAATGTGTCAACTGGTAATGGAACAGAGTAGATTAGGCACGACTGAGCAAACCTTAGCCCACAAGTAAAACTAGAAACCAGGAGGGAGCAGAGGTCATGCCGAGCTAGGCTCTTGTACCTGCTGGTCTGTGGGAGCCTGGGACGCTAAGCCACAGTGTCTAAGGCAGAGTTCGGGACAGGGGAGGGGTTGTGCCAAGCTGAGTCAGAGCATCCAGTGGCAGGCATGTGATTTATCCTGGGAACGGACCCGGTTGGGGAGCAAAGGGGACAACCCTAGCTGGGCTGAGGTTCCCACCAAGAGGCGCGTGGCCTGGAAGGGGGCTGCGTTCTGATCTGGATACAGTTGCAGTCTCCCTTGGCACAAGTGTGGACTGGGATTGGATGCACCGAACTGGGCCGGACCCCGACTCCCCCTGGTGTTCTGGAGGACCAGGGCAGATGTGGGATGGACTAGGCAGGGTCTCAAACCCCTACTGAGCCATGTGTGAGCCATACGTGGGTATGGACAAACCATGGCTGGGCTGGAACATCCAACAGCAACAACCAGATTGGGTGGAAGGCCAGTCAGGAAAAGCCACAGTTCCTGCTATGACAGGAGGTGGACTGAGTAGGGTTGGCTCATGGACCCACTGGTAAGCGTGAAACCTGGCATTGGGAGAGGTTCTGATGGAGGAGCCTGGGCAACTCCTCTGGCAGGACACAGACCCAGCAGGTAAACGCAAGAAACATGATAGGAAACAGCCCAGAAAAGGCCATGGAAACCTACCCACTGGCATACACTTGGCAGACGTGGGGGCAAGACCAGGCTGAATCTGTCCACATCATCCACTGGCAAATCCAGGCACCAGTGTGGGTCGACCCAGGGTCGGTCGCAACAAAGACTAGTGCACATTATGGAATGCCGAGGTGAGGTTGCCTGTACCAGAAGGGACCGCAGCGCCCAACCAGCCTGAGAACAAGCAAGGAAGTGGGCAGAGCTGGCAGGGGAATAAGGGAGGGTTCCTTTGCTGGACAGCTACTTCCGCAGGAGAGCATGGGCTGGGATGGGGGCAGACCAGACTAGGCAGAGCTACCACACCTGTGCGCCTCATGTGGACTAGATCAGGGAAAAGCCAGGCTGGGCGGATTATTCCTACTGGTGCAAACAAAATTAAAGTGGGCGAGGTTTGTTTGGGCAGCATCAACTGGAATCTGGGAGTGGGAGAGGCCTGGGAGGGAAATAGTGGGCTCATCCCTCTTGGGTTACCACTTCCACGGGAGGACATAAAACTAAGACAGCGGCTGGGGTGGAATGGGATGTGGGACAGACTGGATTACTGCTACACTTACTGGCAAACCAGGGTAGGGGGTGGGCCTGGTTGGGGTTATTGTGGGTCGCTCCAACCTAGGCTACAGCTCCCGCTGGTTTATGTGAGGGCCAAGTATGTGCTGGGCAGAACCAGACTGGACTGCAACACCCATTGGCTCCAGTGGAAGACGGGAGTGAAAACAGAACCAACCCAGCAATTGCAACCACCAGCTGATTGGAGCGATGGACGGTGCCAGGCCCTGTACTTGTTAGCACATACAAGAAGTTTCTTTGGAGATCTTCCTAATCTAAAAGCTGGAGTCAGAACTATAACAAAGAAAAGAGAGAAGACAGAACGGGTCAACCAACCATCTAAGCTATGATGGACTATGTCAATCAGTGGATTTTTCAAAGACCTCATAGTGCTTGGAGCGGCAAGATTGAGAGCGATTCATAACTGTTGCAATATCAAAACCACTTGAGCAAGAACCTCAGAGCATGCCCTACACCCGGGACTTGGGGAGGGTGGGAAATTGGGTGGGCCTTCTCCCTTAATACCCCCCTTTTAAACATGAAGGTAACAATATGGAAAACATATTAGTATTATCCACTTTCCTGTAGCCCTTGAACCTTCTTACCCTAATTAACTATGTAAAGAATGTAAAAGTAAAAAGAAGTAAACATGTTTTTCCAAATACTATTGTACCAAAATAGTGGAAATTATAAAACATTAACAAAGTAATGATAATATTATTTACTAGTGTTATTAAATATTGCATTTAGTTAATGATAAAAAATATTTTCAAAACAACAACAACAAAAGTGCACAACTGCCCCAAACATAAAACAAATGCAAATATATTTAGTAAGACATGTGCACAAATTACAATGTATTGTTTGTGGATATTAAAGATTCAATGAAGATCCATAATTTATTCTATATGGAGAGATTACATTTTATCAGACATCAACCATGTCCAAATTAATACCCAGGACTAAATTATTGTTGTCATCTAATTGTGTGTGTTGGGAAGGGAGGAGTACAGAGTTACACTGTTAGGGGTGTCAGCCCTACTAAATATAAACTCACCAATAATATTGTAAAATATGAGAGAGAATGAGTCTCTTAGGAAAACTAGTTATGCATAAAGAACTCTTAGATTTCAAGATTAAACCAAAAAAGATCATTAAAGAAAATGGGCAAGAGATCTGAAGGGATTTTTCACCAAAGAAAATATGCAAAGAGCAAAGAAACACACAAAGATATGTCAAAAATCATCACTCATCAGACAAATGAAAATCAAACCCGCAATGAGATACCACTAGGCACAAAAATGATGACAGCAGATGCTAGAAAAGATACAGAGAACCTGAAATGCTCACACACTGCCCGTAGGAATATAAAATGGCACAACTACCCTGGAGGAGGGCTTAGCAGTTTCTTAAAAGTAACACACAATAATAATTATTTTTAAAAGATTTATTTATTTGAAAGACAGAGTTTACAAGAGACACAAAAACAGAGAGAAGAGTAGAAATAGAGGGATCTCTTCCATCTGAAGCCAGTCACCTGGAGCCTCCTTCGGGTTTCCTATGGGTGCTGGGGCCATCTTTTGCTGCTTTTCCTGGTGTTCTAGTAGGGAGCTGGATGAAAAGTGGAGCAGCCAGAGCTCATATGAGATACTGGGACTGCAAGCAGAGGCTTAAGCTATCATGTCACAGCACTGGTCCCACTCCCTGGTGTTTTTCCCAGGCAATAGAGAATTTATGTTCATGTAAAATTTTATACATGGCTATTTATAGCAACTTTCTTCATAATAGTCCCAAAGCAGAAATAACCTGGTTGTCCTTTCAACATAAGAATAGTTAACCAAAGTGGTACATCCAACTATATTATTGATACACACACAGTCTGGACAAGTTTCTAATAATAAATTATGTGGGACTGCAGTTATGTCCAGCCCAGCCTAATGCTCCATTCCAGCCCTTGTGTGCACTAGCTGCGGTGTCCCCTTAGCTCCCCAACCAGGCTTATTCCCA